AAGTGCATTGAATAGTAACTGGCAATAGTGAAAACTCAGCCAAAGTGATCCACTGGGAAGATTTTGGCCCAGTCTACCCTGAGCACTTAGCACAATGTTTAAAATCTAATAGGTCTTGAATTGCATGCATTAGTGGATGGATGAAGTCTGTTATTCTGTGCTCAGCCACTGTGGTTGATTGTTAGCAGCTGAGCATAGTTTTGGACCTATTCTACATTCTTCCCTGCATGTTGGGGGAAGAATCTCAGGTATACATTTTTTGGAATCCCTTTCCAGTGGGGTTATGTATTTGACTTTGCCAATGAAAGTTGTTTGCCCAAGATTTGAGAAGGAAAGAGAAGACAAATAATTATACCTTTGGGAGCAGCTGGGGAGAGGTGCATGGACTCTGGCAGAAGACACATGGAGTGTTTTTGCAGCCACATCTGGGCAATCTCCTAAGAAACATATGGTTTGCTGCTACGTGAGCCCTTCAGTGGCAGCTTGGATTCCTGATTTCTGCACTGGTGGATTTCTTCAAAGCAGTAGTAGCTCCTCTGTGTGAAAGGGAAATAAAGCTTCGACCCCCCAATTCACTATGCCACAAGGAAAAAAATTAAGCTGAAAGTGGAGTCAAGCAAGACACTGACTTTCCTTTTGTTTCTAAGCGGATAGCTACAATAAAAGGTTAAAAATCCCCACGGGTAGCTACTCTGTGTAAAGCACCAATTTACTGAGTGCCAAACGAATACATAATTGAGTATTCCCCTACCTTCGCCTTTTCCCTTGCAGCATGTGAATTTAGTAGTGTGATCATACCCTTCCTTTTCCCCCTCCAGCCTGCTTTTCCCCTTTCAATACTGAAGCCCTCAAAATTATTTTCAAAGAAGGCACAGACCTATCTCCCAGGCATGTCCTCAATTTTGGCAAAATAAACTTCCAAATTGATTGCGACCTGACTCAGATCCTTTTGGGTTTACACCTGCCTTCATTGTTGTGGCACTCCCAACACGGGTGTGAGTTTCTAATCCCCTGCATTAGATCCCTTCCTTCTTAAAATACCTAGAGGGCTTGCCTTTTTTTTTTTTTTTTTTTTTTGGATTAAACCCAATTGTTATGGGATGAATTGTGTCCTCTCCTCCAAATTCGTGTCAAAGCCCATAACACCCACTACTTCAGAATGTGACGGCATCTGGAGATAGGAGTCTTCAAACAGGTGATTAAGTTAAATGAGGCCATTAAGGTTGGCTGTAATTCAGTGTGATTGGCATCCTTATAAAATGCAGAAAAGTGGACATACACAGAGACATACGAGATGTGGGCACACACAGACAGGAAAGTCCATATAAGGACAGCGAGAAGGTGGTGGTCTACAAGCCAAAGAGAGCGACCTCAGGAAAAAAAAAAAAAATCTTGCCTGTACTTCAGTCTTAGACTTTTAGCTTCCAGGACTGTGAGAAAATGACTTTCTGTTGATTAAATCATCCAGTTTGTGCTATTTTATTATGGTAGCCCTAGGAAACTACTACATTAATCTGAACACAAATTGGATTGTTAGAACAATAGACTCGAAATTGTCCCCCTGACTCTTTGAGGAGAAAGGGTATACCATGGTGGTTCTCTAAGGCTCCAAGGTATCACCTATCTGTGAGTCACTTGAAAAATTCACACAAGGCACCTTTCATCCAGAAGTTGCTGCTGTAGCAGTGCCATGTAAGTTCTGTAGCATAGCCTAGACGAGGTCTGAGTTCTGATCAACAGCCAGGAAAAATGGGCACAATGTGTATTTTTTGTGGATATCATGATTCAGTTGTTTCTGCACATCATAAAGACAGCCAAGGTGTCCACAGCCACCTCCAGTGAAGCCTAGGCCCTGCCCGCAATGCTCTGCAGCAGCTGTGGAGGGCTTGCTGGTAGTGGGGGCACAGCCATTCAGTAGGGAAGTTTGAGTGACTCTCTCCAATTCTGTAGTCAGTTTTGACAGACAAGGGGGAAAAAAAACACCTCAAAATTGAGAGTGTGGGGGAAGAAAAAGGAATGGAAACCAGAACTCAGTTATAAGGGCCTGTGATGGTTAATACTGAGCGTCAACTTGATTGGCTTGAAGGATGCAAAGTATTATTCCTGGGTGTGTCTGCGAAGGTGTTGCCAAAGGAGATTAACATTAGAGTCAGTGGGCTGGGAAAGTCAGACACACCCTCAATCTGGATGTGTACCATCTAATCGAGCCGTCAGCATGGCCAGTATATAAAGCAGACAGAAAAATGTGAAAAGACTAGACTGGCTTAGCCTCCCAGCCTACATCTTTCTCTCACACTGGATGCTTCCTGCCCTCTAACATTGGACTCTAAGTTCTTCAGCTTTGGGACTTGGACAGGCTTCCTTGCTCCTCAGCTTGCAGATGGCCTATAGTGGGACCTTGATATCGTGTGATTTAATACTCTTTAATAAACTCCCCATATATATATATATATCTCCTATTAGTTCTGTCATTCTAGAGAACCCTGACTAATACAGGGCCCATTGAGGAAACAAAAAGAGATCCTGAAGAATCCTTCCTCTGAATGGGAAGTGAATCGAAGGGCTTAACTGACAACATCCCTGTGATTCCCTAATAGGAAAAGATTAACTGTATTTTCTAACCTAGAGGGGTAAGCTAATGCCTTTAACACCTACCCCGAGGCTGACTCCTACATAAAGAGGCAGAGGGTCACAAATGGGTCCACAATGAATGGACATCAAGGACACTTGGGTGACAGGGGCTCTTCTACACTAAAGAGTGACAGAGAGGCCAGGGCTGCCTGCCCTTCCCTGCCTGGAGCAGTGAGATACATCCAAGGCTAGTAGCAGTGTCTCCTATTTTACTGATGAGGAAATTGTTATCCAGTGGGTAAACCTTTACAAAGTCATGGAAGGGGGCTAGATAGAGCTGGACTGATTCCACTCCAGGTCTTACTATAAGATAACACACTTACCAATTTGTCACATTGCCTCACAGAAACATTTCATGAACTAAACAACTGAAGGTCTCCAGTGACTGAAGACATCTCTTGAATTATTACATGTACCACTGTCAAATGTCTCTGTTTACCATAGATGAAAGCTCCATCCAAAGTCTATTCATATGCACTGCTTACTTCATACTGTGGAGCTAATTTAAAGCCAGGGAGAACTTTTGTTTTTTCCAGAAAGCCTGAGTGTAACCCAATAGGAGTATTTTAATTTGTGTGCAGGACATCACCACCCCCATCCCCGCCACACAGATACCTAAAAGATTTTCTTACTTTGGTGATTCGTTCTATGATTGTAATTCTAGCTTCAATTCGATTAGAAGGAGAAATGATACCTTAACTGAAGGAAGGAGCATATAGTTTTTAAGCAGAGGTGGCAACCAAAGACATAGACTTTGAAACATTTTCTTTTAGAGCATGATGAAAGCAAGCAGTTCATTCTTATTCTGTTATTCAGGAAAACCTCATAGTGATTTTGGTTCTCACTAGACCTACGTTTAACTTGTCTTTATCTGATTTATTCATTTGCCTGACTACTTGCCCACGCCCAGACTCTTCATGCTGATATAAATCAAGTGACTCCACGAGCAAACTAATTTCAAATTCAATTCAAGCCTGTTTCAGAGTGCTTATATGTCTCACTTTCACCTCTTTATGACTAATACAAGTGATTTATGAGTTGTGCATAATCTTCTCTCAGTCTGGAAGTTTCCCCCACCCTACCTTTAAATATATTTCTGTAAAACGGCATATGAGTCACTAAAGTTCTTTTACAAAAATGGGTTTTGCACAGCAAATAATTAAACATGAGAAGACACTGAAACTTCTCTGATGCTTTGATTTCCTTAATGAAACCCAAAGTTACACAAGCCCAGAGTTGCTCTAAGTAGAAAGTACAGTACATTAAACAAATGAGAGGGAGAGAGATGATCACACAGACACTCCTACTTTGGAATTATTTTTAACTTTAACTGTTTTCTTTGAAAAATGTCAAGTATAATTGGTATTTTAATTTCAGAAGACCTGTAAATCCACCAGGGATAGAAATCAGATCCAGTGAGCTTCCTGTCTCATACCAGGTAAGATTTGACTAAAACCTACTTAATTTTTTTTTTTTTTTTTTTTTTTTTTTTGAGATGGAGTCTCGCTGTGTCTCCCAGGCTGGAGTGCAGTGGCCTGATCTTGGCTCACTGCAAGCTCCGCCTCCCGGGTTCACGCCATTCTCCCGCCTCAGCCTCCCAAGTAGCTGGGACTACAGGGGCCCGCCACCACGCCTGGCTAGTTTTTTGTATTTTTAGTAGAGACGGGGTTTCACCATGTTAGCCAGGATAGTCTCAATCTCCTGACCTCGTGATCCACCCGCCTCGGCCTCCCAAAGTGCTGGGATTACAGGCTTGAGCCACCGCGCCCGGATCATGTCTTGTTTTGTTTTTACTGTAAAAAATATTATAGCAACAGTAAAGGGATTTTTCAAAAAATGAAACAAAACTCTTCAAACACAACTGATTCTGATTTTGCATAGTCCTGCCCTGTCTTTATTTATATTAATATATCCATTTAATTTTAAATTCTCAGGTTCTAAGACAGAAAGAAAACTCCAGAGCCAACTGCTATTCCCAAAGGCAGAAAGTGTTTAGTGACAGCCATGGCCTCATGAGAGAGGACCAAACCAGTCTTGCTGTGCTGCCAATTGCACTTGCCCTTTCTCATCTCCTGCAAGTCCCCAAATTCCTATTTTCTTTCATTCAGTAGTGATCCAAAACAAAAATCCTTATTTTCTCCTTTTGCATAACAAGAACAATAAAAATTTCTTGAGGGCAGAGGCAAAATCTATTTATCCCAGTGCTTAATCCAGTGCCAGGCATATAGCATATTCAGCAACTAAATAAAAACCTTAAGAAAAAAAGCAATTTGTGTCTTTCTGTTGGTTTCAAATCTAGCTCATCTTTTTAAAACCTCTTATTCTCCTGAAATCACAGATTCGTGATAAAGAAGAACAAATCACTGTTGCCACATTTAACACTTGTACATTTTATTTAATTAAATCAGCCATTGTACACATTGCAGCTATGTATTGTTAGTGTTGTATTTTTTTTCCATTAACTAATACATGCCCTCATAGATATATTCAATTAGTGTTATCACCATGGGAACAAGATGCTGATTCGTCAACTGAAAATTCACTTCTTCTCACAGTATTCAAGTTTTTGATAACACAGCAAAAATCAAAATCAAAAAAGGGTGAATAACCATTATGTTGTTACACAGACATCATCTGCACTGCAAATAACACAACAGAAATGCTTTTCTTGAGCTCCAGTGAAGGTTTTGACAAGAAGGCCATAGGGTGTCTCAAAAAGTTTCACCATCGGCCTCTCTTATTTTGGCTGCCAAAGAATGTTTCATTTCCTATCCAACTGCCAAAAAGTGCTAGCATTTGAGGCTGGGGAGATTTGGCTTGTGGGAAACCTCCCTCCCAGGAAATTTTTTCTCTTGGCAACATTACTTTAAATGATGAAGTGCCATTGTTTGTCGCATTTGTTTTTGACATTCGGAGCAATGAGTCATTTTTGCACAACAGGAAAAGACCAGATAATTGGAAAATGTTCAATCCCTGGAGGATAGACTCTGTCCTTTTTTATTTAAATTTCATCTTCATTGAATATACTTTTCTTTAACAAATGACTGATTCAAAATGTATACTGTTTATATGAATATATTTGTGAATATATATATGTTAAAATGCTACACAGCTTCAACCACTAGAGGAATAGGAAGAGGACATGGAAATTACTCAGATTGTTACAGTCCCTTCTTTGAGACAAACAAACAGAAGTGCACAAATGCACTTAAGAGTTTCCAGGGGAGTGTGGATTTCAAATAAATAAACCAAAAATTTTAACCAAAACCAAATTTTCAAGGATTTCTCAATCTCGTCTGCAAGCTGAAAAACAGACCTAGCTGGAAAGTCAAAAGTGCTCACTCAGGGTAAAAAGAATGGAAACAATTAATGTGATTAGAAGAGGGGTTTGACCGTGGTCTTGATTTTTAAATGCCACATGCAGGTATTAGAGAAGATATAAACCTGAAAAAAAAAAAAAGAAAAGAAAAAAAAAGAAAAGAAACCACTCCAACATACTGAAGGAGTTTAACCTTTTATGTAGTGAGTAAATCTTGTTTCCAATGAATTATCTACAGTGCAGTGGCCAGAAGAAAGTACCACCAGTAAGACAGCGTGGTTTGCTAAAGCAGCAATGAAAACTGGAAAACTACAGTAGTTATAGCTTTTAAAATACCCTGCCAAAACTTGTCCAAAATCTAAAGACCTGAAGATGCTAGAATGCCACACAATGTAGCTGCTAGCAACTGAATACCCCATCGTTTCATTGTGTGGCCTCTGCTCCCTTCTCCCCTCCCTCAGAGTGGCTGTTGGAGAGTCCTAAGCCATGGCTGGCCAGCACCAGCAATACTGTCTCAGGACAGTTCTGCAAGGCTGTTAACCCACCTTTAACTGGGAGCAGTGGCTACTCTGGAAGTTCTAAGGACATAATAGGTCTGAAGTGCTTCTTTTGCAGTAAAACTATATTATCACTCGATTGTGTTAGCAATATCTTAATTAACCATTGTTCAGCAATTTCTAGAGGCCTTTTATTCTGATGCCCAGTGTAGTTACAATAGGCAGTGGTTTTAATTTTAATATGTTGTTCATCTGAGCATTTCAACTATATACATTGTACATAGATATCCCTTGGAAGGATTCCTATATAGTGTCACTTGAAGAGGTCTGCAGGTGAAGTTCTTCTGATCAATGGATTTTCATGGATCTTGTGCAGAAGCAAAGAACAATGGAGGTGGCCAGTTCCCAGGTTAGCACAGACACAACAAAGTATTGGATACAGCATCCAGTATGAAGGATGCCATCTTTGGTCACAAATTAGCTTTATAGTTAAAGAGGATGGGGGAAAACTAAAACAAAATGCCGTATATTTGCTAACAGTGGAAATGTCGGGGTATCCCATTAATTAGGCCAGTTAGGTCACTCCTCTACTGAAACAGGAAGCTGCATATTGAGTGAATGTGTGGTTTCTGGTGTGAGAACTGGGCAGCCCCTCACTTGGCCTCTTGCTTCAAGTCCTCCTTGCAGAAATGCCGAAGGAGCTGCTGGAGATCGCGCTGGAGGTCGTCCTGGTCTAGTGCTTCTGGTACATCCTCCAGGTGCTCCAAGTCAATGCGTTTTCCATGCTGGTCCTTCACCACAGCCCTCTTCTGTGTAATGGCTTTACTCATTGTTGTCCTGGAGAAAAGCAGACAAGAGAGAATTACACTCTTTTCACTGCTAGAGGGCAGCTGTTAGGTATGAAGGTAACCATTACACCGAGTACTTAACGTATTACCTTTAGATATTTCCACACCAAACTATCAGCATAACAAACTATAGATATCTTTTTATGTCTTTCTTTTAAACACAGCTCCCCTCTCTAAAATGATTCGTGAGATTTTTTTAAAGAGTGTTTTGGAACAACGAGTATTTTTTAATTCTTTAAGAAAAATTTTAAATAAATGAAACCATGCTTTAATTTGATCTTCTTGAAAACTAACCATAAAATCATCCATGGTTTGATTAAGTAGCCCTGACTTAATAGAGTTTGGTTCATTCTGAAATAGTACCACAAGTACCTTTTGACAGGCTAAAAAAAAAAAAAAGTGTTTAATTTATTTGAAACACCTTAGCTGCCAGCTTAAACCTCACAGTCACACCCTCACCCAAACTTCCCAAAATCCTGTTTTCAGAGAACTTTTCTATGAGGCATCGGTCTTTAAAAACTAAAATATTAGTCTACCAATATATAAGAAGGTGGCTACCAACTAAAGATGATCTGCCCAGCTCTCTAAGGCTTCATCTGGAGATGGTGGGGGAGGAAAGGGAAAAGAGAAAAGCCACTGAGAGACAACTGCTTCCTCCGGATTCTCAGAGTCTCACGCTTGTTGCTCATTCTGTGTATTTCTTGCCATTTAACAGTCTGTTGTTTACTTGCCTCCCTTATAGACTGGTGGTTACTATAACTCCTTTTCTTGAGACAGAGTCTAGCTCTGTCGCCCAGGCTGGAATTCATTGGTGCGATCTCGGTTCACTGCAACCTCTGCCTCTCGTGTTCAAGGGATTCTCCGGCCTCAGCCTCCTGAGTAGCTGGGACTACAGGTGCCCACCACTACATCCGGCTAATTTTTTGTATTTTTAGTAGAGACAGGGTTTTGTCATGTTGGCCAGGCAGGTCTCAAACTCCTGAGCTCAGGTGATCTGTCCACCTTGGCCTCCCAAAGTGTTGGGATTACAGGTGTGAGCCACTGCATTGGGCCAAGAGCTATAACTTTTGTATAGTCATACTAATTTTAAGTCATACTAATATTTTCCTGTAACTGTACTTAAAAGTAATTATATTGTAATTTGCTCATTCTCAGCTCTTTTCACTTTCTTCTTCTTCTTCTTCTTCTTCTTCTTCTTCTTCTACTTCTTCTTCTTCTTCTTCTTCTCCTTCTTCTTCTCCTCCTCTTCCTCCTCTTCCTCTTCTTTCTTCTTTCTTCTTCTTCTTCTTCTTTTTTTTTTTGGAGTAAAGTAAAAGCAAGTCTATTAGGCAAGGAAGGGAATAAAAAATGGCTACTCCATAGGCAGAGCAGCCTTCTTCACTATATACTTCTAAATGCAGGTTCTCATTCCACAAGTATTTGATGAATGTGTTTTATGGGCCAGACACTATTATTATAACAAATAAGGAAATTGAATCTTGGAGAATTTTAGCAATAGTCCAAATAAAAAATAACAGAGTTAGCATGAGTGGGGCTGAGAGTCAAAGATTACAGAGCCTGAGTCCCCATAACCATACACCATGCATCTTCACTTAAAACCTCCATAGGAAATGATCAGTTTTTGTAGCTTTACCCAGCATTTTCCTTATAGGTTCCCAGTGTTAAGAAGCTGGAAGTTCTGCCATTATCCAATACCTCTATGGATTTGTTACGATCATCCTGATTTTTAAAAAATAACTTACTTCAGCCAAAATACTTTCAGCTTTTTTTGGACATCCTTGTTTCCGTCTTCCTTCTTCCCTTACATTCTTCTACTCTCCCTTTTTCTTTAATACTATATGAATTGTTCTGCATCTGGAAGCAGACTTAAATTTGTTCTTGCTAATGAAAAGGTCAAATTTGATTCCAATGATTGAAATCTGATGTTTTCCTAAATATTCAGCAACCATTTTTTTTTCTTCAAAAAGGCACATTTCTAACTATTTCTGCTAAGAGTTAGTAGAAGCCCTTATAGCATTGATGCCAGGGGTTAAGCCTCCATTATAGGCCATTTCATGATATTCTGTGCGGGCAAATGTAGGCCAATGTGTTTCTGAATATACACATGTATATGATGTCTTTAACAATGTATATAAAAAAGCATTGTACATCACAAACAGAGTTCCGTAACTAACTAGCTTCCACAACTAACTAGCTGTGGGAACTCTATGGAGTTGTCTATATTCCTGGCTTCAAAATCACCAGCCATAATTGAGAACTTTGGATTAATTGATCTCTAAATCTATTCCAGTTTGAAGAGCTCATGATGTTAGGGTATGTGTGGATTATGTGGTTTCATCTGAATAATTGAATAAAAGACTTAAAAGTTGAGAGTATAAAAGGCATTTTATCCTTAATTCACGTAGCATTTTTTAAGTTCTGCGAGAGCAATTACACTCTTTTAAATTCCTAGCTGCTGCTCTTTTCCCATTTGATTGGAGAGTGGAATTGTGACAGAACCTTTAATTTTGCTGTTCTAATTATTATGTTCTAAAGGCTTAAAATAGTTTTGTAGCATACTCTGAATGACAATCTTTCTCCCCTTTTCAATGAAGTGAAAAGCACGATGGTAACTTGGATTTCCATTGTGTCTTTTCACTGAGAAGCTGAGCACATTTTATTAATCTCAATACTTACAGTGCTGTTAGAGGACCAGTGAGAAGTGAGAGTAGATCTATGGAACAGTGCCCAACTTTATACATCAAATCCGTAACAGAGACCAGGGCAGACCAGTGTGCCTCAGAGTCAGCCCCCTTGTATAAGCATAAAAATGTACTGCTTACTGCTTTCATGACACTTGCTTAACTCACTAAAGCCCTAGGTTTCAGCATTGCTAGGTACATTCGTTTCATGGGTATCAAACTCATGCTTATGTTATTTGCCACTCACATGCAGAATCATACAGCAGCCGTTAAAAGAAACCACATACCATTCAAAGTAATGATTTACTAAGATTGAGCTGAATATAGCTGGTCACAAAATTAATTTGTGATCTATCAATTAGATTCTTCTTCCTATGCTCTCTGAATCTATCAACACAATGGAATACCAGCAGGCTGGCTTCAACTAAGTTGATGACTTGCTAAAACCCAAGGAGTCAGACTGTATAAGCTTGAGTCTCATTCTTGCTATGACTTAGTATTATGTTTAAAGTATCAAGAGGATACTACAGGGATGACACTTTGATAGATCCAGTACTTGACCAAAGCCTTATGATACAGGCAGTTCTCTATCCGCTTTAGGGTAGATGTAGGGATTCTCTCCTTCTTTTCTTAAAATTGGAAAAAATTTTATGGTGTTAGTTGGCAAAGCATCACCCCATGCTAACCCAAACCTTTTAATTATTGATCCATCCTCTTTCAGGATTTCATTCTCTACTAAACTGGGCAAGTGGACTTTCATGTGGCTACCTGTGTAACTCAAAGCCTGAAGTAAGAAGAAAAGAAAAGACAAAGCTCATCATAAACTACAGACTTTCAAACGATCTATTGCTTTGCTTTACTCATAGTCAGTATGAAAATATATACATGAAAGGATAAATAAATACAATTCCTAGAAGCAGATTTAAGTTTGGAGTTTTATTTAACAAGTCCTTCTAGTTTCTCTCATTTGTGTGGGAGATTTGTTATTTTACTTTACAAAAGCTGCTAGCTAATATCCATATGGATTGACTTTCAATTTCCTCCTTGCTTCACCCAACTCCTTTCTACAGTGGAGATTTTAATGATAAATATAATAACCAGAGGCAAAAATAAGCAAACAAGGCCCAAACGGTATAACACAGATAATTCATTTTTGACCATTCAAGACTGCTAGTTGTCAAAATGTGAAAACTGAAAGTTTTTTTAAAAGTTTGCTTTTAATACTCCAATGAATTCATATATGATTTCAATATATATTATGAGTATAGTAGAGGACACACATACAGCATTTAGTGTCAAAATGTTCCAATAGCGAAAGTACTTTGTAGATGTTTGCACATGCCCAGGATCCCTTAGTCAAAACTTTGGGACCAGATGTGTTTCAAAATTTAGATTTTTTTTCCCTTTTGGATTTTAGCAAGGTAATATAATGCATATGCAGTCACATGCTACATAATGACATTTTGGTTAAAAATGGACTGCATATATGGCATGGTCCCATAACATTATAATGGAGCTAAAAAAATTCCTGTCACCTAGCAATGCTATAGCTGTTCTAACTTCATGGTGCAATGTATTACTCAGATGTTTGTGGTGATACTGGTGTAAATAAACCTACTAAGCTGCCAATCATATAAAAGCATAGCACATACAATTATGTAGGGTACATAATACTTGATAATGATAATAAATGACTATGTTACTGGTTTATGTATGGTAAATACATTTACTATGTATAGCAAATACATAAATCAGTAACAGTCACTTTTCATTATCAAGTATTATAAAAGTGATACTTTTTATCACTATTTTAGAGTGTACTCCTTTTACTTATTAAAAAACAGTTAATTATCAAGGAGCCTCAGGCAGGTCCTTCAGGAGGTATTGCAGAATAAGACACTGTTTTCTTAGGATATGACAACTCCATGTGTTATTGCTCCTGAAGACCTTCCAGTGGGACAATATGTGGAGGAGGAAGACAGTGATATTGATAATTCTGACCTTGTGTAGGCCTAGGCTAATGTACATATTTAGGTCTTTGTTTTTAGCAAAAAAAAAAAAAAAAAATTCTTAAAAAGTAGAAACAAATAATACATTTAAAAAATTAAGAGCAGAAAAAAGAATAAGATAGAACAAGGATATGAAGAAAAACAATTTTTAATGCACCTGTGCAACGTGTTCACACCTTAACTTGTGTTATTACAAAAGAGTCAAAAGTTAAAATAAATGTAAAAGCTTATAAAGTCAAAGTTACAGTAAGTTAATTTATTATTGCAGAAAGAAGATTTTAAAAACTTAAAGGAAAATTTAAACATAGCCTAAGTGTACAGTGTTTATAAAGTCTACTGTAGTGTATAGTAATGTCCTAGGCCTTTACATTCACTCGCCACTCAGTCACTGACTCACCCAAAGCAACTTCCAGTCCTGCAAGCTCCATGGGAAGTATGCTATACAAGTAGAACACTTTTAATCTTTTATTTTGTATATCTACTAAACCTTTTCTATTTTTAGATAGGAAAATACTTACCATTGTGTTATAATTGCTTACAGTATTCAGCACAGTAACATGCTGTGCAGGTTTGTAGCTTAGGAGCAATAGGTTATACCTTACAGCCTAGGTGTGTAGTAGGCTATGCCATCTAGGTTTGTGTAAGGACACTCTACAATGTTCACACAATGACAAAGTTGTCTAACGATGTACTTCCCAGCACCTATCCCTGTCATTAAAACCCACTTATGCCTAGTGAACGCTAGGCATGTGGAAGTTATTTATATCCTACTGCTCAAGGTCATCACCAAGGTCTGATTTTTCACTCATGCAAAAATTTTAAAAATTGCAACCTCTGGCATAAGTGGGTTAAGCGATGCATGACTGTACTGTATAATACTAACACCCCAGAGGAGGTGAAGATGACATCCTGCAATCAAACGCATTTTTATATCACTAAACATTCACTCTAGGTAGAATAAAAAAGCTTCATGTCAGAATAGCTCTATGCCAATTTATTTCAAGTTTTACTTCCAAATTAACTTACAAAATTTGTTTTGGTTTTCAGAATTTGGGGATTTTAGTAAGAGTTTGTGGATCTGTTACTGTGGACCCATTTTCTAATTGTTGGAAACCAGAACTTAAATAATTGTAAATGCTTTTAAATTTTATGGACATGGAATATATCTGAATTTTCTTTAAGGTCTATCACAGATAATATCTGAAAAGATTGGCTAGCAAATATAATTTGCAATGTCTTTATTTCTTTCCCTTATTAATTGACAAAGCAAGACACTTCTGTGACTTTTAAACAAGATGTATAATCAGATCCCAGCTCCAGAGATTCTGAGTCTGATTCGTCAGAAGCAAATCCTAGTTATCTGGACTTCTAAAAGCTGTTAAGGTGACACCAGTGAACACCACAGTTTGAGGAAACATTGCTCTGCAAGTTATTCAAACAGGAGTTCTACCCTCTTGAATTATTCTGTACCTTTCCATGAATTCATGTATGGAATTACACAATGACAAACGATTTTCTTTTCAAATGCAAAGCAACATAAAACACACACACACAAAGACAAAATGATGATGCTTCTATACCTCTTCAAAGTCATCTTTGGCTGAAGGAAGATCAGTGGCTAAACTAGAATCCCCCAGATGTTTCTCCATCCTCTCTCCACGTACCACAGTTGTTTTAACAACTTTGCTGACTCTACGGCCTTCCACTGGCTCAGCCTGAAATTGTGAGGTACTGGACAAAATGCTGGGCTCACACAAAGTGACCTAATGATCGAAGGACACACAATAGACAATGTCTGATTGCCAAATGTAACTATGATGAATTTTTTCTATGTTAAAAAACAAAGGACAAAACTATAATGTTACATACTGGCTTTCCAAAAAACAGCAATGGGAAGCAGAGTTAGAAAAAAACAAACTATAACCTATTGGTAATATGTACATCATGACTGTATCTCCACAACACCAAAGCAAACTTAATTAGTTATTTGAACAAAAAGCTATCAGTTTTGTGAATAAGAAACTGCTCAGTGTAATACAGACGACATAATATGAAAAAACTCTTCTCACGTTTAAATAATTTCTTTTGGTATTATGAAGATAAAATTAGCCCCCAAAGGAGGAGCTCTAAAAGCTATGAGAAACTGAAAAGTAGATTTCTAGAGAATCTCATGTGTATAATATAAAATTTTGAGGATGTGAATGAATGGAAAATAGTGAGAATTTCACAAATTGTTGTCGAAGCAAGTAAATACGTCCCTGAAAGAGGGAAGTAAAACAGAAATAAATAGAAGTATAGATTGCCAGGTGCAGTGGCTCATGCCTGTAATCCCAGCACTTTGGGAGGCTGAGGCGGGTGGATCATTTGAGGTCAGGAGTTCAAGACCAGCCTGTCCAACATGGTGAAATGCTGTCTCTACTAAAAATACAAAAATTATCCAGGTGTGATGGTGGGTGCCTGTAATCCCAGCTACTCAGGAGGCTGAAGCAAGAGAATCGCTTGAACCCGGGGGTGGAGGTTGCAGTGAGCTGAGATCATGCCACTGCACTCCAGCCTGAGTGACAGAGTGTAACTCTGTCTCAAAACAAAAAGCTAAAAGGATAAATCAAAGAGTTTCTAGATCCTGATTTTAGTAACTCTGCAATGCAGAAATCTGAATATCAAATATTTATCTAGAGTGACTTTCAGAAGGCTGGTGTGCCAAGCAGGCACAAGCCCCACAGTGCATTTCTACACAGTCTCTCCACAGCGTACTGCTTGCCCAGCAAATAGCATTGTATTCTTTCAAAATTTGACTTTTGGATTTCTGCAGTGGTCAACCATGAATTAAATAAAGAATAGATATTTTTTAAAAGACCAAACAAAAACAATGAGTATAATGCCTAGAAGTCTCCCTGATGGCTGTCTTAAAATCACACAGAATCATGAAAACAAAAACGGAACGTGCAACTAAAAGCAAACTGCCATATAAAAGGGAGATGTGAGGAAAATGTGAATAAACAATCTCATTCATCTTTTTTGAGTTCTATTTTGTTCCTCTCCATAAAATGGGTTTTAGAGAATCAGGTTGTCTCACCTCTGACTGCTCGGTGTCACTCTTCAATACAACACGCTTTATAACTTTGGAATAGCCATCCCCTTCCTCGATGTTGACAGGTTCCTGTGGCATTCCCTGCACCGTAATCTCTTCTTTCTCTGTGCCTTCAGAGGATACGTACCGCCTAATGATTTTCCTAGTAACCTGAAATGTATTTCATTTGTGTATCTTATTTTTGTGTGACAGTACCATGGAATTGATACATTTTAAACAGGAAGTTTGTAATCAAGCCTGTTGGATTATACTAGACAATACCTTCTTTACCACGGTGTGTCCATGCTCATCAATGTATTCTTCTTCTGTGACTGTTTCTGGGGGTATTTCGGGCATATCGTCTCCCTAAACAGTTGAGAGAAAAGGGTCACTGCACTGTTTGGCACCAATTCTGAGGAACTACTCCCAAGTGCTTCTAATGTGAGGAATGTTAGAAAACCAAAGGCGATGTTGAGAAGCATTGCTGAGATACAAAATCCTGTCAACTAGTTTGTTTAAAAGAAAAATGCAGGTGGGTAATAACATGCTTAGGAGAGTATGACCAAAGTTAGATCAAACTTCAACAAAAATAGTTAAGCGAGAGGTGAGGTGGGCGGAAGTGAAGAAGCCAAGTCTTGCTCTTGCTTGGTGGCTCTCTTGGAGGAAAGCTGGAACCACTGAGTTTCTTTGCAAACAGAACTTATGAGCATTAAGGAGTCTGCTTTTGAATGGCCATGCACTACCTAAGGAACATGCCAAGCCTTCATTGATCCAGGCTGATCACTCTCTAAGGGTATGGGGACAGGACTGTCCCTGACGTGCAGTAATTTAACAGCGGGTACCTGAATAATCACTCGCCGGCGGACAACCCTGGTAGTTACCATCGCCTCCTCATCTGAGCTGGCCTCCAGCTCCCCTAATTCCTCTGTTAGCTCCTGGTGGAAGCATGGAAGCATTGCTTTGTTTAACATGCTAAGGAATGACTTCACTACTGGTTTCTTCTTTAGCTTACATTGTATTGTGAAACTTTTATTCACAGAGTCTTCGGTGGACACGTTGGTAGAGGTGAAAACAAGTATGTGCTGGTCTCAGACATCAACAAAAATAGAGTGTTTTGGTTTCTTTTGTTTTTTTGTTGTTCAATGAATGAAAAAAAATTCTGGAATTCTGAGAGTTGTTGGAGAACCCATCTGTCAAAATCTCTCCAAAATAATAAGCAGCTTACTCACGTGACTTTTTTTACTTAAACTCCTAAAAAAAAAAGCCTGACTGTAAATATAGAACCTAAGCAGTTCAGTAAACACTTATGAGCCACTGACGCTTGTGCTTAGGCTTGGAATTATTCACCCAAAGGTATAGGAATATCCCCTGTTTCTAGCAGAACTTTTTGCAGGAAGTCAAAGTTTCCTGTAGCTATTATCAAACCAATAGTGCATCTCCCTGGCATCAAAAAAGGCAGACTCTGAATAATATTAGAATAATTTTGCGGGGAAGTTGAGATAAAGTGATCAATAGTATTTTAGGGCTCTGGCCAAAAGCCAGAGATAAAGCAAAAAACATAATTTTAGCTTAGCACATATTACCTTAGGAGTCATATATTGAATTACTGTTCCCTAAATAAATTTTGTTTTTAAAAAAGACAAAGCTCAAGTAGATCTACTTAACATACTGTAAAACTCAAGTTATATGTTTACATTTGTCTCTGCTAAAGGAAGACATGTAAATTCTAAACCAAATTATGTTTTAAATATAATCAGGAATCTACTGCCCAGAAATATGGTTGGCAAGAAAAGTGATTAAAATTGGATGCCCAAGTTAGGGTTATGAGAAATAAGGGTCCACACGGGAAACTTACAAGAAATGCCTGATACTCATCAAGAATAAGTCGAACAGGCCTGTATAAATTATGTGAAATTCAGAATGATTTACACAAATGTATTCCTTTAGTATAGATTAAACATATGTATTATCCAGATAATTGTTTCAAGTCTAACTTCACTAAGCCTATGGATTCTTAGGCTAAATTTGGTAACTTTTAGCCCAGATAACATGTATGAAACATTTTTAGTAGTACTCATTCAAGCCAAGAATTTGAGAGATGAATAATTCTATGCAAAAGCAAACTTGGAATAAAAATTCATTCATGGCATGGATTTATTATTTAAGAAAACTGCCAAAAATCAGGACACAGTTCTCATCCGCCTGGATCTTTCCTAATTTTAGTTATGATTTCAGACAATTCCTAGCAGCAGATCTCATTCTTACAGTGAACAAAAACACATGTGTGTCTTCAACCCAAAGATATGCTATTTCATTTTATTTTCCCCAAAATTTCAATTATTTCACTTAACTCTTCTTTTACTGCTAAGCTGCTCGAAAAACACTTTGAAATATAAAGTGTTTTTGAATTCTATTACTTTTTAAAAGAAAAAACAATATCTAATTTAATTTATATTAAATTAAGTTTAATTCAAACAAATTCTCATACTTTTTTTGTGGCTGAGAATCCTCTGGGGAGTTATCTAAAAGGCAAATTCTTGTTCTCTCTCCCTACGCTGGGATTCATTCTAATTCAGGATTTCTGAGAAGGGATCAAGCTCTCCAATCAATTCTGAGGTATGTGAACTATATAGACCATATTTTGAGAATAAATGGTTGATTAATTTCTTTTTTTTATTTTTAAAATTTATTAATTAATTAATTTATTTTTTTGAGACGGAGTCTTGCTGTGTTGCCCAGGCTGGAGTGCAGTGGCCGGATCTCAGCTCACTGCAAGCTCCACCTCCCAGGTTCACGCCATTCTCCTGCCTTAGCCTCCACAGTAGCTGGGACTACAGGTGCCTGCCACCACACCTGGCTAATTTTTTTGTATTTTTAGTAGAGACGGGGTTTCACCATGTTACCCAGGATGGTCTCGATCTCCTTATCTCATGATCCGCCCGCCTCGGCCTCCCAAAGTGCTGGGATTATAGGCATGAGCCACCGTGCCCGGCCAATGGTTGATTACTTTCTTAACATGGTCCCCACCCCTTTTCACAATTTTAAAACTCACTTAATGACAAAGGAAGCGCTATGAAATATGCCACTGTCAGACATTTGTACATTTAGAAACTGCTGTAAGTTTAGGTACAATGTTTTTTTTCTCAGTCATTCCCAAAATAAATCTTAAAAAAAAAAAATCTAACTTGGAAATCATCTTGCATCTAATGAGAAAAATTTATATTGGCAGCTAAACCCCACCCAATATCCACAGTCTGCGTGCTCATCACCTGACAGGCCAGAGATCTAACAAGCCTGCTGGTCCCAGCACATCCCATGGCAGACTTACCTGTTGCTGTTAATCTCTGCCACCAACTTTCATGCCCAACTTTACTAATTTTGAAAAGCTCCTCCAGATATATTGTTTCACCACCGTGTTCATTTTTCTTAGCAAAAGACTTTCCAGTGATAAGATCAGGGCTTATGATCAAATCACTAGCACTGGAACTGTGCACCATTTCTTCTAGATTAATCGACTCTCAGATTTTAAAAGGGATTGAGGATTTCCATGTGCCAGGTTAATTAATTTGGTTAACTTTTTTGTTTTGAAGTGAAAAAAATAAACCATCAGAGAAATGGAAACTGGAAGATTTGTAGCTTTGTTACAGGTGGGCGAGAAAGTGGAGAGGAATGTCTTACCTTTTCAAAAGCTGCATCTTCATCGAGTCTTTCACGGGTCTCTGGCTGGTTATCGGCAGACTCCACTATTACGAGGCTGGTTTTCCGCGGAGAGCTCTCCTCTCTGTGCTCTGAGGGCTCTTCGGGTTCTTGTATGATGGGAGAGCCTCCCCGCTCACTGGATGTTGGGGTCTGGAGGTACAGCCTGTCCTCCTCTGGAGGGGTGCTAACTTCCTCAGGTGTCTTGCTGGGAGAGCCAGGTACTGTCGTAGCCTTCTGAGTCTCTGATGCTTCTGTTCCTGGAGTTGTCACACTGGAATGAAAAAGTCAAATGAGACTTCAGGGACATTTGCATTTCACCTCCCGCTCAAGCAAGCAAATTGAAAGGTAAGATGGAGCTGGTTTTTCCATAGTCTATGAGAGTCAAAATAGTTTTTGTACATTTGGCCAAGAAAGGCATTTGAAGAAAAATAATCTGATGAGATATAGAGTTGTAGCTCATTGAGATCTAGCACTGGCAGAGAGTGATGTATTATTCTGAAGATGAAAATTATCCTAAAATGTATTACAGTTACCCAACCTCTACAATGTATGTAAGTTATAGTTTCATCTTTTCTTTTATAACTCAAGGTGATATTGAGGATGCAATGAATTTTACATAAGTATTTGTAGATAATAAGGCTTTTGAAGCAAGGATCAAAATTTGGCAGAATTAAGTAAATCCCCATGTTAATATAGTTATCATAACTATAAATACAAGGAAATTCTTATTGTACCTCTGAAAAACTGTTTCATTTAATAATAGAGGCATCTGTTGACATGGAAACATTTTTCATTGATAGTCTGGAGTTACTCCAGTATAACTTTGATAACCTCAACTGCTAATTAAGATTATTTGCCTTTTCTGTGCCTTCTTTTGGTATTTAGTGCAATCTATCACTCCATAGATATTAAATGCCTAAAATGTCTCTCTCTTATCCTCTCCTCTTCTTCCCATCTTTTCCTTAGTCCTTCTCCTTCTTACTTATATTTTCTTTATGCTCACCCTTAAAACCTACAGGTTGATGGGGCAAGGGTGGCTCAGTACAAGAAAAGATAATTTCATTACCCATTTCATCCTCTTCTCATGTCAGTGACCATAAAACTTACCAAATGACAAGTGAAATGCTTTGATACAATCTCATGACACCCTGTTCTCAGACTTCAGGTTTAGGGATATGTTGGCCTTTCTCACAATTTGTTTTCTTTTTCTGGATAATCAATGTCAATTACACAACTCTTTCTTCCTTGGCTTCCATAAAGGCTGGAATTTAAATTCTGAGCTGAATTAGGCTCTGCAGCTTCCTTCAGCCAGAAGCTCTTCATAAGACTTATCTTTATTCCCACCCCAACTCTATTCCAACACATTTTAATAGTCTTTTATTCTATGTGGCTAGTTTGCATTGCATTTATATTTTTATGGCTAGTCCCCTCATATGCACCTCATGGTGCATTGGTTGAAATGCACCATTGGCTGTGGTAGCTACATCATCACTGATCACACTCCTAACCAGCAATGGCATGATGAGCTCCATATTTGAAGTGTTACAGAGAAAATGAGGTGCAGCAATATTATAAGTCATAGCTGTGTCATCTACAGGGAATTTTACAGTTTAGATGAAGCATTCATAAACACACTTTTGACCCTGTGAGATGAGTCAAGTGTGTATTATTACTATAATTTACAGATGTGGAAATGGAGATTCAAAGCACTTAAGGACTTGTTCAAAGTCACAGCTCTGGAAGTTGGTTCTTGTAGGTCTGTGCCCCAAACACTGTCACAATTATGTCTCTTACATGTTAATGCTTTTGTTTTTCCTTTAGCTCTGGCACTTGTGATTGGTAGGGTCATTTTAAAATTATTTAAAAACTAGTTATGCTTATATATGCCTGGCATCCACATTAGCCTGTTTCTTTGGTATTACATTTGACAGGCCTTCTTTGGAAACTCACAAATATTCCTGCCGATATTCCAGAGATGACTCTTCAGGCAGGTCTTGCATTTTCCCTGAGAAATCTTGTTGAACTTGCTCCTTGTGAGTTTGGGGAAACAGTGCTGTTGCTGAGCTGTCCCCTTCAGTTTTGGGGATGCCATCCTGAAAAGTGGAATAACCAACAGAAATGTCTTCCTCTGAGACGATAGGAGGGTGATCGCAGGTCTCGCTTTCTTTAGAAAGAGCTTGTTCCTCTTTCTGCTTGTGCTGTGCAGTGCATAACTCCTCTTGAAGTACCGAGAACCCTAAAGGGAGAATTATTTAAGTATTTAGTTGAAGCTTACCTATATTGAATGGATATTTATTAAGTAACTACTATGTGTTACATCCTGAGATGGGCTGATGGATTACAAAGACGAAGAAGACACTGCATCCGCCTTCAAGATACTGATCATGTAGAAGAGTCTATGCAAGTAAGAGTCAATTCCAATGCAGAGCAACTGGGTCATAGGTGCCAGTCAATGAGTGTGGGAGCACCTAACATGAGGTTAGAATTTGGAAAGAAAATACAGAGTGTGTTACATGCCAAGGAGACGTAATGGTAAGTGGGAATGGACTGAGATAGTCAAAGCACAGAATCTGAAGAGTAAGAAGAGTACAGTTAATAATCATCATAACAAATAATAGCTAATACATACTGAAAATTTATTCTGTGTTAGGCACTGTTCCAAGTGCGCTGCAAGTATTAACTTGATTAATCCTCACTCTAGCCTATGAGGATAGTACTCTTTTTACGTAGAGTCTTTTATGACAGGCTAAGGAATTTCATTATATCCAGGGAAATGAGGAGTCATTGAAAGATGTTTAGCAGAGGAGTGACTGGCATTCATCTATTGACTCACTTATTCAACAGATATATATTGAGCATCAACTACGTAGTATGTGCTCCTTAGATGCTGGATATATAGCAGTGAACAAGATAGAAAAAGCTTCTGTCCTCACTGAACTTGCATTTCTGCAGGTATATATTTATGATAAATATTGGGAGAAAAGCAAACCAGGATAAAGGCAGACGATAAATGGGGCTAGTATTTTAAATAGACTTGTCAGGAAAGGCTCTGCTTAGGAGGTGACATTTGAGCAGTGACCTAAATAAAGTGAGAAAAAGGTATATGTTGATCTGAGGAAAGAACATGCTAGGGTGGAGGAAGCAGAAAATACCAGGGCCCTGAAACAGGAGAATGCAGAGGAATGGCAAGGAGGCCAGGCGTGCAGGACCAGTGCGATAAGGAGAGAGGTGGGAGATGAGGACAAGCTGTGAGGCTCTTGCCCAACACTAAGATACATCATCATTCATATCCATGAGAAGTAAACTGCCACAGAAAAAAAAAAGTGAGGAGAAACAGCCAGTAAAGTAGAAAAAAAAAAAAAAAAGAAGAAGAAGCAGCGAGAATGTCATGAAATTTAAGTAAAGAAAATGTTTTAAGAAGAAAGGCTTCACTATTCATGCCAAATGTTACTCAGTGGCAAAGTAAGTTGAAGAATGAGAACTGCCTGCTAGACTTGACAATGAGGAAACAATAGGTGAATTTTATAAGATTGATTAGAGTGAATTACAGAGAGTTTTAGAGGGAATGGGAAGAGAGGAAGCAGAGACAAGAAATTCAGACTATTCCTTTAAGAGGTTTCCTATGAAATGGATGGAGTAACAGCAGTAAAACAGGGGGGACATATAGGGTAAAAGGAGTTATTTGCTTTGTTTTGTTTTTAAAGATGGGATCTATTAAAGCATGGTTTAATGCTGTTGGGTATGGTCTAGTGGTAGGAAGCCAAAATGGATACTTGCAGGAATGGAGTCCCTGATTGGGTAAAAGGAGATGAAATCTAGTATAAAACAAGAGATGATAGCTTTAGCAAAGTGAGGAAATTTTATCTATTTTAATAGGATGGAAGGTAGAGTAAGTACATGCATTGAGATGCACTCACATTGGTAGATTTGTGGTGGAAAAATATAGACATTTGCTTCTGATTATTCCTACATTTTCTAAGAAATAGGAAGCCTGGTCATCAGCTGGGTATAAATAAAGAAAAGAGACAGTGTTGGAGGTTTGAAGGAAGAAGATAACAAGTAAAATAGAAACAAGAGAGAGAGAAAAAAAACAAAACAAAACAGTGTTAGAGACCACAAACGAATGAGAACAGGTTAGGGAAACTTTAATACTGAAAATGTGGTAGGGCCAATGGCTGGAGGTCCCCGAGGGTCTGAAGCACTGTCGGTGCAGAAGTAAAAGAGGAAATGTACAGTCACTGGTAGTGATATAGTCCTAGTTGTGAGCCTAGAAACACGTGGCTAAGGTAGCGTAAAAAAATACAAGTGTAAGAAGTGCCACCATGGAACTGAGGAAAGGGAATTCAATGGATCATTTTGTTATCTGTGAAATAACAAAGAATGAGCATGAAGTGGAGGTGGGAGGGTGTGTAAAACAGGGAGGAAAGCTTCAGGGTAGCAAGGAAAAGAACATATGATCACCATAGGCCACGGTCTCCCTTCTGAAAAACAAACAAACAAAAAAAGACAGTAGGTCCAGTGCCTCAATTAACCACACACAGACACAACATATACACACACACACACATAGACACACACACACAGTTTGACCTTCACTATGATCCAGTGTAATGGTCTGTTCAATTTCTGCATAACTATGACTGATGCGCTCCTGGAGAGGTTCCATGTTGGTCTCCATGAGATGAACAATATCCATTCGGTTGATCTTGGTGAGACATTCAATGAGGTTCGTATCTGACACATTAGAGAAAGAGCATTTATTACTTCTGAGAGGTACTCTTAGAAATATCTTTCACTTAACTGCCTCACTCAATTTTTGATATCTGTACAGAAAAAAACAATCAAAGCTTAATTAAAAGTCTTTGTAAAAATAAGCCAACAGACAAAAGAGATATGCATATTTAAAAAAGTGGCACAGCATGGGCACAAGTCCTAAAAGTAGAATCGTCAGATAACATACAGGACACCCGCCATACCTGAATTTCAGATAAAAAACAAATACTTCTTTAGTATAAATATGCCCCAAATATCACATGGGACATGCTTATGCTAAAAATGTATTTGCTGACCACTTGAAACTTAAATTTCACTGGGCGTCCTTCTGTTTTTATTTGCTAAATCTGACAATCCTACTTAGAAGAACGTAAAGAAAAGGAATGATAAATATAGACTGGATGTTATTTATGAGTAAAGGAAGCAGAAACAGAAGGTAATGCACTACCAGTGAAACAATGCTAAATAAAGCAATTGTGTCCACTTATCAATATTTTAAAAATATTGCGGTTTGAATAACATTACTGTTAGAAGTGACAGCTGTTATTTAATGCTGTTCATACACATATTGTGCAAGAGTTTTTATGCAACATGCATGCTTTAGAAGTGACAGTAGCTTGTTCTCATTTGCTTACAGTAGTTCACTAAGTTCTCACTCAACATCATTGATAGATTCTTAGAAAACAATGTTCTGGTCACAAAAACATGGCCAAACTTCAAAATAAAACCCCAAATACTTCTAATATTAAACACTGAAGTGAAAGTGAGCTACACATACATTTAAGAAAGACTAGTAAACACAAATAAGATAATTATTCAATTTTTGAGGAACCAGTGAGTGATGGAGGTCATAGTGGTGGTGGGGTTCAATCAAGGAATAAATCTTTGCAAAGTGAAAATTGTAAGGAGCACCTCCTCCCACCATGCCGTTCGTAAACAAACAATAACAAATATGGTGGGCTCATTGAGTACTTTCCTAAGGCATCATTTATTTCATGCACTTGTATAATTATCATACACTGTACACATTTTTATTTGACAATAATTTGTATTAATTCATTCATTCTTTTCCCAATCCCCTTATTCAGTTCAGGGTCTCAAGTGGCTGGAACTTAACCCAGCAGCTCAGAGCACTTTGCATGGGAACCAACCTGGGAGATGATGCCATCCCATTGCAGGGGGCACTCACACACACCCACACTCACTCAGACTGGGATAATGTAGAAACACCAGTGAAACTGATATACACATCTTTGAGATGTGGGAGGAAACTGGAGTACTGGGGAAAAAGCCACATGGACATGGGGAGAATACATAAACTATACACAGACAGTGGCCTTGCTGGGAATTAATTCTTTTTTCTCATCAACGTTATAAGGAGATGACATTGAACAAAATGATATTACTCAAGGACCTGCTGTACTGTGGATTAATGGCATTTGCTTCTTTACTGTTTTACTGAATTTGCAAGATGCGGTTGTTGAGCAAGACATGTCCAACTTTAGCCCAATACACATATAGTTCCCCACTTACCTGTAGCGTGTTTCCCATCCCTCTCTAGCCAGTACTTCAACAGTGCATGACTCTGGTCTTGAAGAGAGTTGGGATTTTCAATTCGAATTTGATGAATTTGCTCCTCAGTGAAATCCAGTTCTCTTGCTAATTCTAGAAGATAAAATACTACTTTCTAAACACAGTAACTTCAAGGTTTCAGTCTCTACACCTTGTTTTGTGATTTTGTAAAATCACAAAATCATGATGTGTTCATGATTGTGTTCTTTATATTGTGGTGTGAGTATTTGGGTTCTTTAATTTCTACATATTAGAAGTGACTCTTAAGTGCCTTTGTTCTTCTAGTACTAATTGTGGATTTTTTTCCCTAAAACTGGGTATAGAATTGATCACTGCATAGTGAAAATAAGTATGAGGCAGTGATGATAAGATATGCATAATTCAGGCCCATTTGATTTCAAAATGCAAACGAGATCATTAATACTTGCTTATGCTTTTAAGCAAGATAATGGAAAATAAATGAAGGATAACAAGAAAAAGAAAACATTTCCCCCTTTAATTAACATAAATGATGTTTTTGAGTATTATAAATCCTGTTTCTGGATACTTTGATAAATACTAGCTGTAGCTATATTATGGTGGTTGGATAAATGCCTGTCTTTGACTTCATGTCAGGTGAATAAGAGGTCGAGGAAGCATTAACTGATCCAGGGAAGAAGACACAAAGTTTTCCTTTGAATTCTACTATTAACATTCCATATAGGTTGGGTGGGCCCAGTAGCTCATGCCTGTAATCCTAGAACTTTAGGAGGCTGAGGTGGTAGGGATTGCTTGAGGCCAGAAGCTCAAGACTAGCCTGGGCAATATAGTGAGACCCCATTTCTACAAAAAATAATTTTAAAAAATTAGCTGGGTATGGTAGTGTTTGCCTAAGGTTCTAGCTACTCAGGAGGCTGGGCCAGGAGGATCACTTGAGCCTGCGAGTTTGAAGTTACAGTGAGCTATGATTGTGCCACTACACTCTGGCTTAGGCAACAGAGCATGATCCTGTCTCAATAAAATAAAACAAAACAAAACAAACAAAATAACAAACAAAAAAACCATTCCATATGGATGCTTATACATTATGGGGTGTGTGTATGTGTGTGTGGGTGTGTAAATGGGGTGACTTCTTTTGAAAGCAATTTGACAATATCTTTCAAAATTAAAAATATATGTATCTTCTTCCCAGCAATTCTACTTCTAATATGCCCTATAGATATACTCACAAAAATATACCAAAGCACAAGAATATTTACTGCCATCACCAGGAAACCACCTAAAGCCCATCAACAAAGGCCATTGATAAAATTATGGAACCTCCATATAGTGGAATTAAATACCCTCTTAAAAGAATGAAATACATATGCATATGTTAACACTATTTATGAGGAATATTATTCAGTAAAACTTTTCTTACTTTTAAATAATATAGGCACTGTATACTTTTTCTAAAAGCATGAGAAGGTATTAGCAGTTATTTCTGAGGCACACGGCTAGAAGACAGACGTAGGTGTGAGAGTCATATTTACTTTTCATTTTATGTCATTCTATATGGCGGTAGGATGTGAATTTTTACCAAATATATACATATTGCATTTACTATGTAGGTATGGATACAAAGATATTTAAAGAGCAAAATAAATAATTCTGAATGTTATCTAGTAAGTCAGTCAGGGATAGTTTGGTATCATTTTCTTCCCTAAATCCCCAAATTAGTTAAGTCTGATCAGTATGTAAGAATTACTTTAAGATTATTAAAAGTGAGAAAGTGGCCACTTCTCCTGTTTTCAGTCATGTACTCTAAATTATCAGTTATCTTTATGAGTATTATGGGCTCCTATTCATCACCAAATCTGAGAAATGGAAAGGAGAAGAATATTATTTTACAATGTTTGTCTCTTTGAAGTAGTCACAAGTGATATTAAAAAAAAAAAAAAAGACTAAAACAAAAAAGCCAGACTGACAATGTTGTTTTAATAGGTTAAGTCACAGGTAGATGAAAATGTATAGTTTTTAAAACCTACAAATCATAATGTGTAAATAAAATATATTGATTTTAGAATTAACTTTTCCTTAATAAATTATTAACATAAAAATTCTACACATAAACACTCTCATCTCTCAAAAATATTAGTGAAATATCTCATTCATGTGTGTTTTAACACTTACTTAAAGCAAATTTTAGTGTTGTTTACTATGAAGATTTTTGACATAAGGTATATAAAAGAAGGAGCCCTGGTTAAATCTCACATTAAATATGGTAAAAATTACATCTAAAAATTATTTTGAAACATAATAATCTCCCCCAAATTTAGATATTCACAACTGCCAAAGGAGGTTCCTGAAGGTGGGTATATTCTCTAAATCTTCTAATGGAAAGTTATATTATTCTAAATCTCAGAAATGATAAAAGGCCTGCCCTGGGCTGTATATACCATTAGCTGATGCAGAGCCCAGGTTTTCTAGTACTTAGTTCATTCTTCTTTTCATATATTCTTTCTCAAGAAAGCGAGGGGTACCTTTTATGCTGTGAATGACACTTGACTGATGCATCTATGTCAGGTTTTGTTGAAAACCTGGGTCACATTCTTTTTACCTGTCCAGCTGAAGCCAAGGTGATCAGCAATATAAGCCAGCCTTTCCTCGATCCGTTCCTGCTCATCCTGTGGATCTGGAGAAGGTCAAAAACAGAATGGCCAAAGGTTGTCTATGACAGGAGAGGAACCACAGTACTGATTCATTCAAAGAAAGGAAGTCACTTCTCCAAATATTTGAAAGCACAAACTAGATACTACATTTCAGATCATATTGCATGTCTGATTTCCGGGGTGGAATGGGGAATAGATCTAATATGAATCATGAAAACCATCTGCTTCCATATCTCTTTAATCAAGACTAGTTACTAGACATAATTATATAAGTTGCTGATTTCTACTAATCTTATGACTTTTCTTTTAAATTATTGGAGAGAATACTGCCCACCAAGAAGACCACCATCTTGTTCATGAAACACCAGAGAAATCATAAATGGGATGCAGAAGGGGAGCAATTGGCTAGGACCTCCTATTATTGCTTGTGGAGGGATAGATCATTTCCAGGTCATTTCTGAAAGGAAACACAGCAGGGATTCACAAGAGATGTTGATCATGAGTTGATCAGGCCATCCTGATTAGTGTGGCCAGAAACAGCATTTGGTCCTGGTGACCTTGGAGAAACAGGGATAAAAGCATATGCATTTATATGTGTATATTGTATCTGTATGCATATATGTCTTTGGGGCAATGTTTCTGCCTTCTTGCTATTAAGCTTATATACTACTCACTCCTATAAACTATAATTTTCCCATTCATGTTTAACTCCCACTGATTGATGGGCAGCATTTTAGACCATGGTATAGGAAATTTTGTATAACCTCAATTTAAGAATGGCAGTCTTCATTGTAGAGATATTGGAAGAACACAGGCTACTTTTCAAAGCCATCTATGGTTTCCTTTTTCATAAGTCAAAGAGCCATCATCCCCTCACAGTCAACTTAAACTGTGCAAAGTTTGAGTTTTTGTTGTCTGCTGCATCTAATTAGAGTACATTCTCCATTCATCTACCACATAAATGAAAAGCATATTTTTACCTTAGGTTTGTTTGCTTAAAGTATTTACCAATGGTATCTGAAATCCAACCTTTCTGAATCAAAAACAGATCCACAACAATTAGAATTTCATGTTATGTGAAATCTTCTCAAGCAAATGGCTTCCTAATGATTACAAAATTGTAAGTACAAATTATTTTAAAGTATGCAAAGGTAAGAAGAAAAGCAATGAGTCTTCATACTATGAAACAAAATACAATATATTCATGTGCAAAAGTGCTTAATTTGAGTCTAAGCTCGGGACTTCAGAACAACAAAACTCAAAGCTCGCATGGCCTTATTACGTGCAGAGGCTAAAGAAAGGCAAGATCACTGTTGCCTGGTTATTATGTTTATGTTTTCCATAAGCATTCTCATTACTCAATCTTGAGATTGTTTTCTTAGACAAGAGTATACAAAGAAAGCACAAAACACAAAGGGCTTACACAAACACATTAGCCACTACAGAAAGCTTAAAGAAAATGAGACACAAATCATCAAATAAAACAACATACAAAAAAACTATATCAATTTTATGACATGCGTAGCACAGGGAATCCCAGTGGCTGGCAAATACCTTCAGCATGGTCATGGCCATTTTCATCAGGGATGCGTTCAATCAGAGTCTCAATAGACTCATCCCAAATGGGCCTTGTGTCAAAGATGTCCTCAGGAACTGAGTGCTCGGTCTCAACAGGTGGCAGATTTTCAATTACTGATACTTCCAGGGCACTACTACTTTCATCGTCTGAAACTAGTTCCTGCTCCCTCTCTGACTGTGTCAGCCTATCCACTAACTTGGAAGCCTCATCACTAATCTCCTCAAAGAATTCTATGGAATTTCTGTAAAGGTCAAAGAAATGCTCTTTACTTTCTTTTGTTGGGCTTGTGCCACCCCTGCAGGAAGATGTGGTGCTTCTGCTCTTAACTGGCAATCGGGATGTAAGTATCTTTGGTCTTGTGGCCCCTTCTTCTGATTCTAACTCAAGTTCCTCTGCCCTTTCTCTGCTCTCTGTTTCTGTCTCAGTGTAACTTCTGGTTTTTACTGGGCATTTGGTCTTTGAGTCCAAAGAACTAGCATCAGATTCAGATTTGCTTCTATTATCTGGTGCGATGCTTGTCATGTCCTGTCCCTGAGGAGCCACTGTCTCCTGGACAGGGGTGTCTAGATCTGAGAGCTGCTGTTCAACTCTTTGGAGGGGTACTTTGACAGGGAGTTTGGACTTTGGTTTTGCTTCATCCTCATTATTTTCCTCATCTACACTGGATAGCAAATCTTCAGAAAGGGAACTCTCATACTCTGCAGATGGAGGTGCTGGGGTGTAAGTGGGCATAGTCCTTACAGGAATTTTGGATTTGCTTTCAGTAGAAGGCACATTCTCCATGGGTGCAGTAGGAATTTCAATTACTGATTTCTGTTCTTCTGGGGAAGAATCGGGAGAATCACCACCCCTATCTGAATAAACAGACCTGGTGACTGTGGAAAAATCTAACTGGACTTGTGCAACTGGTTCAGAAGAGTCGGGGCAGGATATCTGCTTTACACCAGACAGAGGAGGCATATCACCCGTTTGCATGGTGGGGAGGTCCTTGGTCCCTACACTAACAGCCTCTTTTGTCGGTGTTTCAGGGGAGGCTGAAATCCCCATTTGGGGGTTAAGTTGAGTATCCGAAGCAGGTATTTCCTCTACTTCCTCACTCAGGTCATCTGGAAGTAAGTCTGCCTCATCATCCACTGTTTCTTTTGATTCTGGAAGTGCTAGTGATTCAGTTGATGTCTCCAGCGGTAGGGGCTCAGCCCCAGTAGCCCCTTCTTGCACATCTTCAGAGAGAGTCTCTTCCCTGGATTCTTGACCAATTTGGAAAAAGTGAAAACTTTCATCTGCATACGACCTTTTGGTCATATCAATGGCACCACTTCGGGTCATTTCAAACAATTTTCCTTCCTGAAACAGAAATGGGTTTTGCTCACTTGTTGGGGTCCCCTCTTCAGTTGGGGTCCTAGCAGGAGTGGTGTCAGGGGTGGTACCCTGTGATTGTCTGTCTACCATCAAACCAAATATCTTTTGTTCTTCCTCTTTCACACGAGCCTCAAAAGCTTCATCATCTTCCCGAATTTCACTCCAAGAATCAGAATCCACATCAGTTTTTGTGATGATGACTTTGCTTATTTGTTCACCAACAACTGCTGTTGTAGCTGACATAGTAGGCTCGAAAGATGAAGAGGCATTGTCTGATTGCATTTCCCACAAGGTACTTTCTTGTTGGGATTCCACTTTTATGTCCTGGACCTCAAAATTAGATTCTTTGCTTAAAACAGTTCCACTAGAGGAGCTTGCCACCACAACGTCTTCAACAGGGGATGTCATGGTAACAGAATACACTTCAGAAGAGTGAAAACTTGTGGTGTGATTTGCATCTGTTTGGGTTTTGCTTTCTTCACTAGAGAAAAAAGATTGGGAAGGGACATTTTCATAAGGGCTAGTTATTTGGCGATCATAGATTTCATCCGTCTCAGCTAGGTCGGACACAGGAACATCCATGGAAAATCTATCTGTTTGAGTAGTAATGGATGAGTCTTGAGTGGGGCAGTCCTTTGGTAAGTTCTCAAATGTTTCATCAGTTTTTGTGATTTCTGTTTTTTGAATAGAAGATGTGGTGGATATGTCTTCATCTAATTCTTTTCCTTCAGATACCAAACAATGAGGCAAAGAGGACGAAGGTGAAAAGCCTTCACTGGGGCAATCTACTCGTGGAGATTCTGCTCTAGAAACATCAAGCTCTTCTCCTTCTGTGTCTTTTTCATGACTGCCTTGGAGAGCTAATGATTCTTTATAGATGACTGGCTGTTCATCAATATCATCATCAGTTGGACTCTGCAGACCTGAAGAGACAGGAGCAGCTGAGCTGCTAGGACTCATGGCCTCACACCCATGGCCACCACAGATTTCTGGCTGATCAGTGTCTCTGTTTAGCTTATCAAAAGAATTATCTGCAGCTTCAGTGGAAACAGCGTGACTGTCTTCAGCTAAATGGGATTCAGAATCTTTTTCTCCTTCTGATTTACCTGGCTCTTCCTGAATCTCTTCATTCATCTTGAAAGTATATTGTTTGGAAACAATAGGCTGGAATTGTACTTCTTCTGGACTAGAATTGGAGTCTATGCTTGATGGAAGTGGTGAAGGAGGTTGCACTCGAATCACTGGTTCTGGTAAGAGGCCTGAGTCAGCACCTTTTTTTAGCTGTGTCAACTCAGGTTCACTTTCTGAGGAGGAAGACACCTTCCTGCTCTCTGAAGTTACTAACCCAGGGACACCACTTTCATCCTCCCCACTGCCTGTACATTTCGGTTCATCCACGTCTACTGAACAGTCTGCATCTGGGTCAGAGGATGAAGAGGATTCTTCTTGTTTGGGTTCTTTTTTGTAGTCCCTTTTCTGCTTTGCTTCTTGTTCAAGTTCATCGAACATTTTGATTTTGGTTACCATTTTAAACATCTCCTCTTCAGGTGTGAACCTCTTTTTCTCCCCGTTTTCTGAATCATCCTCCTCTGCACATTCATGAATCACAGCTGGTTTTGGTGTACTTACATCTGAGGTTTTGGGTGTAACCTCATAGCTGACTTCTTCGGAGCTGGGAGTGTCGGGAGAAAGGGGACTCTTCCCTGAGCTCTCCATGAGCGATGTCTGCTCAAGACTGTCATCCTCAGCACTGCCGTCAGGGTCTCGGAGTAGCCGGGACCGCACAGAGGCTACTTCCATCAAGAGTTCTGTTTTGGCAACAGCTGCAGGAAGAGGAAAGTGACTTGGAAAAATTCCAGCCTTCATCTTTGGTTCAACAGGGCTGCTTTCCAGAGAGTCACGGCAAGGGGATTCTTTCAGAGGACTTGGCTCCAGAGAATCAGGGGTTTTGTGTGAAGAGTTATCTTCTAGCACAGGGCTGGCTTCCAGAGAGTCTTTGTGGCTCACTGCTAATGAGTCATCAGCCACAGCACTGAGGACTTCGCTATCTCGGCTAGGGAGTGCAAGTTCTAACCCTTGGGGACTTCTAATGACTCCCTGAGGCTTTGATTCAGTTCCTGTATCTGTCTTTACAGAAGCCCCAGGCAGCGGCGAGGCCTTTGTCTCATCTGAGGTGGCTGTGGATTCCTGAGCCTCACTATCAGCTTGTGTCTTGTGGTCTGAACTACCAAAGGTAGGTTGATCTTCATCACAGGCTGCCTCCTCAGTCAGTCCTGTGGGTGTCTCTTTAGCTAATGCTACACTACAGCTACCTGTGCAATCATCTTTTCTTTTAGCGCTTGTGTCTTTGGGAGAGCCTAGAGTGGCCTCTTTCTGAAAACCCTCAGTAGAGGTCTCCGAGCCCTCAGTGACTGTGGCACCTCGCTCTTCAGAGCCACCAGTAATGTCTTTGGTTGTGGGATGCTCTTTTTCTGAATGAATTTCTGTGGTGGTTTCTATCTTGGTGCTTTCCTTTGTTTCCCCAATTTGCTCCTCACTTTTCTTTGGTGAGAAAGAAAGGCTTTCTGGGCTTGTCTCAGGGGTCTCTGCTAGGCCCTCATGCTTATAGCTTTCTTCCGAACTAATCTGAGGGGTCCCCTCCATCAGACTGCCGCACGGAGAGCCGGCTACCCCCTCATTCTTTAGGCTTTCAGAACTGCCATCTAAAGCACCGCTTTGTAAAGACAGAGCTGGAAGGAACTCATCTTTCATGTAGTCGAGTGGAAATGTCGTATTGAAAGGACTAGTGAGTACTTGGTCTAAATGAAGCTGTGCCTTTTCTGTCTCCTCACTCAGGCAAAATTGTTGGTATTTGTCATTGTCTTCCAACTCTTGCTTAATGACCTCAGAGAAGTCAGTGGAGGTTTTCCTATCTGGGCTGATCTGGAGATCCATGTCTCCCTGCTCATCAGCCATCTTTTCTTTGGGGACTTCGCTCTCTCTGTGGCTTTCTCCTTCAGGTGCTGACTGAACAGGTTCAGGTATTTTGCGACTCAGAATTTTCTCCTTTTCTCCAGCTGCATCTTCTTTCTTAACTCCTATAGAGGAAGCACGAACTCCTCTTTTGGATTCCGTCGTGCCCGTTACCGGGAGTCTCTGGCCTCGTTTGATTGTCTGATTCTCTGTTTTCTGAGTTTCTCTCTGGGTTAGTATCGGCCCCTTTTCTTTTTCTATCCGAACTTTACCTTTCTCTTGTGGCTGCTTTTGTTTTGCTGATTTGTGCTCAAAGAGTCCAGTTTTATGTTTAGAAGGGTCCTGACCTGACTGGAAAGCCTTCATCAGCTCCCGAACAGACATGGTTTCTTCGATCCTCTCTGTTTTTGAAGTGGGGGATACAGGTGGTTGCTTTTCTGTTTTGCCAGAAGGTGACATAGGCAGGTGCTTTTCGGTTTTCCCAGCTGTTGATACAGGTTGGTGCTTGTCCGTTCTTCCGGACGGTGAAACAGGCAAGCGTTTTTCTGTTCTCCCAGGCGATACTGGCGGGTGTTTTTCTGTTCTCCCGGAGGGCGATACGGGTGGACGTTTGTCTGTTTTGCCTGAAGGTGAAACGGGTGGGTGTCTTTCTGTTTTTGTAGATGACACAGGGGAGTGCCTTTCAGTTTTAGTCGAGGGTGACACAGGTGAGTGTTTCTCAGTTTTACTCGAAGATGACATAGGTGAATGTCTTTCCGTTTTTGCAGAGGGAGACACAGGTGAGTGTTTCTCAGTTTTACTTGATGGTGATACTGGAGGGTACCTTTCAGTTTTGGCAGAAGAGGAAAGAGCAGAGTGTCTTTCTGTTTTAGAGGAGGGAGACCCTGGCGCATGTCTCTCTGTCTTCAGAGAGGGTGATGCCGCTGGATGTGTCCTGTGAGTGGTCTTTTTTGGCACGTCCTCCTTGCCTTTGACTCTGATGGGCAACTTGCTTCGACCTTTCTGTTCATCTTCCACTCGCTTCTGAAGGGCCTTTACTTTGTCCTTTATGGAACCAATGGGAGTTTCTTCTATCAAAGGAGATGTGGCCTTGACAGTGGGAAGAGGTTCAGGGGCTAAACCTGGGTCTTCATCTAATGACTCTTCTGAACTACCTTTTTTAAGTTCAGCTTTCTCTGCACTAGCTTGTAAACCTTCCTCTTTTTGTTTCTGCTTTTCTTTTAATTTCCTTCTTACTGGCTTCTTTATTCCCAAGCTTGGTTTTTGCTGTTTCTGTGTACTCTGTGTCTCATCTGGGGGTATGTCTTTCCCTTCCTTTTCAGAGCTCTTGCCAACAGCCAGAGCCTCACGTTTCTTCCCTGCCTTATCTTGAACTGTCTGTAGCTGCTCTGAGTCTTTCTCTACTTTTCCTTTTATCTCTTTATCTATTCTAACTTCTACACATGGATATTCAGTGATTTCTAAAGGTGCTTTTTGCCTAGCCTCTTCTATTTCCTCATCACTGACAATAACCCATTCCTCTTCCACTAATCCTCTCTCAGACCGAGAGCTCTGCACACTGCCTTCATCTCTTGTGCAGGTTCCACTTCTCAGGATTTCATTCACTTTCTCTAAGTCCTCTTTAACTCTTTCAACGATTTCAAAAGGCTCTCCTGGCTCTTCCTCAGCAGCCTTCACCAGCTCCTTCACTTTAAGAGAACCTGCCTTATCAGACACATCTGTGGTCAAGATGGCGGTCATTTTGATCAAATCTTGTTTCATCTCAGAAACTTCAGAGAGCAAGTCCGGACTTGCTAGGACAGGAACTTCATTAACGAGGTGACTTTTCAGGACAGATGTTTCTGTAGATTCTGTCTCATCATCTTTGATGTGAATGAAAAACATTGAAAGTAAAATGGAAATCAAAAAATATATTGGCAAATGTAATCAGGACTGAAACGACACAGCGTCTTTTCCTGTGGTGGTGGTGGGAGGGGCAACAAAATGGGCTGGGAATGGTAGATCCACAAGGCCTCAGGGTACAAGAGCAAAGCAAGGCTAACGGAAAAAAAACAACTGAAAAGGAAAAATGAGCAGGAAATAACTTGCTTAATTTTTCTCACTTGTAGCACATCCACACATACAACAAAGCTAAAACAAGACATACGCACACAAAAAAAACACTACGTATCAAAACAAAGAACGCAGTGAAATTACACAGAGGTATCTCAAGATTGTTCAGACGTTACAGATCAATGTTGAAAAAAAAAAAACCATGGAGAAAAAATAAGAAAAAAAAGCATTAGAAATTGCAGAAAGTTGATTTCCTCTAGGAGAAAGCCAGTAGTAGCAAGCTCAGAAAAACATCTAATGATGTATATACATTTTTAATCATATAAAAATCTGAAATTCAGTATGTTTAGTTCTACCAATATACAAAGACTATATAAAATATATCTGAATCAGCTGCAAACCGGCATTTCATCTAAGGGAAATTCACACCTAACAATGAAACAAACAGTCTGGTGCTAAGAGGCATGGTCCTTTCCTTGGAGCAACCTCCTTGTTGAGACACAGAATGGAAAGACCAAGGAGGGAAATAAAGGAAAGGAAAGAAAAACAACAGAAACAACAATTGTGATTAAACTTATAAGTGAGTCCAAAGTTAAAATGTGATGCATGGCAACCCAAGTCAGAGACAGTCACACAGGACACACACACAGTTTATGTAAGCCAAGTTATTTCCATGCAAAGCAAAGGTGGAGTAAAACTGCTGGGAGAGGCGGCCTTGCTGAAACGCATGGGCAGGAGGATGGCAGGAATTTAGAACAGATATGTAAAATGTTACTGTGGCAAAGTGTACTTATTTCTCTACGAGTCCATGCATAAGCTGCTGAAGGTGGTATATTGGAGGCTTAGGTTGTGGGGGCTTATACCCATTAAAGGTAAGGAAGAAAACTCAGTAAACTCTTCTAAAATGTGCTCATAAAAAGACTTCAGGTAAGAGTCCCTTCCACAGAGCCCTTCTTTAGAGATCAGTTTATACATAGATGAAAATAATCTAATGATTATCTTTAAAAGAAAAGCAAACATGAGTCTGTATTTAAAACTTTTGAAACACTCAAAACACCTAGAAATCCTTCAGGAAAATCCATGGCATTATAGCAACATGGTAACATTTTTTATCTTTCTTTTCTTTCTTTCTTTTCTTTTTTTTTAACAATTGAGCCATATGGATGAATTAATTTTTAATTCTTACTAGTTTGTATCGGGGAGCAAAGTAAGAGGCCATTTAAATAAATGGAGTAGTTCTGAAGAAGAAAGTGAGAGAATAAAGTAAAATCACTTAAAAAAAGGAATCAATGAAGGCAATGTGACATGTCATATAAACAAAAGTGCCTTCTCTTGGGAGAATCTGTGTTTGTTGAGGAGATACAGTATGTGAATATGTGAATATTCCAGATCTGAATAATGCTTTAACATGAAGGTAAGCCTCATTCAAAGCAACTTCAAAAACCTGGTAGTAAATTACATTGTCCTAGGACTTTTTAAAAAAAGCCCTCAGATCATTGTATAGGACCAAATGAGCATATTGAACATGGTTCTAAGTTTTCTCATTTTAGGACTATACTCTGAAATACAGCAAATCAAAATAAACTCTGAAATAAAATTTACTGATATTCAATAAACTTTAAAAATCATATTTTTATAAAGCATTTGGGGCACGAAAGCAGAAATCTGTAAAATTCAACTGGAGCTTCCACATAAGAAGCCAGAGAGTCACTAGAAACAGTCCAACAAACTAAAATGTTAATTGGCTATTACAAACCTGAAATGAGTTCTACGACAGCTCTTTTAAGGTCTGTAAAAAACAGTTCTCCCTACTAGATCAGGTTTGGGATTTGCATCATTATTTAAAATTAGCCCTATAATAATATGCTGTTGTGATTAGTAACTTTATCCAGGGGGTTTTAATTTTTGCATTCTTGGCCCTTCATTTTTGTTTATTTTTGTTTTGTTTTGTTTTGTTTTCAGAAAGTTTTCACAGAAGTCTGTTAGACCTCAGCTCTATAGACGTTGGTTACACTTCACCACAGTAAAAAGTGCAAGAGTGGGATGGGGGAAGGGGCAGGCATTGGATGGGGTTAGCTTCAGCTAAGAACTATTAGACAGTATCACTTTTGCAGGTGTATCCTACAAAAATAATGAGCTCTCTACAGAAGTCACTATTGCATTACATACAAAGTGATACTGTCATGTCAGTGCTTAAAAAATAATGAGATGACAATGTTATGCTAACAAATGGACAAAACGGTAGGGTGGGTTTCTAAACAAGCATAACAGCAATACCAGGGTTAACAAGGATGTCAAAAGAAAGTGAATGCTTAGATGAATAATCATTGCATTTTACTGCTAATTAGCTCGCAAATCAGGTATATTTGTAATTTAACTGGCCAAGCTGCTTTTATAAATATATTAATGATTAATAAGGATAATATAAAAATTTAATTACTATAGTGGTTAGTAATAGCAACTAGCTTGCATTTTAATTCATGCTTCTTTTTATGGTAGCCAGCTTTCAGACAAACTCAATTTTCTTTAAATTCTTACTTTTTTCTGATGTCATATCGATCTGAAAGAAAACATACATAAATTGAATGGTTACAAATACTGCCTTGGCTGATAGCCCCTGGTGTGCACAAAAAGCTCCTATCCGTAATTATACATGTTGGTGACACCATAGCTATAGGAAGGTCAGAGTAATTTGCTACAGTTTTTCCTGACAGTCTCCATGATTCTTATCCTGACTTTGGAAAAAAACTTCTGTTTTCTAGACACTACAGGTAGAAAGTCCTTTCTAGCATGTTAATCCTGGGAAGATATGACCCAGGCTGGTTTTGATGTTGGGATACATATTTATTAGGGAATAAGTCAGAAAAAGGGTGAAGTCAGTATTAAATAATAAGTTTCCATTTAGTGGAGAAAAAGGAAAGGATGAGAAACAGCAATGCTAGGGTGATATGTTCTACAGAAGTAGTTTCATTATCATTAATAATAAGTCAGCATTCCAGATACTGAAAAGAATATGAACTGGATCTATTGCCCTGAATAGTTCCAGAAAGTATTCAGTAGGAAAATCATCTAACAGAAAAAGGTGATTTGTGAACAGGGCAAAATTGGCTTCCCTATCATTTTTAACAGCTGTGGTGGTAGGGTCACTGAGTACAGGAAGGAAACGGAGTATGTGAAGCAAAGAGTGACTGTGCAGTTGAGGGAAAGAATGACTTCAGTCTTAAGTCGGTTGTGTATATGGCTATGTACGGCAGGACAGTGAGTCTATAATCACCCTTCTCACCCTGCTCCATTGCCAAGGTATCAGAAAAAAAGTGAATCCAGGGGCATCTTCTGAACTGATAAGGTCTTACATTTTAAGCTGGTGGGTATAAGTGTATTTATTATATATTTTTATATTTTTTATTTTGAATGCATTGGAATAACATTTAAAAAAAGAAAACTAGTATATTTGAAAACATTTACATAAAACTAATAACATATGCATCTGTCTATCTTAGAAACAAATACATTATTTTAAGTTTTCCAATTATGTTTTTCATTTCTATTATAATATTTGGGCATTTGCAGATCTTTATAATGGAGACAAACACACATTTGCTTTTAATATTGAAGCAGGTTTAATTCATATAGCTATTTATTCAAGGTAACCTCTCTAAGACTTGCTTTCTTCATCTATAATGTAATATTTAATAACAAACACCTCATAGGTGGTTGTGAGAGATCAATATTGATGAGGCATGTGCAACACTTAGTAAAGATCCCACTTTATAAGAAATTCTTATTATTAGCATAGTTCTGCATTATAATATTATAGCCTAAGGAATCAACTATATGCCTCTTAAAGTTTTTTGGTCTCAGTGTTTATCAAACTCTTTGGTCTTAGGGCCCCTTTACACTCCCCAAAAGTACTGAGGAGCCTGAAAAACTTCTGATGGTGAGTGATATGTATAAACAGATACCTGTATTACAAATGAAGGCTAAGAAAATGCTAGAACCTAAGAGTATGCAAGCATACATTCCACTAATTGCCAGAGTGGCAATGTCATCACATGTAGTATAGACTCTGGAAGATTCCTCTATAGTTTGTGAGGATATAGAAGTTTAAAAGGCAAATAATGTCTTAGTACATTAAAAATGTAGTAAATTTTACTAAATGTAGTAAATTAAAAATTAATTAATTAAAAATTAAGACATTAATAACATCTTAGTATAAAAAGAGTTTCAACCACTAGATGTCTTCCGACTAAGAACCCCTGAGATAATGGTTTAGCTCTCAGTAGTTGGTGGAGAAAGATAGTGTTGCATAGAGACATGGCAACAGTTTATAGGGAAACTTTGCTGTTCCCTTAAGTTGCTCCACAAGATGAGAAAACAGAGGCTTAGAGAGGTTAAGTGAAATTGTGCCCCTTTAAATACTAAGAAGAACCGCCTACCCCTTCTAAGAACACAGGTTAACTATGTGCTCTTATTAGTGGTTACAGCAATGACACAGCCGTTAACAAATGACACTGTCATAAAATTACCTCTTCCTCCTGTTCTTGATCTGACTCTGATTCCTTTCCGCCCCAAGATGCCATGCAAGATGGAAAAAAGAGAGAAGGAAGAGTAGAGAGTATTTAGAAGAAAAGGAAAGAGTAAATAAATACCCTTTCAACAAGCATCAACAGGCAAGCATACAGTCAGCATACTCTTTTTTTCTTACTAACAGTTTATAGAAGACAGGCAGAAAAGAGGATTGGCTTAAATACAAAGTTTATAGATTCAAGAGACAAAAGAACCAATATTATAAATTTACTAATTTCAGATACTAGGTCACCACAGCAGTCTCAAAGTTTGATCTTAAATGAAGTGGATGGCATTTGTCTTTAGAAATAGTGATGATAATATCCCAATCATTACAGATATTGGTTGAAAATATTAAAAGCTACAAATAAGTGTGTATATTTATATATATGGTGAAAAATTTTCAATACACAGGTAATATTTAGAAGCGTTATTCTAACAAAGAGCTACTAAATTCTTTCTTTTCTTTCTTTCTTTCTTTCTTTTTTTTTTAATAGAGACAGGGTCTTGCTATGTTGCTCAGGTTGGTCTTGAACTCCTAGACTTAAGCGATCCTCCTGCCTTGGTGTCCCAAAGTGCTGGGATTACAGGTGTGGGCCATGGTGCCCAGCCAAGAGCTATTAAATACTAAGGTATATTTTCAATATACAATCTCTGGCATTTTTTTTTTTCCTTTTGAGTTACAAATTAGAAAATGGGCGCTGGTAACTGATCAGCATTTGGAGCGGATGGGGATCGAGTAGGAGATCGAGAGCCATGGTACACGTGAAACGTTAAAAAAAAAAAAAAAGCGAGTGGGGGTGTACCAGTATGGAGGCTGAGGGAGAATGGTGTAACGGGAGCGGAGTTCAGTGATGAGATCCGCCTGACTCCAGCTGGTGACAGAGCAAACTTCAAAAAAAAAAAAAAAAAAATATTAGAAATGTACTGGACTATCACAGCATTAATAGCTGTGTCCGCTATGTCTTGACTTAGAAATAAAATGTAATAATAAAGTTAATGCTTTCTCTTAGAGCACACTGAAAGCTCACTGAAATCAGCCAAAGCTCAGTCATCTTTCTGTAACACTCAGGTGGCTTGCCCGCAGCAGTACATATTTCTTTGTGGCTCTTATTGGCATACTGCCTCCGCTGACTCACTACTAATCAGCAATACAAACCCCAAAACACATTCTGCACCATGAAAATGCAATGAAATTATGCTCATTTGGGTTGACATACCCATTTCTATATTTTAATTCTTGGAATAAAATGTATATTTACATATATAAATAATATTTTATTTTATTCATTTAATAAAAAGTTACAATGTCAAACCTAATGCTACGAGCTTTTCTCTATATGGTTGATCTCTATTTACAAAGAATAATTCATTAAGCAAATATAAAATTTGACAATTGTGGTGGGGAAAAAGAAATATGGGACATTTTTTGTTTTCTGATGTCAAGATTTAGGATTTTAAATATATCCCTACTTCCCCTCCAGGTCTCAGCAGCCGCCACTCATCACCCTGCCCAACCTGTTATATAGACACTGACAACTTCTGCATCCACCTATAGATTGCCATGTGGGAGCTTCCTATTCAAAAGAAATATTGGTTAAAAAAAGTTTAAAAGAATGAAACCTAAATTATCCACAACATTTAATTGATTTAGTTGTCTTCTTTGATTTCATCAGAGTATTCAAGGAATTACGTGATGGGGAGAGGTTTGAAAAGAAAATAATTCCTGTAGGTAGACTTGGAGTCAGAATTAATGTATTTTTTCTTTTCAACAATGTTTTAAATCTACTCCTCATAACATGGCGATATGTTTTTTACTAATCAACTATTTCTACTATTTTTTATTCTAACTAACAATTTACACAAGTTATGTTGCCTAATCTGCCCTTGAACTCCTAGGCTCAAGTGATCTTCTCACCTCAGCCTCCAGAGTAGCTGGGACTACAGATGTGCACCAACACACCAGTTTATATACTCCTAAAATATGATAAGTTAGAAAATTAATAATTACTTAGAAAAAATAAAATATCACGGGGCAGCTCTGAATTTAATAATATGTAAGCCACCTGTGAATTGGTAGTAAACAGAGGCTGATGAACTCTAATATTTTCATAGGGCCAAATGTGCTAGTATGGTTTCAGGAAAGCACATGAAAACAATAATGAAGAAAAGCCAATTAGTTTTAAAAATTTCTTCAAAAAGTTAAATCTGAAGTCACATTTTCTTACTTCCATGCCCATTGTGTATTAATAGAATTTTTGCATCAAAGTGCATTTAATGTGAAATCAAGTGGCACTATGATTTTTCTTAAGTGGAAATTGTAAATTTGACAGAGAATCAAACGTGATTATTACATGTGCTTTCATTCAGTCTTTGTTTGTATTCATTTTCTTGGTCAGTGCAAAAGTAATTGCTGTTTTTGCCATTACTTTTGCACTGACCTAATACAAGATTTAAAAATCAATTCCTACACTATCTGAATTGCACTATAGCAGATTTTACAATACCTTTGTATAAATCGGCAAAGTGATGTTTAAGTTGCAAATAGCTTGATGCACCAGGCCTCTTGTGGATTTTGGCTCCTTCATAAATGATAGTCGTCCGCAGGGTTCCTGAGTCGTATCGCGTACCTTGAACAAGACAGACATACATGCGTCACCCATATTTGACGTGCAGTATTTACTTTAACTAGATGATGCTTGAAAAGGGAAAGTAAAATTCATTTGTTAACGCTAGGTAAGAACTCAAAGGATTTCCTTTCTCTTTTCCTACTACCATTTGGAAAGCCTTTTTAAGAATCATTCAGCTTTCTTTTTCAGTCTTATTTAAGTACAGTAGACAAAAATTGCATATATTTAAGGTGTACAATGTGATGATTTGATATATGTGTACATTGTGAAATGATTAGCGTATCAAACTAATTAACATATCAACCACCTCAACCCCCTTTGTGTGGTGACACTTGAGATCTCTCTTAGCAAATTTCAAGTATGTAATACATTACATACAATTAGCTATAGTTCAATGCTGTACATTAGGTCTTCAGAACTTAGCTCTTAAAATAATTGTGGTAAAATATACATAACATACAATTTGCCATTTTTACTATTTTGAGGCAGAAAATTCAGTGGCATTAACACATTCACAAAGTTGTATAAGCACTACCTCTATCCAGAACGTTTTTCATCCTATGCAGAAACTGTCCCCATTGAACAACAGCTCCCCATTGCCCTCTTGCCCAGCCCCTAATAACCTCTATTCTACTTTCTGTCTCTATACGTTTGCCTATTCTAGGAACGTGTAGAAATGGAGCCATATAGTAGTTGTGTCTGCCTTACTTTACTCAGCATAATGTTTTCCAAGTTCATTCATATTGTATCATGTGTCAGAATTTCATTCCTTTTTAAAAAAATTGTAATAAATATATGTAACATAAAACTTATCATTTTAATCATTTTTAGGTGTCTAGTTTGGTGGCATTAAGTACATTCACATTATTGTATAATCATCACTACCTTCCATCTTTGGAACTTGTTAATCTTCCTAACTGAAATTCTAGTATCTATTAAACAATAATTCCCCATTCTCCCCTTCTCCTGTCTCTAGTAACTACTCTTCTACTTTCTATCTTTATTTCATTTCAAGGAGAGGTCAAAAAAATAAATTAAAAAAATACTTTCTCTCTTTATGAATTTGACTACCCTAGGTATCTCATATAAGTGAAACCATACAATATGTGTCCTTTTGTGTCTAGCTTATTTCATTTACCATATTGTAGCACAAATTAGAATTTCCTTCCTTTTAAAGGCTGAATAGTATTCCACTACATGTGTATACCACATTTTGTTTGTGGACGTTTGGACTTCTGGGTTGTTTCCATTCTGGCTACCATGGCTAACGCTGCTAAGAACATTGGTGTGCAAGTAATTGAGTCTCTACTTTAAATTCTTGTCAGTGTACACTGAGAAGTGAATTGCTGAATCATATGCTAATTTTATATTTAACTTTTTGAGGAAAAACTGTAGTGTTTTCCAAAGTGGCTGCACTATTTTGCATTTCCACCAGCAATGTATTAGGGCCCCAAGTTGTCTACATCCTTCCTAACATTTGTTTATTTTCTGTTTGTTTGTTTTAATAATAGCCAACCTAATGGGTATGGAGTGGTATCTCTTCATAGTTTTGATTTGCATTTCCCTACACTGTTGAACATCTCTTCATGTGCTTATTGACCATCTGTGTATCTTCTTTGGATAAATGTCTACTGAAGCACTTTGCTCATTTTTTATTGGGTTGTTTGGAGAATGATTCTGCACACCAATGATATCAAACATTAGCTTAATTATATAGCTGTCTATGTTAAATGGATCTATTACCCCGAGCAGTTACTCCTTAATGTGGTGATCTGTAAGAATCTATCATCAGTCAGGCAAAACAATTGAACCAGAAATGGCACAATGAGAGAGACTCAGTAGAGATCTTTGGAAAACTCAATAAGAGGTTTGCAAACACATGTTTGGAAAGAAAATAAGGGGTTAAAATAAAAAGAGTCATTGCTGATGAACAATTGGAAATGAGTAGGTGAAGTAGGACTGGAAAAAAAAAAAAGACAGAAGCCAGCCTATACCTGATAGGATTGAGCGTTAGGACCGCTAGATTAGCGAAATAAATTGTGAGAAACAAGAAAAATGAGCTTGGAAAATAAAGCAGAGTAGAATTATTACCTCCTTTTTATTTCCTGAATCTCTTATTCATTCATTTGTGATCCCTTATAGATTGGAATCTAAAATGAAACTTGCATATATCACCTCAAATCCCTAACTTGGATTAGGGATTTGTTGTCTCTGTTTAGAGATGCACACACATGTCTCCATGCTGTTTATTGAATGAATTTATGAAAATATATCAAGTCTATAGCTCTATCGGAGATAATTTCTTATTAGCTTAGGTGAGACCTGGGTCTTTTGAGAGATTTTATTATAAAAAGTTGCCACTTAGAACTCTTTTGATCTCCACACTTGTGAAGTTCACATATATTTTTAAATCTAAGCATAAATATTTAAAAGTTTTAATAGATAAATAGACTTTCCTTCAAATTTGGAAAATACTGATCACTGTGCCTAATTAATGAGTTGGCTATTATTTGTCCTGTTCTCATCCTTAAATATAGTCTATAAAAATTCAGGTTGACTTTGAACCTCAAAAATAAAAATGATTGGTTTCCCAGGGCAGTAAAACATTGCAAATATGGTTAAAAAGAAAACTCTGAAGATGACTGAAAAGCAAAAGTTTTCTGTTACTAAAGAAGTCAAATTCTTCCTTGATCTTGAAAAAAAGACATCACGAAATTCCATATATGTATTACCTTGACAAATAGAGGAAGTCTATTTTCTTTGAAGGCAAAAAAACTGAATATATGATGCTGGCCACTTTTAGTTAATGGCACCAAGTTGCCGAAACAATCAACATAGATGGGTTTTCCTTCTAACACCTGAGTGAAAACAGAGAAATAACAATAAAGTAGCTGCAATTACAACTTGTTGTTTACACAAAGAAGTGGTAGTACTACTTGGAACTTCAAATTCTTATAATACACATACAACAATCTTTAAATTGACAACTGACATTCTATCTGTGGCACAGCATGTCCAGTGCTTTTTCTTCTCATTAGTAATGGGAATCATTAATGCATGGTAGCATATAATGTTCTCATTGTAAAAACTGTATCCCATTATTCCACAAACCCAAAATACATTTAAATCCTAAATTTAACTTAGGCTTGGGTAATTTTTTTTTTTATTTTTTTTTTTTTTTTGAGATGGAGTCTCACTCTGTTGCCCAGGCTGGAGTGCAGTGGTGTGATCCTGGCTCACTGCAACCTCTGCCTCCCGGGTTCAAGCAATTCTCCTGCCTCAGCCTCCTGAGTAGCTGGGATTACAGGCGTCTACCACCATGCTTGGCTAATTTTGTATTTTTGGTAGAGATGGGGTCTTGCCATGTTGGCTAGGTTGGTCTCAGACTGGTGACCTCAGGTGATCCACCCACCTCGGCCTCCCGAAGTGCTGGGATTACAGGCGTGAACCACCACGCCTGGCCTGCTTGGGTAACTTTTGGCATTGTAATGAGTCAGGTTACTGGACTTCAATACCCAAAGACCTACACTGATGGAAAATTCTGAAATAAGAAAAAGTAATGTAGAAAAGCACTAGACATCCTGCTTCAACATTTATGCAAAAGGATATACTTCCCAGACTGTTTTAGTTACTATTAAAAAATAAGGACAACAAGGAAAGCTAAAAACATCTAAAGTACTACAGTCACTTACATACTTTGAGTTTATCAATAACTCATAATTTTTCCTCAAATAATCTTTAAAGGAATCATCTTTTACCTTCTCACATACACCAATGAGTCCCACTGAATAGGTCCAAAATGACTAAAAATGGGAGATTTTGGATATTGACCTTCTAACTGATCAAGATGTGCACTGGTCTTTCACTTTTTAATTATTCTATTTATTAAATTATATTTGAAATGTAATCTATTAATACAGGTATAACAGCATGGCATAAAATATTATTATTATTTTTGGTACAGTACCTCCACATCCCTGCTTCTGGCCACCTCAGCAAAATTTTCTTGTTGTTCAAGGGTCTTATCTACTTTATCATCAGTCATGCAGAAACATCTCAACCTGGCTTCAATTGGGTCATGTGACTTGGCAAACACTACAAATTTGGCCATATAAGGTACGCAGATAATTTCTCTATATACTTGTGATGCAAAAGTGACGGATTCCTGGATCTGTCGACAATCTATCAGCCAGAACCTAATAAAATAAATAAAGTCGGTTATCTAAAGTTCAAAGTATACCATGTGAAAAATCAGTTCCTTCAATATGATCAAAGTAGTCAACAAATGCTTCTTGGAAATAAGGAAGTGAGAGAGGGAGATAATGAAAGAAAATCAAAGGAAAGCAAAAGCAAGACAGGAAAAAAAGGAAAGGTAGGAGGATAGATGGGAAGGCAGAAGGGAGTGAAGAGAAGACAGAAAGACATCAGGTTTTTAAGATCAACTATTAAATATTGTATTTCTAATTTTCTTTTTTGGAAACTCTTCTGAATATTCAATTTTCTGAACTATATATTTAGTGTTTTAGAATCCTTTAGTGGAGTGAGCTCAATAGCAGACAGAAGACAAGGATCTCACTGCACGGTTTTCTATTTTCCTTGATTCCCCCTCCCTAGCTGTCATTTCATTTCCTGAAACTCTTTTCAACAAAATCTATCCAGCTTTTCCTCCCCTCATTATTCTTTTCCAAGGAACTCTCTAATCACCAAAGTGGAATCAACCCAACCATTTTTAAAAAACTGCTCCAGAACTCCTAAGTATTGCTGAATATAATTCATAGAAGAAATTATTGGCTCTAATTAATGACTTGATGATTTCCAGCCTCAACTAAGTCTGTGACATTGACTGGCAATTTTTTGCTCACTATAGTAACGTTACTAAATCTTATGACACTCTTTAAGCTTCACCCCTCACCACAGGCCGTAAGAGAGCTAACTTCACAAAGAAAGTCAAGGTCATTAGATGGAAATATTTTCATTTTGTTATTTTATACTTCCAAAGGGTTTTTTTTTTTAGACGTTGTCGCACTCTGTCACCAGGCTGGAGTGCAGTGGCGCTATCTCGGCTCACTGCAACCTCCGCCTCCCGAGTTCAAGCAATTCTCCTGCCTCAGCCTCCTGAGTAGCTGGGACTACAGGTGTGCACCACCACGCCCAGCTAATTTTTGTATTTTTAGTAGAGATGGGGTTTCGCCATGTTGGCCAGGATGGTCTCAATCTCTTGACTTCGTGATCTGCCCACCTCAGCCTCCCAAAGTGCTGGGATTACAGGTGTGAGCCATCACACCCAGCCCTTCCAAAGTCTTATTCTATATTCTTGTGCTTTAGAACATTTTGCCCATGATTACTGTCCTTACCCGGCCCATTTCCCATAATTTGAAATTATCATTACTAACATTTTTTAATTTTGTTTTTTGATTTCTGCATCTTAAAGTCATGAAGTTTTCTTACGCTCTTACCCTCTCTTTCTTTCAAGTTCCTGACCCACCTGTCTTTTATTCTTACTATGCTAAAATATACATAACATAAAATTTACCATTTTAACAAATTTTAAGTGTACAATTCAGTAGCATTAAATACATTCACAATGTTGTGCAACCATCATCAATATCCATTTCCAGAACTTCTTCATCACCCCAAACAGAAACTGTACCCGTTAAATAACTTCCTATTTCCCCCTTACTTCAGTCCCTTTAAATCTCTATTAAACTTTCTTGTCTCTATAAAGTTGCCTATCCTATGTACCTCAAATAGGTGGACTCTTGCAATGTTAGCTCTTTTATGTCTGGCTTATTTCAATTAGCAGAATGTTTCTAATGTTCAGCATATTTCCTAGCTCATGGCGAGCACTTGGGTACCTTCCTCTTTCTACTGACCTAATTCTGTTCACTGTTTCTTCAATTGTTTGGTAGTTAAATTATTAGTAAAATAACATAATTCCTCCTCATTTTTGGATACTTTAATTGGCTTTATTTTATTTACTTATTTTTTACATGTTCTCACAAAATAGCTGACTTTTTAAATGCAACTGCTTTTTTTAAAATTTTAATATTTATTTATTTATTTATTTTTGAGAGAGAGCCTCACTCTGTCCCCCAGGCTGGAGTGCAGTGGCGCGATCTCGGCTCACTGCAAGCTCCGCCTCCTGGGTTCAAGCTATTCTCCTGCCTTAGCCTCCCAAGTGGCTGAGACTACAGGTACGTGCCACCATGCCTGGCTAACTTTTTTGTATTTTTAGTAGAGATGGGGTTTCACCGTGTTAGCCAGGATGGTCTTGATCTCCTGACCTTGTGATCCACCTGCCTCGGCCTCCCAAAGTGCTGGGATTACAGGCATGAGCCACCATGCCTGGCCTTATTTTTTTATAGTATTTTTATTTTCATGTAGTTCTGGGGCTTTTGGTAATCTTTAAATTGCCAAATAAAAATTGTATATATTTATGGTGATTTATCACTTCTTATTCTACCCTGTAAGACCTTTCATAAAGTGTTGCCAACCAATAGTCCTACATTTTGTTTGTTGTTTTGTTTTGTTTTGCTTTGCTTTGTTTTGGTTTTTGTTTTGAGATTAAGTCTCTGTCACGCAGGCTGGAGTGCAGTGATACAATCATGGCTTACTGCAGCCTTGACCTCCCTGGGCTCAAGAGATCCTCCCACCTCAGCCTCCCTGGTTCCTGGGACTACAGGTGTGCGCCACCATGTCCAGCTAATTTTTGTTATCTCTTTTGTGAGAGACAGGTTTCACCGTGTTGCCGAAGCCAGTCTTGAACTCCTGGGCTCAAGCGATCCACCTGCCTTGGCCTCCCAAGGTGCTGGGATTACAGGCATGAGCCACCAGGCCCAGCCTCAAGCATTATTTTTGAATTATAGACTACATGGATAATTGTTGCTATCCCTCACTACACCTTCTCATTCTATCTTTGCATCTTTGCTCATGTTATTCTTTTTTTCACTTTTATCTGCCTATTAGGTTCCAACACATGTCTCGAGTCACCTCTTCTCAGATACCCTCTCTAGCTATCCCAATTCGAACACCCTTCTCTCATTCTTTTACTCCCTCTGGTCTATACCTCTTATTCAGAACACGTCATCTTCTGGATTACAGTATAGATGCTAAATTGGCAAAACACATTGAAACACAGAACTGTAGACTCAATAGTTGAGTCTCTGGGTGGCTGGAACTATAAACATGTGCCACCACACCCAACTATTGCTATGCCATTACTTAACTATTCGTGCACTTTTATCTTTTCTCCCTCACCCCAAATAGGAATGTACATTTTAATTACTCTCAACTTCAGTTTTCTCATCTGTAAAATGGGCATAACGTCTCTTGCCCTTCTTAAGTCACAAAGTTGTTGTAATGTCAAGTTAAAGAGCAGTAACAATGCTTATCAATCAATTAAAGACCAAACGAATGGGAATTAACTTTAATCAATTGAGTTAATGTGTGCATAAGCAATAAAACTAGATTGCTTCACCGTTTTAAAGATGCATAATACATAAATAAGAAATGTATATAAGAGCCACTGAAGCCTCTAAGCCTTTTAGAGAAACCATGGTGAGATTTGTGCTGCTATGATTCTGTTGGAAAAGTAGTTCAGGCTATTTTGCTGACAACAGGAAATTATCATTCCCAGGGACTTTGGAAGTAGAAAAAGCAGCAACTGCTACTGACCAAGAATCATACAGGCAAAGCAGACAATCACTTCTTTTCCTTAGATTTTAATAGGATTGGTAGTACTTTGTTACTGTATTATCACTATTCTATTTGCTGACAGATCTAGTTTAAAATATTAAAGCAAAGGCAGGCCATATTTAAAATCAAATGAAAAAATAACTTTCAAACAATAAAGAAACAAAATAAAACAAAACAAAGGGCGGTTTTTTTGGAAGGGAACATATCATAGGGGGCTTTTCTGTGCTATATAACGATACCTGGCAGACACGTTTGTTGTAAAGGAAACACATTCATTGACAAATGTTAATGGCGTAGTTCCTGTAATATCTTCCCACTGAGCAGGGGTGGTTCCACCTGAAATAATACGATTGTTGAAAAAAATCAGGCAAAACTCCAGACTCTAGATTCTAAAATAAAGTCTTTGTGGTTCTGTCTGTGTTCACCAGCCCAATCCAACCCCTCAAAATGACACATTGAAAACAAAATGACTAAAACCTACATGTGAAAAAATGACACATTGAAAACAAACAGCAGACTAACACTCAAGACACTAAGCTTTAGGGTAGTTATTTAAATAAGTGTTTATTAAGCCTTCTTTTTACTTCTATAATAAAAGTAAAAAGCTTTTATTATAATTGCTAGGCTCTGAAGATAATTTTGAATTGTATACAGTTGATTATTTTAAAATATCCTTTGACCAGCTAAGGAGCTGAACACTTTGTTAAAATAGTGAATATTTTAACTATTCTTTTTTTTTTTTTTTAATTTATTTATTATTATTATACTTTAAGTTGTAGGGTACATGTGCATAACGTGCAGGTTTGTTACATATGTATACTTGTGCCATGTTGGTGTGCTGCACCCATCAACTTGTCATTTACATCAGGTATAACTCCCAATGCAATCCCTCCCCCCTCCCCCCTCCCCATGACAGGCCCCTGTGTGAGATGTTCCCCTTCCTGAGTCCAAGTGATCTCATTGTTCAGTTCCCACCTATGAGTGAGAACATGTGGTGTTTGGTTTTCTGTTCTTGTGATAGATTGCTAAGAATGATGGTTTCCAGCTGCATCCATGTCCCTACAAAGGACACAAACTCATCCTTTTTGATGGCTGCATAGTATTCCATGGTGTATATGTGCCACATTTTCTTAATCCAATCTGTCACTGATGGACATTTGGGTTGATTCCAAGTCTTTGCTATTGTGAATAGTGCTGCAATAAACATATTTTAACTATTCTAACTAAATATTCTTTTGTTCCCATACTTCATATTTTAAGCAATTGTTTTCAAAAAATTTCCTCTCACTGTGCAATAAAAGTTTGGCCCAAAAAAGTTTGTAAAATAGTAAGAGCTCAATAAATATTGCAAGGTAAATGAAAAAAATAAATGAATGACCCCTTTACATTGAAAAATTACCATGAAGGCTGATGGTGACTGCCTGTCTTTCATTTCTACTGAGAAATTAAGATCACATAGATAAGGACAAAATTTTAGTTCAATGGGCTGTAAGAGGAATATATGTTTGAAATGAAGGAAAGTCTTGACTCTAAAGTTTCTTAAAGAAGAGAACAAGTTATCAAAGAAAGGTTATGGAATTTTATTCCAGTAGGCCTTTAAAATACATACTCAGCATAACTATATGACACAGAAGAATACAAAAACTCAAATGTCTAGGTATTTAAACAATTAATACATTAAATTATTTGTTAATTTTCAAAATAATTTTAATTAAATTTCAGAAATGTTTATGAGAAACCTGTCTAAAGACATTGGGCTGGAATAAATAGAGTAGATGGTGTCTAGGCCCCTATAGTGTCTTTATTTAATCACTATAAGGGCAGGGCATATCACAGATATTCTTTTGCCTCACCTGTTTCACATCTATGACATTATATTGCACATTATAGAAGGTTAACCATATACCTATGGGGCAGGAATTATGGGAAAGATACCCAGAAATGATAGTAATAACCAAAACTGAGCAATTGGGAAAGAGATCATAAGTGAAGCATATGATTTCCTCCCACTCATTAGAGTATATATATTTTAAAATTTTGTCTTATTATTAAACTTATGGAATAATCTCGTGCTTCTCTATCATAACTACAAGAAACATATTAGTAAGAAGGGTGAATTAAAGAAAACAAAATAAAGGTGAACATTCCACCAATACAAAAGAGACATGAAAAATATAATTCTAACAATACCAAAACATCCAGGGACGATTACTGTTCTTACTAATAATAGTACTAACATTTACTGAATATCAACACCATATAATTGTTGATAAATAGAGAAATTATCAGTTAAATTATTTAGCCCTAGAACACACTATTCATGTGATTTTTTTTGCCTCTCACTATTTGTAGTGGCATTGTTATGAAGAGACTACCAACGTTCTGGGAGTGTCTTTGGAGAGTTTGGTAGCTATCTGAAAGCGACTACACAACCACCAATTGAAAAGACCAAAAATCGGTTAATCATTGAAAATCTTTAAGTTGTTTGTTTAAAGTTAGTTCAATAGATCAATGATAAAGACATAACCAATTCCATAACATAATACTTTGGTTTGAACTATTGGGTATAATTACTCAAGACACTTTTTTTTTTTTTTCCAGCAGATTTAGTGATCTCTTCAGTGAAGACTTGAAGCCTGAACTTTGGAGACATATGGGTATGGTTTCGAATCCCAACACCACGAAATATTTATAGTGCAAGTTATAGAACTTCTTTCAACCATGGTTTCCTTTTCAGCAAAATGGGGTTAAAGTTTCCTCACAGGGTTATTGTGGAAATTAGAATGACAACACATATAAATATCTAACAGTTTGGCATACAGACTTTATTTAGTAAATAATAGTTGTTTCCTTTCACCCTTCATTTCCCTAGTTAATTAAAATGTATTCCCTGAATTAATGCATGTGACCCTGCAGATATCTTATGACAAAGGTAATTTAATATTTACAATGATCTAAGTTTCTTTTTTCAGAACTCTCTACTAACACAGTCATATGTGACTCACCTGTTATGCTGCATAGTAATCTTAAGGTTGGTGCATCTCCCCCAAAACCATTCAACATGACATCACTTGAAGCTTTGGGGACAGGAATGGTCATGGTAATTGGTTTGTGGAATTTTCTTCTTCTAGGTTCCAAAGTGACTATAGGGCTGAAGGTAGCTTTATTGCCTAGGATCTTCTTAACCAGCTCAGTGTGCATAGGTTGAGCCTTTTCAAAGTAAAAACATAAAAAACATATATATATATATATATATATAATGAATCATTATATTTAATTTCAAATTTCTTACCCAATGTATTTTTTTAATCTTATAAATAAGCTTGGTGGATGTCAAATATGGCAATCATAAGTTCAGTATTATTACTAAGCACTCATATAAAATTTTCTAAGATCCACGATCTCTGATGGCAGCTCTTGCTTACCAAGAATAATCTGATTCTTTAACAATTTATTTCTCATTTAAAAGCTAATTTCTTTTCTCTCTTTTTTTTTTTTTTTTTTACAAGAAGAAAACATTTATAGCTAGAGATTAATTTTGGTTAATTGTCCAAATATAAGGTGAATTTTTAAATAGATTAGTAACCAATAAACATGGATTTTGACTTTAGCTCTACTATTAACACTACCTTCCTTTTTGGTATGATTATAAATCAAGGTTAACAGTCCTCGACAAAGCTAATTTTTAATCATTAGAATACAATCCTGTTAGGATCACTTGCCTCTAACACGGGCATACCTGCAGGCCTACGCGGATCCGCTTGGTGAGTGCCCCCTCTGGGAAGACGGCTTGCACCTGGGGCACCACTGTGCTGCTCAGCACACCTCCTTCTGGGCCAATCAGATTGCTGTCCTGTTTGATACGAGACACCACTGCAAAGTACTGTGGGAAGTCTCGGGTGATGATGCGGCAGATTCGTTTCTTTTCTAGGTCTTCCGGGCTATCCAGTACTGAGACAAGAAATGACCCACCTTCATTCATAAAGCAAAGATTTCCTTCTGACAGCATTCTAGCCAACTCATTGACTTGGTTCATAATGAACAGAAATGCCAGCACAACACATTTTTTGAAACAACAGGAAAATTTAAAAAGCAAGGCTATCCTAACACCACCAGAAAACAAAAAATTGCAATATTTCAAGATCTGCCAATATTTAGCTTGCATGTTTCCTTTCTTTATGAAAATCAGGACTTTCCAGGTCACTGAGAAAGAGAAACATTTAGTTCTAGGTGCAGCATTGCAGGGCCACCTTTGAAATGAGGGATGTGAGGGCAAATATGGAATGAAATGAACCTGTTCTATTCCTGGTTCATGTGATGGAGAGGAAGTTGCTTCTGGACTCCCTTTCTTTGCAAATTTCAAAGTTAGCTCAAAGCCAAGTTATCGTGGTTTTAAGAAGTAACATAGCCCTTTGGGTTTTCAGGGGAATAGTGCAGGAATAAAATCTATCTTGGAAGAGTAAGATTTATGTTTATGTGTTTACTCCAGTGGAAGGGTTGTGTCTGAGATACTCACTGTGGATATTAAAAAAAATCAGTGATTATGAATTCATGGTTTCAATATTCCCCTGATGCCATTAACTTTTCAAATACATAATTTAACATCAAGAGGATGGGATCATGGGCTCTTTATAAATTGCATTAGTGGACATCAAGAGGATGGGATTTATAATCCCAATTTATAAAGAGCCCATGATCCCATCCTCTTGATGTTAATTGCATTAATATCAAGAGGATGGGATCATGGGCTCTTTATAAATTGCATTCAGGGCAATACAAAAAAAATCAAACTAGTGTAAATGTAGAAAATTTGTACTATGTGGATCACTGAATTTTAACAGGCGATAGAAAGTTGTTTATTTTTAGAAATCATTTACAATTCATTATGAGGCAGGAATAGCAACTATGTTTTTCTTGACTATTGGGCATAGCTAGACAGTAAAAGTAAAAAGTCTCAGTATCTGATTACACATGATTGAAGACTGATGCACTGGCAAATACTAGCCTATATTTATTTTTAAAATTTCCAGACATAAACAAATCTTTAACTTTCTATTAATAGATTAATTAATCTATTAACTTTCTATTAATACCCATGTAGAAAGCTCATTTTAAAATAAATAAAGTTAAAGAGTGGACCCCCATCCAAGGGCACGATGCCAATGCTCACTGGCAGTGTTATTGATAAGTAAATATCCCAGAGGAAAATATCCGAAACCTAAATGTCAGCAAAAGGAATGGTTCCAAGAAGTAGAAGCAGCTAAATATTGTAGGGAAAAATTTTTATTAATAAAAACCCTGATCTTTTTACTTTGCTTAGAAGATACTGACTTAACACATCTAGAGGGAATAATTTCTTCCTCCATCCACCCCTTGGATAAGATAAGCCTGGCCTCTATTCTTATTCAAACCTTGGTAGGATGTAGAAAGAAATAGTAAAGAAGCTACGGTCAGGCTACTCTTTCCTATCCACGAGCCATATCTGAAACTAGTGCCAGAAGACTCAAGAACTTGATAAACAGTTCTTGCTTGATAAACAATACTTGCTCTTGAGTATCTAGCTCTATACAAAACTTGGTATGTTCCTGACATGCAAGCAAAGAACTTGCCCTATTTCTGTAGTTACTTAAAGTTGAATGTGAATTCTACTATTAGGACTAGGACCTTTTCTCTGTGCAAACTATAAGAGCTGCTTTCCTCTTTTCATACTGAATTATTACAACCTTGTACAGCCCAAGACAAATTTGAGATTTACAGCGATTGAAGTTCTAATGGAAAACTAAGTTCCTAAACTAGATGTGTATGTATGTGTATGCATTTCAACCCTGGCTAACTTCCTGTTTGAATTATAGGTAGAAGATTGAATGAACTTAATTTTCCTACCCCCTTAATAATAGAAAGTTTAAAAATTATAGTATTCTATAACATACTAGTTATGGGTAGATGTAAGTTTTCCAACAGAATAGCTTAACACTTTTTATCAGTATCTTAAATATCTAATGTTTCAAGTTAGGCATTTTTTTAAATAATGGATTTATTATCCAGTATCAGTTCATTTAGTTATGAAACAACAATATCTATTCTATCTCATTTTTGGCTCAAGTTTACACTAAAAATGGAAGCATGCTGCATCTCTTTAATGAGATGTTTAATATCTTAAAGGCTTTTATTTTCCTGAATGTAACCGGAATAAGATTAAGCAAAAGTATTGTGCATTCCAACTCATCATTACAGGAGCAAAGCAGATTACCTGCTGTAGTAAAATACCACAAGGGACACACACACACACACACACACACACACACACACACACACACACCCCTAGGTCATAAGAAAGAAATGAATCATTTTCATGCTTCCAGTTTAGATTTCTTTTAAAACGCTTCATCTGAAAGTACCTTCATCCATGCCATTAAGAATTTCATTCAACTCATCTTCAGTGTAGTCACAGAAATGCTCTTTCCAGCTGTCCCCATTCTCACTGCGCAGGACCACCAGTTCCCTTTCCTTTCCTCGAAGAGCCGCAAAGTGAGGGATCTCCACGATCACAGGCCTGACATAGCAATGCAGAACATTCAGTGTGGACAGGAGCTAACCAAGAGCAAGACAAGCACCTCGACTCTGTTGCAAAGTGACCTGGAATTCTTCTTTTGCTGGGGACAGGGACATAGTGGGCCATCCCCTGAAGCCCACAGGCTAGCAGATGGTCACACAGTAGCACTCCACCTCAGGGGCACCAATCCTCAGGTACATGCTGCTATCCTAAGCCAAATAATGTTTCCCTGTGAGTGCATGTGGCATTCTGGAACTTCTCCTTTGATAAATGTAAGTAGAACACATTTAACCAAAAGAAACGTACATGCATATCTATGATGTCTGCCAATCTCCTAAAACATTTTCGACAAGGTGCAAAATGACGAAATGGTTTAAGAGGAAAATGGCTTACACATTGCATAATTTGATGTGTCGTAAATGAGGAGATGTCAGAAAGTTGACTACTTGTGAACTAAAGAGCCATGCACTCATGGTTTTTGCTTATATTTCCTTCATTCAAGGAAACAATAGGCATGTGTACACAGTGTGGCCCTAATTGAGCCCCTCAGCAGACAGCCCAATTGTGTCCAATGCCTATTATATTCAGGATCCAGAGCATGCACTGCCCTATTATTTTTAGGTCACATTTGTTTTCAAAATATATAGAGGGTTTTGATTTTTGGGTCCAGGTTGCTTTGATACAGACTCCAAATTCATCATAACAACATCATAACTAGCACATAGTACAACTAGGCAGATCTCATGCTTAAACGAAAATGAAGGTCACAGCACTTTAAGGGGAAAGATATAAAAACATCACTCAAAAATAAAAGTCACATACCACAAGGGTCAGAAATGGTCCACTAAAGATAGGTTATACAGAATTTAAATCATAGAGAGGGACATGTCATGGGCACAATGACAAAAAAGAGAAATCATATTGCAGAAGAAGGAGAAGAATGGGGGGCCAGCAGCCATCAATTTGTTTTAAGTCACTCCTACCCAAGGAATTTGGTTCCAGGAGGCCCCAGCTGAAGAATGCGGCTGACCAAACTTTCTCCCTCATTAAGTGGGGGAGGAGCCGTTGGCAGGTGAAGTTTACTGAGTACATCCAAAGCAGCAGTGAAAGAAAGAACATAGGTAAGCTTCAGGTATTGTTTTCTACAGAACCCCAGCATCGCCAGCTGATCCACAGGGTGAACTTTGGTTTCACACTGCATTTGGTTCTGCCCCCTCCATTGGTCACAAAGAGCAAGGAACCGAGACCCAGAGTGTGCAATGGAGGCGCGTCTGTGCAAGGAGAGCACTTAGCTGTCCGGTCTGTCCCTAATTAGGTTCACCGCCAGGGCACTAGCCAAAAAGGGGGTAAAAATGCTCCACAAGAAAGACAAGCTGTTGGGAATATGATGAAAACTCTGCCCTGTACAGAGGCCAGATGTTTTCATGAATATTCCCCAACAGATCTGAAGATTATTAAAAAGCCTAAACTACCTGAGCATGAGGGGAACAGGGTCTGACACAGAATATGAAAAGAATCATTGGGGAATTACTCCAAACATAATGGCATTTTCTGATGCAACCCAGAACTTCACAGGCTCCTTGTAAAGCTCTGGTCTGTCTGATTGGAGGACATGAGAGGTGGTTGCTATAATTGGGAAATACAAACACACCCCTTTTCAGGTGTGTGAACATAATTTGGAGCAATCTGCTAATAGTTTGGTCCAAATTACAAAGCTTTAGAACATTTCCTGAGTTCTAAAGCAAGAAATCCTCTTCCCAGCATGACATCGGCAAAGTAAAAGAGTTCACGATTATTAGGATTTTCTCCCAGTATTTCAAGCACCAAGACTTAAATACAATTGATTTGTTTCAAAATATTTTGAAACTTGTCCCCCACCAAAACTTCATCCTTGTGTTAATTTCAGCTGTAACTATTCATTTCTGGGCACATTGAAATGCCACTTAATATAACAGCAGCCGTACAAACAAACAGAAGAAAGAAGAAATGCTAAATTCTGCTCAAAATTGCCAAAATGAGCATGGTTGAAGTTAGTCTTGATGTATTTGTCTTAATATAAACTGTGACTAAATAGCCAATGTAATGATAAGGCTCAAGGTAGCAATTTTGATAGCTGGAAAAAAAAATAACATTGATTAAATTTGTAGGTATTCTGTAAAGGCAACATTGCTTTCCAAAGTAAAGATAATGATTCTGTTTCATAACTACATGAGAATTTACATTTATGTTTGGAACAGAGCAGAATTTTTTCTTTGTGTCTTTACCACTTAATTCTCAGATGAGAAAAAAATACCTACCATCAGCTAAAATATTGGTTATTCACATTGGGGGTCTGGCAGCTATTATTGCATCCAAAAAGAAGAAGTGGTATTCAACCTGAATGTTTAACTCATTAATGCCTTAAAATAAGAGGCGTGTAAGTGGAGTCAAGCATTGAGGTGCTACTTCCAATTTAAAAAATTTCACTGGTGCTGATCCTCTTTCAAAATGGTTTGACGTACCTTTTTCCATGCCATCCTAGTGATTTCATGTAGAGGACACAAGCTCATCGGTGACTAAGTGGGAGGTTTATCAGAAACCCTTACCCAAGGAACTGAGCACCAGAAGGTCCAACTTCGATCAGGCGACTGGCCAGGCCTTCTCCTTCCACCATTGGAGGCATTGTTGCCAGTCTGTGGCGCTTGACCAGTCGACAGGTGACTCGTGTTGGAGCAGTACATTTCCGAGGTGGAATAATGATCCGGAGCCCATTGTGTCTGCATCCTCGCATAGCACCACCTCGGGCATCCACCATAAAACTAACCAGGAAACTAAAAATTAAAATAGAAGATTAGATATGTTTGGAAATACTGGGCGCAGATGAACAAGCTTTGTCAAATTGTTTTCCATAATGCTTTGTCTCAAAATCTCTCTTTTTTATTTAAATGCATGGTGGTAAAATGTTTGCTTTTAAAAGTTATTTTATTTTATACCAATGCCTTTAATTCTGTTTTGTTGTTATTCTAATTTTTATATTATTTTAATCTGTAGAGAAGAATTCTAATTTTTGCTGACAATGGTGATATTCAATATAAACTGTAAATTAAAAATAAGCCTAATTGATTTTGAAGGAAAATGGAATGAAATTACATAAAGAACAATTGACAAATTTCCTTTTGTTATAAATGGAAAGACTTCCGCTTCCTTACGTGTATATCCTGAAAAGTCTACATGTTGAAATAATACAAGGACAAAGCAGAGAGGAAAAACCAAATTGCAGTTTTTCTGCATCCTGTTCCAACATCATCTTACCCAGGATGTAGATTTTTAACTGATTATATTCTAAAGGAGGAGAAAAGCAAAATAATTAAATGTTTTTAATTGAACCAATTTGCTGGTTAAAATGTACTTTTTTACTTATTGAGTAGGAATCTCTCTGCCATACCATTCTAATTTAAACGAGGAGCGGGTGGATAAGGAACAAGTAGACTCCTCTATACACCATTTTTGAAGTGAAATTTCAGGCGTGGGAAACCCTGGGCTCATGCAGATGGAGGATATCCGTATCATCTGTATCATGATTTTTCTCAAACTGTAATAAATTGAATGTAAAAATTATAGCTAATAATTTAGAAATGTTAACAGCATCCCTATTAATTTTTCTCCTTTTCTTCTAGGCTAATGGTTCATGAAAAAGGAGAACTATAATCCAGGATGACTTGGTTTGTTTAAGTGTACCAAGAGAATGGGTTTGTCTTAACTTTGAAGTTGTTTCCTTTGGGATGGTCTTAGCAGATCCTGATTCAGGTTAATTTGAATGCTTGTCATTTGGTTAGTATTAACACTCATTAAAGTCTCCCAGGCACTTACCGTGTCAAGGAGCAAAAATTAAACAGCACGGCAACCTAAGGGTTGTGTACACGTATACAAAGACATACAAACTGTGTGTATGCTCTTTCACAAATTACATTAGTGTCTTTTCACATTTTCATTGCATTTGCAAGATCTTTACACCAAAATTGGAAGAGGAAAGCAACATATAGGTGTATCATGGCTCCGCTTATAATCTGCTCAGCACAGAACCAACTGGATTTGTCCCACCTAGATATTGCCTCCACGACAACATTTAAAACATTTGAAAGGTATTTTATCAAAGTAAGTTATGGGATATAAACACAAAACATTTATGTTATTTTTTAGATAAATGAAGAAAAATATCTTAGCATCTTCTTCAAAGCAGAACACACAACTTATTAAACATGCCATTAAACACAAATCCTGTTGCTAGTAATAAAAATGGGTGCGAAGGAGCCCAGAGTGCCTGTCTGAAGCACGTCATGCAGGATGAGACCACAAGAGGCAGCACAGTCCTTCCCACATGCAGGGGCCAGGATAGACCTTCCATTCATACCTAGCCCGCTTAAGTTTTCAGGAAGGAGTAAAAACTAGGAAGTACAATCAACAGTTCAGTACTGAAGTGTTGATGTTTCTGGTCTTTACCAAAACATAATGAGAAAATATTTGCCACTTTTCTTATTACTAGTCTTCAAGTATGAATTCTTTAAAATTTTCTTTTTCATTTGACTTTTAAATGAACTATTTGTTGCTCAAAAGAATGAAAATACTGGTAACACTTCTAGACAGATATAAAGTTTTCCTTTCCATTTTATTGTTCTTATTTGAGTAGGATACTTAGATTGGTTTTTGTAAAAAAGTAGCAAAAAGTGACAAGTTTAAACTAGTGCTGCTTCCAAATTCATTGCAATATTTTTTACTCACTGATAATTAAGATTAATATTTCCTTTGTTTGTTTGTTTTTTTCATCTTTTGGTTACTGCCTCCATTGGTGCACAGACAGGAACTCAAACCTAGTAAGTAATTATTATAATACATCTGCTTGATGTTATCAATCCTCAGTACTATTTATACCTCTGAAGGCATTTAAGACGTTTCCACACTCATGTTGTGTGCTATAACCTCTCCACTACATTTATTCCATTGATGGCTTATGGCCTATATAACATGGAGCCTGGATCAAAGAACATGTAGAGTATCTTCTGGTGGCCCATTCTCTAAAGAGTGAATTGAAGTAGCTAAGTTCCTGACTGTAACAATGTTTAAGTAACTACAGGTTAGATTACTTGCCCTGATTGTGTCATTGACTGTGTCTCTTGAAACCCTCTTTTTGTTCTCACTTGCTCTATAGTTCCATTTCTATGCTCCTTTTCATGCAATATTTGTTAATCTCCTATTAAGTGTCAAGTGCCCTGCTAAGAACTGAGGATACAGAAAGAAAAGACATAGCAGCTGCTGCCAAAAAGTTTATGGTCTAAGCCCCAGATGTCACATGATGGTTTTGTCATTACTTGGAACTGCTTACTTTCCTGGTCACTGAGAAATGACTAAGTCCACACATAGGAGCCATAAAAGTGCCATAATAACAGTGAGCATGTTCTCCATATTTCTTCCTGTGTCCTCTAGAGCCTGGCACAGTGTGGATGGAACACTTAGCAGGCAGTCAATAAATAACTGTTGAATAAGCGAATGTACAACACAGTGAAAAGGGCAAGATGTGAGGAGCTGTATATATTTATATCTAAGGCTAACATAGGAGAAAATTTAATTCTTTAGTCTCTGGACAATCAGAGCAGTCAGAATTCATTCGAATCACTATATTCAGAGGTAGGAAAGCAGTTGGGAATGACTATCCTTAATGTTAAATATTCTTCTACAGGCGTATTCCTGCTCTAATATATATAGAGAGACCTAATAAATTGATTTCCTTTGATAGAGGACTGGTGGAAAATGAGAGTAAGCAAAAACCAGAAGTTTGAATTTAACAAAATAAACTGTTTTAATAGAAGTGAAAATTATATGAAGAAAGACCAAAAATGGGAAAATCAAAATAAAAGCACTTAAAGCCTGAAGCTGCAAGCAGATAAATTTACCTATAAGAATCTCTATGTCATTGTAAATCTGGAAAGTAATATTTAAATATTGCACAAAAATCCAAAGCAAATTGGAAAAATTAAGGTGCCAATATGCATAATTCAGAGAAAAAATAATTTTTGTTTTCCTTGAGATAGGGTCTCACTCTATTACCCAGGCTAGAGTATAGTGGTGTTATCATAGCACACTGTAAACTCGATCTTTGGGGCTCAAGCGATTCTCCCATGTCAGCCTCCCGAGTAGCTGGGAATACAGGCAGCATCACTGCACCTGGCTAATGTTTGTTTTTTTGTTTTCAGAGATGAGGTCTCCCTATGTTGCTCAGGCTGGTTTTGAACTCCTAGGCTCAAGCAATCCTCCTGCCTTGGACTTTCAAAGTGCTGGGATTACAGGTATGAGCCACCATGCCCAGCCTAAATTAAATTTTTAAAGAAAACAAGGCTTCATGTTTTTATCAAGTAACTAAAGGAAGAGACACAAACCAAAAAAAACCCACCAAGCTGTAGCGAGGAAATTTTCTTTAGAAGAGAAAGGGAAGAGAGAGAATAAAGTAAAACAGAAAGATGTCACGAAAGAAATTAAAATATTGGAAGATATGAAAAAGCTAAATATTAATAGCCAAAATGAGTAAAACTGTTGATAAAATCTAGCATGAAAATACTCTAAACAAATTAGACTCAAATAATGCAATTGCCAAACAACTGATAAAAATGCTAAATTTACAAAATTGCATAATAAAAGAAGTCTTTTCTTTAAATAAGAAGGAATAGGAAAAATAACTCAAGTTTATAGCTAGGTGCTGATGAAAAGTCTATTGACAATAGTCAGTATGCTTATCAGTTAATCCCAATAGTTGATAATATAAAATTAGGTAAGCATCTGAGTATTTTCATTAAAAATATCAGAATACTCAAAAGCGCCACTATTTGGACAGGTAGTAGAGTTAGGAGACAGGTATTCTACCACGTAAAACACAACTGCAAATAAGCAAAAAACAAATTGTAAGCAAACGTACTTTTATGTACCACAGGAAAATGAGAAAGGTTAGAAGGTGTGAGTCGCGAGATGCGTCGTTCACATACTAGAGTTGACTGAATCAATATGATTTTTCTCATGTTTGCAGGAGATTAAAAATGGGACAACATAATCCCTATAAACATTTGGAGATGAAAATAATTGAAGTAAAAACATATAATTAAATATGTTTAGAGGAGGTGGTAATAGAGATTGATGGCTCTGCCTGTCATCTATGAGCTTTAAGATTGAAGCCTCACCTGGCAATGAAAAATAATCCTGTTACCACTTAAGGTTGTGGTGAGAAATCTTGTGTGGGTAAAGCATACGGAATTCAATAAATGCCTGTTCCTATCATTTTCCTTTCTCTACACTTATAGGATTTTATGTATTTTAAATATCTTTAAAATAATACAATATATCACTTGAAAAATAAATGGGGAAACTAACCTTTACCTACAATGAACCTGGAACTATGCTAAGTAGTTTAATATGATGATGAAGTTTGTATTCGTTTATGAAGTTTACTTAAATAAGATATAAAAATACCATTATCACGAAGCACAGGAGAATGCAACAAGTACCATGCTCTTCCCTGGGTCTAGATATATCTCTATCTTGAATTAATGTTGTAACCTCAGGTAAGTCACTAACGTCTTTAGGTTTCAGTTTTCTTATCCATAAAATGGGAGACTTCTACTAAATAGACTCCAAGTTGCCTTCCAGTATTGAAATTATATGCACAGTTTACTGTTAACTAGGTTGGGAAACCTACTTAAATCTTTCATTTCAGATGCACTGAAAGAATTCCTAATTGGAAAATAAACTGCTATTACTTCAGGAAATATATATTATTTTTGCTTTATGGTTAAAACAGCTGTTTTGCAGAAAATGTGTATACACACTGCACTAAACATTGACTTAAGACTGTACATATAAAAAATATCATGTAACACTTAGCTTTGATTGCATCTCTTACTCTCCAAATGAAATTCAGCAATCATGCAAAGTAGAAACTCTTAAAAATTTTCTAAATTGTGAGATACAATGTTATCACAATTTAAAAAGAATAAAAGCGAAAGCAACCATTATTATGCAGATGACTTGCCTACAAATACACAATTTGATTAGCTAAACAGTACATGCTTCAGAGGAGGGAGCAGAAAACCATGATCCAGTCTTTTGAGGACTACATCCTCCACCCCCAAAGTTACTACTCCTTTAGTTTTATTTTTAATTCATTGAGGACCATGGGATGGGAATGGGGAGGAAATTGCAGCATTCAGAGTTAGTTGAAAGAACAGGAAGAAAAAATCATCAGAGTGCTTCAGTGATCCTCATATACATAGCAAGAGGGCCTCAGATTAAATCCGATTTCTGAGGTACTGTGAGAAAAACCATAGCATGAGCTCTTTCTCCTCTGTAATTCCCTTAATTCCTTCCTAATCCTCCAAATTCTATAAACTTAAACATTGCTTGGATATGGCTTTGAAAAAAATAGTTCAAATTTGTTAAAATCACCAAATAATTATTTATCAACCACTGTGTTCATGTATGGAAAGACAATAGCGTGCATTTGAGAAAAAGTATAAGGATGTATATAAAAGTTTTCAAAAATAAAAATATAAAACTGTATTTTTTATAGACTGATAATTTGTAGTACCATAATGGATGACTGTATAATAAAAATACTATAATTATCAGTCTAATAAGAACCTTTAAAAATAACGTTAAATAAATAACAGAATAATGGGTATCTTCAGAACACTGACTAGAGTCATTCTGCAGTACAATTTCTAAAATATCAAAAGGTTGCATTTATAGCAGTATTAGCAAGGAAATGCACTATTAATACACTTTCAGCCTTTGCCTCACCTAGAATATGGTACTTAAAATAAAACCCAGAACAACAAAAAAACCCTCTGCTAAGTGCCACTTAAAATCATAACCTTTAATAAAACCTTAAAATAGCTCAACCAATTTGCATAATTGTGGGGAACAACATTTTTCATCTCTACGTAGCACTTTTTCTCACAAAACAAGCTGGAGATGTGGAGACCCGTGACCAAGACAGGCAGTCCACAGTAAGTCTGGGACAGCCTCACTTTATCTCCACTGAAATTAAAAATACCACTTTCTCTTCATCACAGAGAAAGGGGAATTCAGCAATAGCCACAATTTGGAGAACATCAATCTTTGTATCTCTTTGGCTAGGTATCTTCACACTAAAGCATCCTGAGGCAAGGAATACGCAGAAGGAGATGGCAAAAGGGGGAGAGGAATAGGCAACATGTTCAGAGAAAGAATTATGCAGTAGTTCACCTGCTGTTGTCACGATCAAGACATGGAGAGGCGCGGCTGCAACAGAATAGATACTTTAGCATAGAGAAGGAACGGATAAAGTGAAATATAAGGAAGGAAATCAGAAGTAATTTATCATTTATACACCAATACAGTATTCATTGAAAACAAATGGAAATCCAAATGAGATATAGCTCGAGAAGAGCAAGGTATGGGGGCTTTGTGGCAACTCCCAGTTTAGGGAACTGGGGATGTTATAAAATCACTGGATAGGGGTTTGTAACCTTGGTCAACATCGGCTTGTGAGGGCGTTTAACAAAGTCTGGGTGTCCAAGAAGCTACAGAAACATCAAGGGTTATTATGATGAAAAACATAAAGTCTTTGATTTGATGAATACAGTTTTGATGCAAAAGTTTTTGTTTTATACATTTAATACTTTAAAAATAATGATAATAACTTTTTGGGCTATCACAGAAGAAATGCAAAAAGAAAAGGTACAATTTAAAGCATAGATCAACAACAAACACTAGCATAAACCATAAGGCAGGGTAGGTAATATCAATTACCTACTAGAGTATAGCAAAAAAAAACTACGCAAACAAAGTCTTGGTGCTTCTGTCAATACTTTATGTCCTGCTTTAGAGATTGCTGTCCTCCTCATTGGTCATAATGTCTAATCCCACATTATAGTTCTACCTTTCACTCCTTTTCTACCTATGAGTCTGTTCTTCCGTAAAACCCTGCATAAGCTTTCACAAGATTCTCTTGTGTTTTCAACTCTAATGACATACAAAAGTATACATGCTTAATGGACCAGAAATCCAACCTTACTAAACACTTGTTTTGCTACTTATTATGCGAAAACTTTCTTCATCTAAAAGAATTTACCTTCATGTATCTAAAGAAAACCCCTAGGGTGTTGTAAAATACATGAATAACTAACTTAACTGCCGTACATATTAGATAAACATTAATATTGTCAAGTGAGAGCCTTGACTTCCTTGCATTTCAAATATCCCATTATTTGAGAGAATATCTTCAAGATGATTTTTAAAATATACTGTATTTTTGGAGCAATTTTAGGTAAACAATAAAATTGCCTTCAACATGTTTTTATGAAAAGAAATTCTTTAAAAGACCACCTTATAGACCTCAAGTTAATGTAAGACTATGTAGGACATTTTAATGAATTGACATTTAATTGTTGGCATTTGACTGTAATTAAAAGACTACAAAAACTAAAGTCCTTTGGAATAACAATATGTAAGAAGACTTACAAAGCTAGCTACTGCTAAGAATTGTGCCTTACATCTTCTAATTCTTTATGCACTTATGAAATGAAGAACAATTGTAAAATTAAAATTCTTGCCCAAGATTATGTTGTTATGATCATGACTAGGATACTAGAAATAACTGTTGATCAGAGTCATTGCAAATGTGAAGACAACACTTTAAAATAAACAGCAAATATTAGTCTTTCTTTTGTCAGGTATGTGCTGTGTGTATTGAGCAGAACAGATTTTTTTAACACTGATACTGATTTTTTAATCACTGATACCTATTGTTCTCTAATCATGAACATTCATCATTGGAAACATAAAGTAGAGGTAAAATAAAATCACCAATACTGTTTGTTGGTAGAAACGGTGTCTTCTATTAATGTAAAATCCCTTTATTAAGTTTAAGAGAACATTATATGTACAAATCAGTGGCATGTGCATAAAAAGTTAACTTTATTATCACCTCTATCAAAATATCTGTTTTTTGGCTGGGCACGGGGGTTCATGCCTGTAATCCCAACACTTTGTGATGCCGAGGCAGGTGAATCACCTGAGGTCAAGTGTTCCAGACCAGCCTGGCTAACATGGCGAACGCTGTCTCTACCAAAAATACAAAAAATTAGCCGGGCATGGTAGTGCACGCCTATAGTACCAGCTATTCGGGAGGCTGTGGCAGGAGAACCACTTGAACTGGGAGGTGGAGGTTGCAGTGAGCCAAGATTGTGCCACCGCACTCCAGCCTGGGTGACGGCGTAAGACTTCGTTTCCTTTTTTTTTTTTTCTCTTACATTTTGGGTAGATCTTGCAGTGGCTTAAGAATCCACCCAATTAATTAAAGAGAAACTAAGTTTTTCAAAAAATAAATGAAAGCTACTATTTAGGAACCTGATGTATAATGAATAAAATTACAAAAAATCTTGCCACATGACATGGTATGATGAGTGTTACTCATATACATTAATATCGTGGTAGCTTTCAAATACCAGGACACTCAGAATCATTGAGCTTTCAATAGTAATAACCCATTCTGTTAGAGTCATCAAATGCATTGTGTTTGTTCAAACACTGGAGACACTAATAGAGAATAATTTGCCTGATTAAAAATAACAGTAAGTCAAACATTACTATTGTGAATTGAACCACATTGACGCTGCCATTTAGAGGAGTCATAATACATTTTCCTTAACTGATTTGCAATTTGTGAAAGATCTGGAACATGTGTATGAGGATTGTACACAATACTAATAGCTATAATCTACTGAGCACTTATTATTTCCAGGCAAAGTGCTAATTATTTAAAAAGCATTTAGTTATTAAAGCTCCCCTATGGGATCAATAATATAACACTCGTCTTATAGATATGGAAACTGAAACTCAGAGATTTTTATATAACTTGTGCCTGATGTCACATATGAGTGTGAGTGACAGGATTTAATTCTGATAGGTCTGACTCCAAAGCACACTATTAACCACCATGTTTCTCTCTCTTTACAGATTAAGTGTCTTCTAACTTTCAATAACAACATATAGTGTGTTTCCTAAAGGCAGGGGCTAGATGTTACTTAGCTTTTTTCTTAGTACCTGGCACAATGTCAGGTACTTTGCAGAATTACACAAATGTGTGAAGAATGAATACATAAGTAAATAGAAGAAACAAAGAACATTTGAGAGAACCAGGTATACCTTAATTAACTAGCTCTCTCTAATAACCAAAGCCTTATTAAGCAAAGTTTTTCCTAACAGTTTATATAAAACATCTGTACTATTGGTGCTTGTAGAAAGTATCAATGCCAGGCCTCCAAAGTATTGGTCTGGGTTGAGGCCTGGGCACTAGTTTTTTTTTTTTTTGGAGATGGAGTCTCACTCTGTCACCCTGGCTGGAGTGCAGTGGTGCAGTCTAGGCTCACTGTAACCATCACCTCCTGGGTTCGAGTGATTCTCCTGCCACACCCTCCTGAGTAGCTGGGATTACAGGCGTGCATCACCACGCGCGGCTACTTTTTGTAATTTTAGTAGAGATGGGGTTTCACCATGTTGTTCAGGTTGGTCTCAAACCCCTGACCTCATGATCCGTCCACCTTGGCCTCCCAGAGTGCTGGGATTATAGGTGTGAGCCACTGCGCCTGGCCGGCACTAGTATTTTTTAAAGCTCCTAGATGATTCTAATGTGCAGCAAAAATTGAGAATTATCCAGAGTCAATATTAAATGCTTGAGATTCATAGGAAAACTGGTTTATTAAAGACTATGAATTTAAAGATCTTTATCTTAACACATAATTCATCTTTAACTACTGGATGCTGTTGGTTAATCGTAAGTAATGCACCATAATTACTTATAGGTGTATCTAGTTGTACACAATTGGGCTGTAATTGAGGTACTTAGACTATTTTACTGCCCTTCAGTAATGAAAGAACTTCTTTTAAAAGTTCCTTTTTCAAAATATAAATGATTTATTTTGAAAACTGAAGTATTGCCATGCACTGATTCTTTTGTAAATTCAGTTATTATTAGTCAATTAAATTTTACCTAAAACCATCTCATCACTTTGTAGGCTGCATATGAGCTTTAAAAACCTCATTATGATTTCTAGATTCTTATCTATGATCCTACAACACTCTACATCCAGGTCTCTTCCTTCTTACTTACCACTGTGAAGAAGTTCATCAGCAGAATGTAATGTATGTTTTGAGTAACTTACAACTTTTAAAAAAAAAAAAAAAGTAAGTAAATTTGAATGAAGTGTAATTTGTTTTTTATTTTCATGAATAAATCTTGTATCAGGAACTAGTCTCTACTTATTTAACAAGGAAAAGAGTATTAGGATTGTTTTCAATAACTATATAACTAATGTTATTGTATGAACCTTTATTTAGTATACGATTAGTTGAAGAAGTCTAAAATTTTTAACTAAAATATCTTGGAACTCTTTCCTGAATAAAGAATATTTTAGAATAATAAAAATAAGAAAGAATCTACTTTTCAAAATAGTTCTGGGATTTATGGATAAGGATTTGAGGATAATAATTAAAACCAAAATATTGCATTTTGATATATAGAATATAAATATGGCTTAAAAATAATTAAATAAAAATAGAAATTTTACATATAATTATGATATTACTATATTATTGCCAACTACTAATATGTAAGGAAGAAATTGGAAGAGTGTTACAATTTAAAACTCCTTAAGGAATTTATATTCCACATAATTGAACACCTTAAGAACAACTTTAAGTATGTTTGAAAGTATGACTCAAACTCCTATTTTTTAATGAGTTAATAAAAACAAGCAGCATTGCTTCAACAGTGATGTGTATACTCTCTGAATGACTTTAAAAAGATAACTGAGAACCTGACTGGTTGCATTCAAATTCCCTTTTTGTTTATATCCCTACTTCAAAAAATATATAAACTCCTCCTTATATTTGTGTGATTCAAGCTTCTGTAACATTATTTTAAAAGCATTAGAAAGGCATTTATTTCATTGAACCAATCAGTTAATCTTAATAAATAGAAACTTTCTAGAAATCAAATGATTCGGCCCCTCTTTTTAAGATGTCTTAAAGACAGTATGTGAATAGTAGGAAGGCCACCAGTATATTCCAGTTAGGCAGCAAGCTCTTTGACGCAATTCTACTAGTTGTTCTAAAACAATAGTCAGTTTTTTTAATGCTGAATTCAATCTTTTTTGCTGGTTTGTTGGTGTAGATATAGAGTCCATGGTGGATAAAGCAATGTTATTTACAAGTTTAAACAAAGGGCACCTCCACTGTAAAGCTAGCCACCAGCTAAAGCTACTGGACAAAGCTGTTATTTTCACTCCCATCTCTTTTTACCTCTTGATCAGGATACATAATATTGATTTACTCACCCTGAATGAATAGGACTGGAAGAAAGAGCCACGTTGTCTAAGTTCTCAGTGCCCCAGCTTAGGCGATAAGAATTCCTTTCTGCCTCCTTGGCTAGAGTTGACACCTAAACACAAAGAACACTGGATTGAATAAAAACACTTTGCTTCACTTAAAGTAAAATATAACGAAGTACAAAAAGTGGCATCACTGGAAAGTGGTATAACCTAGAAAAACTTCCACTTAAAAATAAAAAACCAATGTATTTACAATGAATCTTTTAAAATGCATTCTCTTTTAAACTGCATTATTTAAATAGATTATATAAGATTACATTCACATAATTGTCTTTGAAGAGAGTAGGTATCCATCTATTTCCCTATACCCAATCCACCAAAAGTGATAAAATCATAACTAAAATTAAAATATTCCAGAATAAACTTTAAGCCTTTCTGACAGCTAACAATTTTAAATATTGAAAGATATAACTTAACATTTACCATTCATCTTATACCTTAAATGCACCCTACCTCACTTTTTCCTTTAATGGAGATTTTATTTTAAAAATATAATGTTCATATATAATCTCCACAGAAAAATTCAATATAGCTGAAGAAATAAGCAGTATGCTTTTTCAGAAAAACACTGCTCATTGAAAAAATCTAGTGAACATTTTTCATGTTTTAGGAAAACCTTCAAATCTCTTATGCTAGCTTGTCAATTGAATTAAGAATGATTTTGGGGGGATTAAAAACTTTCTCAGGCCATTTCTAGCATCCAATAATGTTAAAAAGCTCTCCAGAAAGCAAAGACATGAAGGCAAAATGTCACATACCTGGTGACTGGGAATCACAACTGAGTCATCCATCACGGCACTGTCCCTCAGGTAGGAGGCATGGCTCAGAGTGTGAGACCTGTCGGAACTGAAGGATCGAAGGCTGGTAGGTTGGCAGGAGGCCATGGCATATACCAACAGCGGTAGTAGGGTTGGGATGACAAAATGATGAGCCGAGCAGGAGAGTGAAAAAAGCGTGCTATTAGCTAACAGCGCAACTTCCAGGGGGACACAAGTCTCTGTGTTGTCCTACCTTTTTGTCCAACAGCTGAACTAACACATCCTTTGACAGGCTCCTACCGCTCAATGGCAAGAGCACAAGGGAATCCAGAAGTTAAAATTTGATACTCCTAATCTGATTCATTTTCTTCCCAGAAATGTTTGAAACCAGCAATTGTAGTTTATTACTGCCAGTACAAGAAATTCACACAGGAAATAATTCCAGGATAGATTGCTTAAATCTGTGTTAAATGTTAATCTCCCTGCAACTAAGAAAAATATTAGAGGAAAGTAGACAGCCCTCAGAGAGAAGAACAAAATGAAAGCCCAGTTTCATTTTCGCTCATTATTTTCCATTCTCTCTCCATGCCTCTTTCTTCTCCTCTCTAAACTGTGAATGACTGAATGTTGGTGCATTCCCCTGGAAGGTACAGAGTGAAATGAACTGTGGCCAGATGCATGCTTCCTGCGGAAGTGGAGTTCCTCTTGTTTGTCTCTGGTGACTCCAACAATGCTATTATTTCAAACGAGAGCACTGTCCCCTTTGCATGTCCTGTGTGTGGTGAGTGAGGCACCAGAGTGTTGGTTGCCGTGGTGATGAGATGCATGAGCACAAGAAACCGTTTCTAAGCTCCAGCTCAGAACACAGACACACCTGCCAGCACAAAGACAAATTGCCAATGGCCACTGACCAAAAATGAGGTTTGGCTTCAAAATGGGATTTAGGCCTTGATAAACCATGCATTACATTTTCGAAAAATCTGAATTTCAAAGTTCTAAATTACATACTCAAATATAACAGGTAAAACTTGACATTTGCATAGATGCAATCTCATTCCTTTTAAATCACTTTGTAAAATCAGATGACAGATTGATATCTTAAATAAGTTATATTTTATACACTGTAGTTCAAGTATTAAAGATCTGTGTTCAAAGTATTAGCCCAAAGCCCATAAGGGAAAAAAAGAGATATGCAAGCTTTCACAATATTTATAAAAGCAAACTTTCATTTACTTTTAGCTAGTAGGTGTTTGGCCAGTGAAGCACTATAGAATTATGGACTAAATGTTAAATTAGCATATTTATTAGTATAAACAATCTTCATTTTGCAAGTATATTTAATTTTGTAAACCATGTACTATCCTATCTACGAGGTGTCAATATAGACCGCATCAATTGTCTTTAAGGAAATCATCACTTTGCAGGTAATTCATAGTAATCCAGGACCTCCTCCTTCTTATTTTACATGTAGGTATATTCCAAAAAAAAGTCTTAAAGGGTAAATGACAATACCCTTTAAGTATTGGGTATATAAAAAGAGTTGGTTGTCTGATCCTTGTGTTTATACATATATAAATCTGTGTTTACAATAAAACAAAATCTAAATATAACCTGAGAATTAACTATTTTATGTTATGTAGACTCTTGGAGAAGATTGAGGCTCTTGACAGAGCCTTAGAAATTTCATCAAGAGTTTTAGCTCCAGCATTTGGAGGCTACTTATATTACAGATGGCTTTACATTTAGCTTTTGATGGGGGTTTAGATTATTGGGAAAAGTTATCTCAGCAAAAGCTTGTCTCGGTGGAATCGATGATTTTTTTTCCTGCTGTAAATCACAAAGATAGCTAAGATCCACTTGGATGTGTTTTGTACCAGGTGGCACTAGATCAGCAACTCTTAAATTCTATTCACCTTTATTTTGTTTTGAATTTGGCCAACGAAGGGAAAATAGTAGAGGAGCCAACCTGTTCTATTTCTAATATGGCTTGTCTATGGGCTCAACTGTTTTCTGGAATAGCAGAAACACCGGTCTCAAAGGGAAAATGAAAATCTAGCTTGAATGAGAACAAACTGAATGGTAAATAATGGTACCTCAAATAAAACCTTGTGACGTGGCTGCCAGATTGCAAAGGTCTAAGCTTTGAAAGAATGAATCAGGTCTCAACTGCCATTCTCAAGGAGTGACTATGGCTAAGTAGACAACTCTATTTCAGGAATGTGGTATTAAAGAACCCACTGGGCTATGAAAGTAGAGTCACACTTTGCAATCAGTATATCAGTCATACAAGTGAAAATCTGATATCAATTTAGTTGATACCTGAGTCTATCTCTCAATTGGTTTTGTACTGAGAGGAATAGAGAGGTGTTGGTGTTTTTTTTATCTTTCCTAAAACCCCGACAGGAAAGAAATACAGAGGGAGAAGAAGAGAAAGAAGGAGACAAAGTGATATATAACCACAAAAAATTGATTAGAGAGAGAAAGATATTAGGATATGTACACAGAGAGTGAGAAAAGTTGGACAGAGAGAGGAAGCAACAATGAATAAATCAAAACCATATATCGGAGTGTCTCTACCTTTCTATGGGTTGTATTCTAGCTTCCTCTACTTATTTATGCCTTCTGAAATACTAATTGGTTGTTTAATCAATGTGTATCATTTCTAACTGCTTTCTAAAAAATGATGTCGTATAATCTACTTAAATGAAATAAAGATGGACTATTCCAACACCGGAGAAGTTATTCTCTCTAAAAAAAATTCTCTCTAAAGTAATAATAACTGAAGAATTATTCTCACTAAAATATAACTGGCATGACAAAGGTCTGGAATAATTTAAGCCCTTGGATCAGAAATTGTTCACTCTGATTTAAGACATTAAAAACAAGTTTAAATATTTTCCAATACAGTTGCCAATTTTTCATTAAGTCAAGGGTTCTGCTATTCAGTTAATAAATGTATAATAACATAGCCATAGAAGTGTAAAGTTTTACTTGCTGTTCAACTAGGGGATGTGCTAGGGGTTTTGTTATGGTCTTAACTTATACTTTTTATTTTACTATGGTAGAACTGCTTTATGGACACATAACAGGTGGTATGAAAGTGTAATTGTATTGAAAAGTATAATAATTACTATCTTGGTAAACTGTATTTATTAAACATTCAATTAATGGAGTGGCAAACTTTACTGAACAAGTAGAAATCTACAATTTTCAATAAATTTACTTTAAAATATGAAGAAGCCTCTGTGGTTTGTTGTTATTTAGTATTTTACATCGAATTTGGAAAGCATTTTTAATTTGTAAGCTACAATAAAACAGACACAAAATCCAACTAATCATAACTTGGTTGTATTTGTATTTAATGTACATTAAATTGTATGTATTTGAATTCTTCCATATCTCTACATATTTTAGGCATCAGAATATTTTTTCTATCTTCTCCAACTACACATAGGCTAATTGGGGTTGTCTGGGGGAAGCCGCGCTAATGTGTTATCAACCACAGGTGTAGCTGTGATTGTTGAAACAAAGCCATTCTTGGGTCATGTCACAGATTTTCATTTTAGTAATATATTCAACTCTTCTAGCTCAGCTAGTTATTCAGTTTAATATATAAAAATATTTATTTTAGAATAAATCCATAATTCTAGAACATAAGCACCCCCTGGCAACACACACACGCAGGTTGAGCAGTGAGCAGGGAAATGTGGATAAATCTAGGAAGGGCTTGTTTCCATGCTCTGTTAATACCTACCTGGGCATGGTGCTAGTGAAAGCAATTCAAATAAAGAAATAGTGCAAAGGAAAAAATGGTCACTGAGAAAAGGTAACTTATATTGAACTGCCTAAGCAAAATTAAAAATAAAAGAAGAAGACCATGAAAATGAGATGCTGCCTGTAATTCTATTTTGGAAATGGTGACTACATCTAGTGATCTAGAAATGCAAGTGGAGACCTGGAGAACACAGTATATCTTGTTTGCTTCATGTCCCCTGATCTTATGTGCTGAAAAGTATTGAGTTTAAGTAGGAGTATTCAAGCCATCCATCCTGTTTTATAGAAAGTATTATTCTAAATTCTTCCTCAATCTAAGTACTTTGAAAGAAGAAAAACAGATCAAATCAAGTACTTATTCTTAATAAGGGAGACCATGCTAAAAACAGAAGCTTTATTGTTGACAGTAATATGACTATTCATAGATTATCATTAATTTGTACAATGCCATAAACATTATACTTTATTCAAATTTGAAATCTTTTAAGAATCTCAGAGTATAAAGTCTAAATCTACCAGTGTATCAAGACAGCTTATGGAACTCCAGAGGGGTTCCTCCTTCTGGGAGCACCCTTTATCTGAGTTATTGAAGCCAAGGAGTCAATTTAATCTCCTTCCCCTTCTTCACCTAACTCGTGAAATTCATCATGAAATCTGACTAGTTTTGCCTCCTACACATGTCTCAAAAAGCTCTCAAATTTTTTATTTCTGAAATTCTCTCCAGGACTATCACCAAGGTTAGAGTGCTAGTCCTCTCATGACACCTGCAGTTAATACAAGCACAATTGCTTCTCAGAATGGTTGCAATCTCCAGGGTTAGCCCTTTGAAACTCTCCTTTAAAATTCATCCTCTTTCTCACTGGCAGAAGGATCCACCTGCTATGCAAATATAATTCTCGTCCTCCACACTTACACTCCAGCAACACTGCACTCCCTTTTTTCTCATACACCCTGCGAGCCTTTGCTCAAGACCTTGTTAAGGCTTCAAACGCCCTCCCCACGTTTCCTCATCATTGTTACTCATCATTTGGTCTCAGTTTGGTTTCATCTGCTCCAGGAAGCTAGAGCCTCAGGGCTTCAGTGGCACTCTATGTGTACCACTAGCTTATGTCCTCTCCCATCTCATCAGGCTATGAAGTTAGCAAGCCTATCTTGCTAAAGAAAAAAAAAAAAGATAGTGGAAGAGGGCATTGGTGCTCAAGGAAAAAGCCCAAGAAAAGTTTGTTTTTGCTAATTATGCACTTAGACTTCATTACTCTTTAAGGTATTTATTTCTTAGACTCTATGCTGGATATTCATAAAATAGCTTACAATAGTACCAACTTTAAAACTATAAACCTGAGATTATTGGTTAGCAGAACACATTATACTACATGGACAAACTTACTCTTTTTTTTTTTTTTTTGTCTTAAGAGAGTGTCTTGCTATGTTGCCCAGGCTGGACTTGAATTCTGGGGCTCAAGTGATCTTCCAACCTCAGCCTCCCAAGTAGCTGAGACTACAGGTATGTGCCACTGCACCCAGCTGTGACATCCACATTCAAGCCTAACTTATCAGTCATACTTTCGATGAGGAACCACAGAATGTCATTACCTAACTTGCACACACAAAAAAGTGCCAGTTGTACTAGTTAATAATAACAAAAAGTAACACTGATTATATATCTCAGAATATTATATAAACCTCCCGGATTTGTCTATTAACGCTAGCCTCCCTCAGATTTTGCTCCGATTGTTTCTTGTATCCAGGCTCTCGTGGGATTCTGTTCGGATTCTTTTTCATGAAAAGTCAGTTCCAGGCAGTTTTGTTCTGAATGTATTTTTTTTTTTGTATTTCAATAAAACTTTATTTATTTATTTATTTTTATTATTATACTTTAAGTTCTAGGGTACATGTGCACAACGTGCAGGTTTGTTACATATGTATACATGTGTCATGTTGGTGTGCTGCACCCATCAACTTGTCAGCACCCATCAACTCATCATTTACATCAGGTATAACTCCCAATGCCATCCCTCCCCGCCTCCCCATAATTGGCCCCGGTGTGTGATGTTTCCCTTTCCATGTCCAAGTGATCTCATTGTTCAATTCCCACCTATGAGTGAGAACATGCAGTGTCTGGTTTTCTGTTCTTGCGATAGTTTGCTGAGAATGATGGTTTCCAGCTGATGGTTTCCATGTCTGAATGTATTTCTTTTTAATTCAGCCGCACAACATATTTTATTCACAGAAACTATGTTCCTAACAAAAAAGTGGGGGCAGGAGAGTATTCAAAGTGTCTGTGATGCCACTCAGTATGTCTATAAGGCAAAATTGTTCTTTTAATTTGAGAAAAAAGTGGCCAGTGATGAAAAACGCCACATTTAAATGATGAGAGTTCTTATTTATGATGGTTTTGCTTCTTACTAGTTGTTTGATTTTACCAAGTTATTTGATCTCTCTAGGCCTCAGTTTTCTGTTCTTTAAATGGCCATATCTTAAAGTTGTTAGACAATGAAATAACATAACATTCTAAATGCTGAGATTAATAAGGTACCTATTAAATGCTCAATAATTGCATCTACATTTTTATCATCATCATAAAAAATATGTTGCAGATATTTCTGGCTGACATCAAGTATAAGCTTTACAAGATACCTGTCAGATCGTCCTCCCTCCAAGCTGTATCGCAGGTAATTCATACCATCCAGGAACTGACTGCTGGGTAGTGAGTCATCACCCAGTTCTTTTAGGTCCTCAGGCCTAAGGTATTCTCCCCCATCACCAGTCATTGTGTCATCACCTTGAAACAATCAGAGGAAGAAGCAGGATTATTTGCTGAATGTATGTCAACTACAAAATATGATCATGACTGTGAAATGCATCAACATCATTGCCTTGATATTGATGAAACTGCACTGCACACTAGAACACAGAACACCAGCAAACAACTATACAGTGCTAAAACTTAGAGAAATAACATTTGATTCATTTTCTTAGCACTTACCAAGAAGAAGTAATCACTTGAATTTTAATTCTTTTAATATTAAGTTTGGATATCCCTTGTTGTTTACTTCTAGGAGAAAAAACTTCTAAGATGAATTCTAATTATAGATTTATCAAAACATAGGCATAGTCTGCTTTAGGATTAAGCCTACAGTACTTACAGAAAAAAATATTAGTTTTATTAACATTTCAGGAGACTACATCTATTCTTTTTCATGAAAAGGTGAAGGGGATGGTTGAATACAGAATCTGTCACATAATACAAGCACAGTGCAAGCTGCATATTATGGATCCCTTGCAAAAACCCAAAAAGATTATTTAAAAACCAAAAGTTGGCTGGCTGCAGTGGCTCAGGCCTGTAATCCCAACCCTTTGGGAGGCCGAGGCAGGTGGATCACCTGAGGTCAGCAGTTGGAGACCAGCCTGACCAATATAGTGAAACCCCATCTCTACTAAAAATACAAAAATTAGCCGGGCATGGTGGCGCATGCCTATAGTCCCAGTTATTTGGGAGGCTGACGCAGGAGAATTGCTTGAACCCAGGAGGTGGAGGTTGCAGTGAGCCGAGATTGCACCACTGCACTCCTGCCTGGGTGACAGAGTGAGACTCGCCTCAAAAAAAAAAAAAAGTCTGCTTATATACTCTTTCTTTCCCCCAGATTCCTACCCTACCCCTACTCCCAAAAACTCCAGCACCAAATTCTGAATACTACTCAGGTTTGAGCATCCTGTCCCTCCTCAGAGTCTGTTTGCTTTTGCATTTCATCTTGCTTCTCCTAATTTGCCAGTTCTCACTGCGGTCTCTCAGCAGCCAAGATGGTCACAGGGAATAAACACAACTCAAAATAAGCTTTAACTTCTTGGTTCTTAAAAATGCACAAAACTCCTTAACAAAATAGGGCCTACATTTCAAATTTTCTTATTTCTCCCGTCTATCTTTCCCTCTTGTTACACCTTGGTAGGGTAAGGAAGGTTTAGAAGGGTGAAGAAAGAAGAGGTGAGAAAGGTAAAGATAAAAGAAGAGAGTCTGGCTGGAATGACTCCGTGTCTGAAGGAGCAAGACACAGTGTTTGATCAGGTAGAACATGCCAATCAACTACAGGAACCCAGCCTTCCTCTCTCGTGTGAATAGAATCTTATTAGAAGATAGAAGGACATTTGAAGAGTATATTTTTAATCAAATATATCAAAATTTTATGACTCTGGTGACAAGACAAAAATTTAAAGCCTCTGATTGGTCAGGTACAGTAGTTCACATCTGTAATCCTGGCACTTTGGGAGGCTGAGGCAGGAGGATTGCTTGAGCTCAGAAGATTGAAACCAGCCTGGGCAACACCTAGACCTCATCTCTACTAAAAATTTTTAAAAATTAGCAGGACATGGTGTCATGTGCCTGTATTCCCAGCTACTTGGGAGGCTGAAGTGGGAGAATTGCTTGAGCCCAGAAAGTCGAGGCTACAGTGAGCCATGATCGCACCACTGCATTCCAGCCTGGGCAACAGAGTGAGACCCTGTCTCAAAAAACAAACAAACAAACAACCACCCACCTCTGATTACACTGAGTTCATGAGTGAATGTCCTTTACGTTCTCCCTTATTTTGTGCATGTTGATGGTTTTGTTATGATGCCATCTGCCTAAGACAGCTGCTAGGTTCAGTGCTACTTAAAGTGAATTTTTAGCATTTTTATGTACACCTATGGTGGCCCTAGGTATATAGCCAATGTCTTGATTATGTCTCAGTGAGAAATGACCCAAAGAAGCAAAGTGCCTAAATGCTGAAAGCAGTGTCTAAATCCTATCCCAGTGTTGGCATTAGCTGGAAAGTCACCTCTCTGGGGACTCATCTTGTCAGTGCTATATAAAATTTCTCTCAAAGACAGTTAGTTGTATATAAATCATGCTATTCAGTAATACATACCAGCAGTAAAAGATGGAAAGTGAATGCAAGCAGAAATTAACAGAATGTGAAAAATCACTTGGAAAAAAATTACCCAGGTTGGTCTATAACTGGAAAATTCTGCATACAAATCAAAGCTTTAAATGTATTTAATGAGCCCCTGAAATACTTTTCTTGCTTCCCTTAGTGGGTGAGAAGATTTCTGCTAGTGCAAAGCTGGCCCATCCCTGCCTCCAAAGCCTCATCCCCTCCCATCTTCCTAGATACCTTGTCTGCTAGGCGCTTCATCTTCAACCTTCTCTCCTCTGTTACAGATTCTATGGAGGTCTTTCCCCTTCCATGGATAAAATATCCATATTTCTGCGATCTCTGAAATATGGTAGCTTCTTTCCCAAACTCTTAGACCTTCTTTATTTCACATTCTGACTCCTCTTTGTTAACAATTAAACTTATCAAGCAGATGTTTGCTAATTTCAGCAATTAATCAGTGGCTGAGAAGTGACTTATTTGGTAAACTATTCTCCTTGATTTCTCTGACACAAATCTCTCCTGGTCTTCCCCCTACATTTCTGAGTCTTTCTTCCCTGTCTCTACTTCTCTTAAATGTTGATATTTTCCATCTGCCCCTTCTTCTTATTTAACATATTATCACATGGACTTAGAGGTCCACTAACTATACACAGACCTGTATTGGTCCCAGACCTCTCTCATGAACTTTGTGTCTATATTGCAATTGCCTTCTGGACTTCTCCATCTAAATTTTCTGTAAGCATCTCAGATTTAGCACGTCCGCAGCAGAACCCATCTTCTTTACCCATCCCCTTGTCAATATGCTTCTCTTTGAAAATTCCCTACATAAGCAAATAGCACAACTACTTCCTTGCCCAAGCCAAGCGGAGAGAAAAGATGATTTAAAATAATATTCAGATTAAAAGCTTTAGCTCTTATTTGTTTGAATAGAGTGCCATTAGATTTGGAAAGAATTTTGTACAACTCAGACAGCTTTAAGACAATCATTATATACTTTCTTTGTTTCAACTTACTTATTCAATGTGAAAACAAAACAAAACCAAAGCAACCTTTAGTTTTTACATTATAGAACAAACCTAAAATGAATTTCTTTATTATTTCCTACACTTGGAATAACTTCCTTCCGATTGTTACCTATTTACTCACTGAATAGAATGATGATTCCCAGGTTAATGACTTAGATTTTTCTTGTTGTTTTATTGTCCAATGTTTCCAAACAATTTTGTGAAAACTGTTTTGTACTAACTGTGAAGCATCAGTGTACTGCAGGCTTTTTATGTACAATTGATGTTTTGATACCCGGAAAACACAGATTCCTCAGTGACAGTGAGTGGTGTATTTAACCCCTGTAGGACACAGGTGACAACAGCACGGGACTAACTTAAATAAAGTGGAATGGCAGCCAGGCACAGTGGCTCACGCCTGTAATCCCAGCACTTTGGGAGGCCAAGCCAGGTGGATCACCTGAGATCAGGAGTTCGAGAGCAGCCTGACCAAAATGGTGAAAACCAGTCTCTACTAAAAATAACAAAATTAGCGTGGTGGCACACACCTGTAGTCACAGCTGCTCTGGGGCTAAAGGCAGGAGAACCTGGGAGATGGAGGTTGCAGTGAGCTAAGATCACACCACTGCACTCCAGCCTGGGTGACAGAGCAAGACTCCATCTCAAACAAAAAAAAAAAAAAAAAAAAAAAAAAAAAAAAAAAAAACGTGGAATGGCTCCCCTTCCTGACAACCTCACACAATGCTGGCATGGAGATTCTCTGAAACGTTACAGAACCCACTCCCTCTCAAGCAAGTGTTATTCCTGCTGAGACATGGAAAAAGGGCTGAAACCTGAGATGAAGAGCCCCACTAAGTGTTAAGTGTTCACAACAGAAGTGAGCGTATCAAAGGAGAAGGCGCCCCTATATCTCATCCCAACATTCAGCCAGTCTGGAGTTCTCTTGATTGCCAGTACACGTCATTCCAGAGTACTAGCAGAGATATATGTACAAGCCACCCACTCATGAATTCATGAGAATAAGGCATACATAAGTCACAATTCTATAGGCATTTTGGTTATACAGATGCCAAAATCTCCAAGCCCCACCTCATCATTTATGGCTGGGAAGCCGAGTCAGTGAAGACAGGGATCAACTCATGATCCTACGAAGACTTAGTGGATTACCTTCACATCTTTGGTTAAATCTGGATGCTATAATTCTCTTAGACTGAATTCCCATTTCTGTCTTTTCCTTGCATTTCACTGCCATATTCTTCCATAAGGATGATATTTATATCATGGCTGTGCTATTACAATACTTTTCATACTAGGTTTTGATTCCACACCCACCACTTAATAGCTGCGTGCCATTGAACAAACTACTTAATGTCTCTAGGCCTCACTCCCCCAAAATAAGCCTTTCCTTAACCGAAAATATATATATATATATGGAACGATATCCACAGCCTGTGTCACAGGGATGGTATAAGGATTAAATGAGACATGTACCTAGCATTATGGAGGTTTCGTAAATGCTTTCTCTTTTCTTAGATTTCTGCTTCCTTCCAGGTTCTTCCCAAAAAACTCCTTCTATGTACCACTGCTGGTTAAATCTTTGTAAAAACAGGTTTAAATGTTTTCATCGTTAATTGAAATCTTTAAGGTATTGTGTTTCCCAGACTTTTCAGCAAAGAATTCAAACAGTCCACAGCTGAGCCCGGTATGTTTTCATGCATCAGCAAATCGAATGACTGGAGAATTCTGCCACTCTGTGTCTCTCTCTTGTACTTTCCTATCTCAAGATTTTCCCATACTGTTCCTTATCTAATCCCTAAAATCTATGCACCTGGTTATTACTCTCTCATTTCTCAGCACGTTCATGAGACGGTGTTAAGTATATGTAGCTCCTGATCTCCCCAAGTGGATATGAAAACCTGACAACACAGTGCCTTCCATTATGCTGCTTTTAATATACACATTATTTCTCTATATAGGCTCCTAAGGCCTGCCTCATGCTCACCTTTGATTCCACTGTGGCACCAGTTACAGAGCTTTCCACACAATAACATCACATTCATTATTTGTTAATTGGATTCATGAGTGGATATTGTGGATTACTTTAATATGTATACAGCAAGTTAGCCTGATAGGATACCTCAGTGTAAGAATATCTCAATGTAAAGTCTTACCTTATGATTTTTTTTAAATTTATTTATTATTATTATACTTTAAGTTGTAGGGTACATCTGCATAACGTGCAGGTTTGTTACATATGTATACTTGTGCCATGTTGGTGTGCTGCACCCATCAACTCGTCATTTACATCAGGTATAACTCCCAATGCAATCCCTCCCCCCTCCCCCCTCTCCATGATAGGCCCCGGTGTGTGATGTTCCCCTTCCTGAGTCCAAGTGATCTCATTGTTCAGTTCCCACCTATGAGTGAGAACATGCGGTGTTTGGTTTTCTGTTCTTGTGATAGTTTGCTAAGAATGATGGTTTCCAGCTGCATCCATGTCCCTACATATGATTTTATCTTGAAGAACCTAAAGAAATCTCTTTAATATCCTTAAAAGCTATTAGTATTAAACATAGTGGCATTCTTAATGGTAAGAGTTTGAATACTCTTTTTGGGTATTGACATACTATTGCTACTAATAAAACAATAGACTGTAGAGAAAACAGGGATTAGCTAATAATTTTCAAACACATGTGGCTGCATTCTGTCCACGTGGATGATAGCAGGTTTCATAAAAACATATTAACTTCACAAAACATTAAAGGGTTGGCATTGGCAATGTCAACCAGCCAATTTCCTTCACACTAATTCTTTCTATGAGAAAGTTACTTATCAATACTCAAACAGATCCTTTACATGAAAATTATTCAACTTGAATTTTCTTCTAGGAAAGAAATATTATTAAGTTTTGGCTATTTCTAAACATGGACTTCTCTTACCACAAAAGATAATCTTGGTCATTCACCAATATTCTTCACAAACCAAGAATTCTTATCACCAGTAATATTTAATATATAACATTTTAAATAATGAAAGTACAGAATGTTATAACTCATCTCATTTAATGCAATAGGCAGATCTGAGAGGCTATTTTGTATAAATTTCTTTTATAAACTCAATATTAAATACTTTAAATGAATTAACTAATAGAATTCCCCAGCAATTATTTTGTAAATAAAGGGCTATTTTTAAATTAAATAATCACTATTCAATTTATCTGATTTATAAATTTAAATTTTCACGTAATACAGTTGCTTAAAGTGGTACCACATGTACTTTGGAAACTTCTTACTAGATAAAATATCTTACATTATTCATTTTTCCTTATATGCCAAATTCACCCTAAACAATTTTTAAATGTTACTTTACTTCTATTCTTAGCTATATTTAAAAATCATATAACTATTAATATATTTTTAATCACACCTAAAATATATCATCAACCCAGAAGGTGATATAAACTGCATTTATTTCAAGTGGTCTAACTTAGTTATTATCATGTTCATGCTAGCTCAGTGTCGACTAACAAAAGAATTACTTTTCTCTAAATTTATATTCTAAGAAAAGATACTAGTTGTGGAAAATATTTATATAATGTTCACTAGATTATAATTATGTTAGCAGGTCTCAATAATAGTTGCAAAATCATTAACAGTACAAACAATTCATGACTTTAAGCTTCTAAGTTAATAAAATCTGCACACTCAAATGCACACATATACAATTCCACTCATATTACACATGCTATTTCAAAAGAAATAGATTAGTGTTAGGCACACAGATTTAAGCAAGTTGTTCTATCCAGTTAAGAAAAATTAAAAGCAAAGAAAAGTTTTCACTCCAAAAATTTCCTCCAAGGGTACCTGAATCACTAAGTGCCTCCCCATCAATAAAGTGGTCACCAAACTGTTTAAGAGCTGTTCAACATACAAGTAGAGATAAGAAAGATGATCCCACAAAACAAAATACGATATGCATATAGGAATGCTGAGAACTAGTTGGCAAGATAGAACACAAAATTATACTAAATATTTGGAACTGCTGGCTTTGGGAATACCTTTGAATTTACTCAAAATAATACATTGATCCAACATTTGTTCATTCTTGTCATAAATTCTTATAAAAGCTGAGAAAACTCAATACCTATTACCAATAGGTGATTCGACAGGTTGGTTCTAAATAAGGACATCTCAATGTGAAGTTTTATCTTATGATTTTATCTTGAAGAACCTAAAGAAACATCTTTAATATTTCTCTGTAAAAGCAATTAGTATTAAACCTAGTGCCATTCTTAATAGCAATAATTTTTCAAACATACATTTTCATGTATATATGAGACAGTAATTTTTCAATCATGTACAGTGGATGACTCGCTGCACTATTGAAACTTGGTTGCGTGGTTTTTTTCTTTCTTTTTTCTATCTCCTCATAAAAAATGCTTTAAAAAATTGTATGTGCTGCTTTCATGATTTTTTAGTAGCAAACTTTTTTTTTTTGGTCCAAGTGGAATATTACATGGAAATTCAAAATACAAAATGAAGAAAGGTCAGCTACTCTAGTTGAAGTAGAGATAGGGAGCCGGACACCCTATTGGCCAATCTCCAGCTCTGGCCCAATGTCACACACCCACTCCAGACAGTCCCCACTGCTCCTTTTAGGAAAGCAGACTTCCCGGGACTTAGGAAGCCATTGCCTGAGATCATTTTTTATCAACTCTAAAATTATAGGGGGGATATTTTCTGACTTAAATAATACATTCTTCTGTTGAATTTGTACTACTTCCTGCTGTACTATTTTTAAACCTTCTCTAAGGCTCTTTTCCTCTGGGCTTAAAATATATTCCGTACCTATGAACCAACCAGAACACAGAGCTCTCTTGGCTGAAGAAGAACACTCCTTGATGGAATATACTTTAAAGTCTTTACTTAAAGGCATTTGAATAAAAAAAGATTTTTAACATAATTCAAACATATTTAATAATAATTGTGTTAATATATAGCTATTTTAATACATGGCCAGTTTCCAGGTTTTCCCCTTTTCCAGTCATATTATTTAATAGCCATTAATTATAATGCTAGGAAAAAGAGATAATACCAGAAAAAAATATACTAATCAGAACTGCTCCTTGGCCCCCGCTGCCACGGCAAAAGTAAATGTATTGAAACAAAGGTGAAAAAGTGACTTTAAATGTTAAGATTCTGCCATCCACATAACCAGCTTGGTCTCTGAAAAAAAAAGGGTGACTTGCCCTTGTGTAAGAACATGACAGGTGTCATAGAAGATTGAATAGAAGTCTTACCCTCTTCATCAGAAACATCAAGAACCTCAGTCATCGTCTCAGGAACATTTAGTTTGTGTTTTTCTGTAATAGTCTGGAAAAACAAAAATCATTAATGTTCAAGTTGAAACCAAAAGTAAACAAAAGATGAAAAGCATCACATAGGAGGCCACGCTCAACAGCAGCAGCAAGCCATTGAGCCTTGACTACGGCATCTTTCCCACGTGTATATTTTGGAAATTTGCTTTCATGAAAACTCATTTGTTCTTTTTGAAGATAAATGATCATTTATGCCAGAGAAGTTGTACAAGAGACAGTTCATTATTTTGAGTTCTCATTTGAAAAATAAATTCTTTAGCAATTGTATTATTAATAATAATTAGTTGTATTGAGAAGGCAGATTGATGTTTTCAAAGCTTCCCTAAAATGAACTAAGCGATGTTTCCAGAAAAGCTTTAAAAAGAAGCAATGAACATACGCAATGTATTAGAAGGAAAGCCATTAGAAAAGAAGCTGTAAATAATGTGAAAGATATAAACTATTTGGGCAGAAAATATGACACATCTTTTCTGGGATCAGAGGATCAAATCATCTCTTTAATATTTCACTGGGTTACAGTTCTGGTTTGTTGCTTATTTGCCTTACGCAATAGCACTCCAAGGTTGTCAATCCAATGCCTTTCGTTCCTAATGTAAAGTGTAAGGTTAGGAGACAAGAAACTGAGTCTAGCTGCCTGGGTTCAAATTCTAACTTCATCACTTATTACTTATAAGGCCTTAGCAAGTCCCCTAACCTATCTGTGCCTCAATTTCCTCAACTATAAATAAAGGATAGAAAAGTACTTCATAAAATGGTTATGAAGATTAAATGATGTAATATATGCAAGAGCTCTAAAAATAGTGCTTGGCATATGGTGGCACTCCATAAATATTAGCTAGCATAATTTATTATGATTATTGTAACTCAGTATTAAATGCATCTTAAAAGTGAAGAGCCTCTGGACTTTTACAATCATTCATGCACTCAAGGACAATTTTGAATGTCTACTGCATGCTTGGCACTATTTTAGACATTAAATGTATCAGTGATTTTTCAAAATAACAGAAGTAAGTTAGACATAGAGACAAATACTGTATAATCTCACTTATATGTGGAATCTAAAAAACTCATAGAAGCAGAGAATAGACACCTGGTGGTGACCAGGTGTTGGAGAAGGAAGGGGGAGGAGCATTTGGGAGATGTCGGTTAAAAGATACAAAATTTTAGTTAGGAGAAATAAATTCAAGAGATTTATTGTAAAACATGGAGACTACAGTTAATAACAATGTACTGTATACTTGAAAATTGCTGAGAGTAGATTTTAAGTGCTCTCATCACAAAAAAAAAGGATATGTATGTGGAGGTAATCGGTATGTTAATAAGCTTGATTTAGCCATTCCACAATGTGTGTGTGTGTGTGTATGTATGTATCAAAACATCACGTTGTATACCATAAATATGTACAATTTTTATTTGCCAACTAAAATAGATAAATAAAAGACGTATGTACCCCCAAAAAACATAAAAATCCAAATCTCATGATTTTGAGCATCACCTAAAGACTATTGAGTCTCAAATTCAAACCTTCAGTTTCTGTAGTGAAAATACATTAAGGGCATCAATTGACACTGTCATGGAAACTTTAAAAGAAAATGAATCCCTTGACATAAGAGTAACATCTTCAACTAAAGCCATCAAAGTACAAAAAATAGGTTGTCTAGTTGTTTAAGCTTTGACATAGACATTAGAGAATTGTTTGAATGGCTATAATGAACCTATCATCAATTATTTTCTTTCCAAAAGCAGTAGATAACTTCAAATATATTTACAAAGAAATTCACTGGTTAATCAAATTTCACTGAGCAACTCTGACTATATACATATATAATATCTGTGTGTTAAGGGGAAGTGATCATAATGTGATACTGCATGAGCTTTTTGGTGGCTCTTCATTTTCTTCAGAAAACTGACTAAACTGGCTCAGAAGAGCCCTGTGATTCAGTAAAGAGGGAGAGGTAGCAAGGCCTCATCTCTCATTCCATGCTACGATCGTGTTGAGCTGCCTTTATTTTGACAGGTCATGTTCTCTCATGCCTCTGACTTTTTCCACATATTCTCTCATTTACCAGAAATCTCCTTTCCCCTCTTCTCTTGGCTCATGTTAGATGTGACTTTCTTGGAGAAACATTCCCTGATCCTCCCCAGTGAATGTCTTTGTTTAACTGTGTTTATCTGCTGCTATGTACTCCTAGAGCATCGTGTGTGCTGTGTCATACACTACGCACTGTGTGTGCCCTCTCTGCTTATCTGCCTCCACACGAGAGTGTGAGTCACTTAAGAGGAAGATTGTTTCCACAGCACCTGAAACATAGCAGGAGCCTCTCAAAGTATATCAAAAACTTGGTAATATCAAATTATGCAAAAAATAAATTTAAAATCCACATCATGATGAAATGGATTGTCTTTGGGTGGAATTTTAGTTAAAAGACAGGAAGAAACAGAGAAAGTAAAGAAAGTCTCCTGCTACTCACATGAAGGCACCATTGGAGACAAGGGTTGTAAATTCAGCTTGCCTGCATATTTCTAGAGATGTTTAAATAGTTTTATTCAGTGTCTTATTCACTGAAAGCAAACTAAATGCTGCAGGAAAAACAAAAGTATCCATCCAAAAATCTGGAGAATAGTGGTGGTTGATAAATATTTGTTGAATGAACAAACTCAAAAAGACTATTATAATATACAGTTTGATTATTACTTTATTATAAATTTTAATTTAGAAATTTAACACCAATAAATTATAGTCTATGTTCTGGATCAGTGGTATTCAACTATAGCTACATATTACAATTATTAGAAAAAAATTTAAAAATATTGTTGCTTGGGTCCCATCATGGACCAATTAAATCAAAATCCATAGGGATCGGGTCCACTATCATAGGGACCAGGGTATTTTTTAAAGGTTCCTTAGGTGGGTTTATTGTGTAGCTCAATTTGAGATTCATTTTCCTGTATTAGGGAAAGTGTATAAATTGCAGGAAAATGATTTGCATTTAAAATATAACATAGAGACTACCCTACTATGATACCTTATTCAACATTTTTTTTTTCTTTTTTTTGAGATGTCGTTTCACTCTTGTTGCCCAGGCTGGAGTGCAATGGCGCGATCTCAACTCACTGCAACCTCCGTCTCCCAGGTTCAAGCGATTCTCCTGCCTCAGCCTCCCGAGTAGCTGGGATTACAGGTGTGCACCACCACGCCTGGCTCATTTTTATATTTGTAGTAGAGATGGGGCTTCACGATGTTGGCCAGGCTGGTCTCGAACTCTTGACCTCAGGTGATCTGCCTACCTCAGCCTCCCAAAGCGCTCGTATTACAGATGTGAGCTACTAAGGCTGGCTTTTATTCAACTTTTTGGGAATACTTAAAAATGTGAAAGGATGTCTACTACATTAGACTGTATTAGAAAGTAAATTTTTGCAGAAATGTTTTAGAGTATTTGTCCTTCATAGTAAACATTTCATAAGGAGATAATTATCTGTTCGAAAACAATTGCTGGAGATACTTTTTAAATCATTAAGTTTCATTGCCTGGTCATCTCAGTTTCTATTTTCAGGTGCTGATAATGGGACTATATTTTCTTTGTACTTATTTGTAAGAGTGGAAATAATAATCTACTTCAGTTTGGTAACTGAATGCTATCAGAATTATCAGCAAATATATGTGGCAACAGAAAAAGTAATACACTTTGATCACATTGGTGACTGATATTTTTCTGTATAGATATTAAAAATGGCCTCTAATTACAGTGTCATAAATATAATACCATTTATACATGAGAAGGTATTTGACCTTTAGAAGGCCATCAGTAAATATTTGTTGAATGGATGGCAAATAAGTAGTCCTACATATGTATAATGTAACAAGAAATGAATACATATTTTCCTTTTAAACAAAATGTCCTTTGAAAACTTGATTATTTAAACATAAACATGGTTTTATGCAACTACCTCTGAATAGTACATAGAGAACAGAGCTATAATGAAATTATCATGGACATCTCTTTCAGCCACAGAATCCAATATACTATGGTCAAGATTAGAAACTACTTTAGAAGTTAAAATGAGTAGGATACTACGTACAAGATTAATGGGATATAATTAAATCAGATAATATGGCAAAAGAAATAGTATATAATAGACGGAAGAGAGATTTAATAATGAATTTATATTGTTAATCACGATATGAAAAATGTAGAAAATAAAGTAGGAGTTTTTAACATTCTGCTTTACAAATAGTAGTCAATATCTGATTTGTTCTATGCAAAAGAAACTGTGTGTTTAACTGATCTTCACTTAGCCAACCCTCACTCAGGCAATCCTCCTGGTCAACAATTGCATTTATATCACATAATCACTGAGCCACTACAGCATACTGAGTAATCTTGGTTATGATGCCACCTTTTAATGCTCACATCCATGGCTTCCATCAGTAAAGTTCAAGCTAAACTTGTTTTTGTTTCTAAACATATTTATACCAATCATACATATTAATATAACTTTAATAACTAAATTGAATATTATGTAAATACTGGTTTTTTTCTAGAAAAACTAGGGTAGATGCTTTTTAAAGTGCCACCACTCCTGGCTAATTTTTGTGTTGTTTTATAGAGACAGGGTTTTGCCATGTTGTCCAGGCTAGTCTCAAATGATCCACCATTTTGGGAGGCCAAGGCATCTGCCCACCTACTACTCCCGAGTAGTCCCTGTTACTCTGGAAGCCGAGGTGGGAGGATCACCTGAGGTGCAGTGAACTGTGATAGCACCACTACACTCCAGCCTGGGCAACAGTGTGAGATCCTGTCTCCAAAAAAAGAAAGAACAGGAAACTACACAGGACATATAAATATCATATAAACATACACATTATAGCATGTAGATATGCATAATATAATATGTATTGATATTGTTTGTGCAAGAATGGCAATTTAACTTCTAACCGATGACCTATATTTGCAGAACAATTTTGGCTCTGCCTCAAAAGGTGCCAAACGACTTTACAAGTATTTATTGTATTGCCATTTTTATGGGTCCTATTTTTAAAATTTTTAAATTTTTATGGATACATAGTTGTACATACTTACGGGGTACAAGTGATATTTTGATATAAATATAAGTATAATGATCAAATCAGGGTAATTGGGATATCCATCACCTCAAACGTTTGCCATTTCTTTGAGCTGGGGAAATTCCAAATCCACTTCTCTAGTTATGTTGAAATACACATTTTAGTTAACTCTAGGTAGCCTGTTGTGCTGCCTAACACTAGATCTTACTCCTTCTATCTAACTGTATTTTTGTACCCATTAGACAACTCCTCTGTATCCCCTCCTCCCCTGATTTTCATGTGAACTGACCTGTGGCAACAGGTAAGATTTAGGACTTAGAATATTCACATTTTCTGCAGTTTACTTAAATATTCCCTAATGATCAAGTAATAACATAATATAATATTTTTATTTTACTAACTTATTCAGTAATTTATGGTCTGCATACCAATTATATGCAACATAAAACACAATCACTTTAAGATTATACGAATAATAGAGATAATTGATGATGGTTGATCAATTAGTTGAAGGGTGAGTCATATGTCACAGTTCTTCCAAGCTGCGTTAGTGAACTGGCCTTGCTGGCTTCTGTCGCCAGAAGTGTGTCTCTACCATTCTGATAAACATATAGTGATTGTAATCCCAGGAGAATGCTAAACTGTCTCATATTCCCTGCTGCATCTCACAAAGTAAAGTTAGAAAAGCAAAGGTTAAGGAAACAAACCACAATTCCAAAATGCCTCAGAAGTTTCTACAGAAGTTGGTTTTTCCTTTACAAACTACTGTGTTACTCTGGTCTCTACATGATGACTTTATTCATACTTTGGGGTAAAGAACTCAAAAGGAAGAATAGGAAAGGAAACTTTCTTCGATCAAAAGGACTACATGGTTGCTCATATGGCACATCACACAAATCCAATACATGTTAAATTAATATGTCAGTTGTGCAGGTGTAATGCAACTGTTGCATTTAAGCAATAACAACATTAACATTTTTTAATTTAACTTAACTATTAAGTTGTCTATTGCACTATCATTAGTTTCAAATTATTTTTAGTGACTGTAGATTTTAGAAAATGATACTGAATGTGAAACTCCACAAAAATCAATAAAGAGCACTATTTAAGTGGTTTTCTTTCTGTTGAAAATTAGGTGAAAACAGTTTCTTCACAAAATTCCTATTAAGCTATTTTCAGCAAAACCAAAGTCAGTTATATCAGAGAGGTTAAGAACATGGGATTTAAAACCCGACAACCTAAATTTGAAGCTTAGATCTGCTCTCAATGCCTTACATACTTTAAAACTTAAATATTACTGTTTTTTAATATCATTAATAACACATTGTGTGGAAAAAATATTATGTGGGAAAAGAATGATTGAAAATCTCTTTCCAAAGAGAGGAAGTTTATTGTAAGAAGACTCTCAGAATAGATGAGAATAAGTCTATTCTTCCAATCCTTACCCCAAAATTCCATTTCACAAAACAATTAAGATCACAATTATAAGAGAAACCAATTCAAAGAGCAGCAGACAGTGAAGAGAGACCAGCATCAAAACATGTAACCACTAAAACTATCCATTTAGATAACAGAGTTGCTTGTTGAATTCAAGTGGACAATGATTTCTTAGTGTCCTAACTGAAAGCAGAAATGCTGTTATGTTTTCTATTTTTATTGGCTTTTCATCTAGAAACTTGAATTCTAAGTATAGCGACTTCTGATGGAGCAATGCTCAGCTACAGAATGTAGAGAATAATAGTTACCAGAAAAGAAAGCTCACAGAGGGTTCTAAAAGGAATTTCCATCCCCCTGTCTTCTCCAGAGCTAGATGTGGTAGAGAGATGATCTTGTGTCTGATTTCTGACAAGGACACTGAGAACTTACTCAGAGACAGCAATTACAGTATTTAGAGACAAACCAGAGAAAGTTTATTTGCTCTTCTTTTTAAATAGAGATCTGTGAAGTCATTCACCTGAGTAATATCTATAAACCCAAGATCTCTTTGAAACCAGACATATAAGTTCCATAGTTCTGTTGTGTAAAATATGAATTTATTTTCTTACCAAGCCTGATTCTCATTCTCTACTCTCATGACACTGAAGTTGCTGGTGGGAAGGAGTAATGTTTTCACCACTGATAACTCTTTAGCACTTAGCACAGAATTTAGCACATATTTTATGCCCAGTAAATAATGAAGGAATAAATCAGTTAATGAAATGAATGGAAGCAAAGTAGGTACAAGATAACAAGAGATACAAGCTTGCCATCTAGTGATAACTTGGTAAAATGTTTATACATTATGTATAATGTTTATACATTATTCCCAGAGCAGGGAAAAAGTAATAAAGTTGAGATAAAACATGACTTCTAATGGCCGAACAGGTGTGCTTGGCCAATTTTGCCACTAGAGGCTTCATGTATTGTGATGTACACATTGTTTTAAAGATATCAGATGAAGTGGTATATATGTGTAGGCCCTTAATATGAAGATATTCCTGGTATAAGAAATCATAAAGTAAGAAAAAACTATTAAATATAGTGACCTACAAGTATGGTGCCAGGCAGTGACAAGACCTGTTTTTCTCTTATATAATTTATTAAAGCTATACTTTAAATCTTTAAAAATATTGTGGTGCACTGGCCAAAGGTTTTAAGATTCTGCCTCAGAAAACAAGCAGTGCCATTCTCTCCCATCTAAATTCAGTTTGTGTCTTGAAGCTCATTAATAAATCATAGGCCACTCTGCTTAAAACTGCACATTAAACCAACTGTATTCCATCACTTCAATGTATGTCAACAGGAACGTACTGTCAGCCTGAAGAACAAAATTCCTTTCTTTTTCCTCACATCTGTCAAAAAAAACAAGCATTTCAAACTCTATATGCATTTTTAGTTTGGAGCATTTACTAGAACCTCCTTCAGAATTATTTATTCATTTGTGGTCTTACTGTCTTTGAAGAGCTTCTCATGTCTTACTGTTCTTCTACTTTTTTACTTTACGAAGATAAATTAAAGGGCCATTCTTTAATTCATGCTTAAAGTAGAAAGTGAGTGAATGAATAAATGCAAATGTAACAGCACTTCCACTTTCAGGTAGGAGCCCCCTCTCAAGAGGCCTCCTTTAAACTTTGCTCCCACTGAATGGTACAGGAGCATTAGGACTCAGTATTATCATGGTCTTTACTCTTCTAGAGTTTCTCTAGCAGAGGCCAGTAATAATCACTGATTTGTCATGAAAAGTCAGCAGTGTATTCAAAACAGAGAAAATAAAAAATTTTAAAATATACGTTTTTACTATACAGGCACAATTTAGCTAGTAAGCACAAGGAATTCTCTTTTTGAATTAAAAAATAATAATCAGAAATAAGATGCAAAGTAAGGATGAACTGCTCTCACTGGGAGTTCATGTGATCCAGTCATGGGCACAGTGTTGGGAGGAGCAGGGTCTTTCCAGAGGCTGGCCTGACCTCCTGGCTAAGATAAGAAGTTTGCAGTGGAGTGTGGTACCGCTTTGCCAGCGGTAGGTGTCATACACAACTAAAGGAAAAGGGCAGAGGAGCCAGAAAGTAAGAAACCAGTCACAGAAAAAGGAATTAAATATTATAAAACTATATTCACACATTTTATAGGGATAGATGCTGAGTAAAGGAAGCTGAAGCCCTGTGTTCCTTGTGTGAATTCATTTACTTCTGCATACTCCTATGTATGTGCTACAATACATTCAACAAAAAGAAGTTCAAAACTAAAAGCCCCAAACATCTTGTGAGTGAAAAAGTACTGTACGTGTATTTAGTTTGAAAACGAAGATAACAGGGCTGAAGCTAATCAGTCACTTATACTCACTGTGGTGGTGGTGGTGACCTCCTCGGTCACAACCTTCAGGGTGTCGACCACGGAGATGTAGCCCAGACGCTTAGCAATCGCCAAGGCAGTGTTGCCATTCTGAGGAGAGAGTGAAAGAAAGAGAGTGAGAAATAAGAGAGAGGACTGCGATGTGAGCCAATGAGCTCACCCGCTGCTCTGCATGAGCCAGCATTTCCTTCCAAAACAAGGCACAGCTTAGGAAAATCACTAGTTTTTACCATTACGTCTAAATCTGTCTTTGTAACTTCTTCAGACTATAGCCCAGGTCACCATGGTAACACAACAAGCTTGCATCTGCTTGCTCTTTTTAATAAGAAGCACTTGACGCTTTAACCCTAAGGTTGTCAAGTATCTTCTACAAATATTGTATTGCGCTTAAGATAAGTGCCTCAGGACGCCTCCAAAACCTGTTAGCAAGTACCAGGTACACTCATCCCTCATCAGAGGCCAGGCCATCTGCTGCAGGTAAGATGTTACCGTAGGGAACACGGTAACATATTTAGCTACAGCTGTGCAGAAACTCACTGTGCAGCAAAATAACACAAGCAAGCAATTCAGGCTGCATCCAACCCAGGCCACTCGGGATCCCAGTTCGTTTAATTGCACCGCTTAGTTTACATTTCAATGGCTCCACAACCCAATGAGCTTTGTTTAAGCCAGCAGCTCCCTTACTGTGCTCCCTTAAGAAGGCGAGGGGGGTCAATTCGTGCTCACATCTGAGAACCAGCTGTAAGCAGAGCACGTTCCAGCAGCCCAAGCGGAGGGCCCCCCTCTCCAGAGAGAGCCAAAGAGTCAGGCTGACTGCTTTTCCTCCCAGGGCAAGCACTTCTGGGGAAGTCACACTGACTTCTGGAAAGTCTGCCCAAAAATCTGGGGCTTTCCAGAGTCCAGGGGGCTTATTTAAAGAGGAGGAATCTGACCTCACTCAGCTCAGACACGAAGCCACCAGGTCAAGAGAGGAAAAAGAAGAAAGCGTGGTGAGGGGCAGTGGCGTCTGCCTTACCGCGGTGGTGGCGTTGGGCTTGGCCCCATGCTGGAGCAGGACGTTGATGATGTGCGTGTGACCCTGCTGCGCGGCCTGGTGCAAAGGCGTGTAGCCATTCTGTGGAGGACAGTGGCGGCGGGCCCAACACCCGATTTGCAGAGGGAGAGGAAAATTAGGTTAGCCTTCATTGTGAATAGTCTTATTTACAACAAAACCATCACGGATGCTTTATTTGGAGCCCAAGATTATCAGCAGCCCATTTCTCAGCAGCAAACACTCCCTCACACCTTATGGTCTGCTAAGCAAAGAGAAGAGACCAGCTGATGAAACAAGCTTAACAGACTCCAAATGATAAGTATTAATACGTTTTAACCAGTTAGCATTAAAAAGGAGGGCTCCCTTAAGAAGGTGAAGGGGATGGGTGCAGTCAACTTCTGCTCACATCTAAGCCGGGAGGAGAGATTTAAAATAAGAAAGAGCATTATCCCTGTGATTTCTTCCCTGGGAAACAAGAGTAAAATTGTTTTTAACTGAAGGCTGCAGAGGGTCATATAAACCACTGCTTGTTCATCATGACTCTCCCAATTATTAACCTTTGGCTTAGCTTTAAGGATTCTAAATCATTGAAAGTAAATCTAAATCTTACATTCCTTTCCAAGAACAGCTTTTCTCCCCATTTCAGACATGATGAAACTGAAAATAAGAAAGTTAAGTAATTTCCCCACAATCGGGCGAGGTTCAGATCCTGTGCAGAAGACCATGACAGCCAATGGCTACCAGACAATGGCTATTATTTATTAAAATCCACCTGCTTCACTTCTCATAAAATGTTATCTATATGTTTCAGACCCAATTGTGCTGGGCTCTAAGTTCTGAGTGGCGCTTTCATACTCTAAGCTTTTAAGTATACATATCCCTTTCATCCAATGTCACTGCTGCCCTGTAAGCAACATACATACTTGCTTGTCCTGTCTACTATATATGTGGGTGCTACATGATTTCTTCTATAAATTCACTGCACTCTGTCTGCCCATAGGAACATGCCCATATGTATCAGGGTCTACCTCAGTGTCTCTAAGTGTGGCACATCCTCAGCTTTGTCATGTTGGAAGTCTTACATATCCTTATAAATTCCTACAATAGGATGACCCCAGGAAACCTGAAAATATAAATCAATTACAGGGACCCCAAGAAGCCTTTGGCTATTACAGGGACTCTGCTGTCAAATCAAATAATCCATGGACGTTTAAGGAGAATACACTAGGTGACACTTCTTTTCGTAAAAATTCTTCCTTTTCATTGTGTTTACATCCATTAAATCCACTGAATTTAGTTCATCTCTTTAGTATCAGCCAAGTTAATTCATTCAACACCTTTTACTAATCACACACTATGTGCTAAATAACTTAGCATGTAAATTAATAAAATAATATATCACTATAATATATAAATAAATGTAAATTCTCTATAAATATATGTAAATTAATAATGCCAAAGCAACATTCTTGCCCTCAATAGATCAGTGGACATTGTGGCCACAAAAATGTTCCCCAGCCCTGATTTAATCTAACCTTTACCTGAAATCTCCAGTGAGGATATTTGCCAGGGAAGTCTGGAGCAATTCAAGTGTTTACATAAACATTTGGTTGATTCTTAATCCACTGTCATAGGCCCATCTGGCCAGGAGCTGTAGACCCAGTGCTACCAATTATTTGCAGACCCTTAATCCTCTCTAAGCCCCAGTTTTCTCATTTGAAAAATGAAAATGGCCAAGATTTCAAGTTTGATGAAGGATCAGACAAGTTGCTCTTGAATATGTTTTCTTTTCTAGCTTTGAAAATTTTAGCAAACACTTTCGTGTGTGTGTATGTTTTTTCTTTTTTTCCTCATCGAAGAGCTCTATAATCTTCAGTGTCTTTATTTTCATGTGCTGTTCTAAACCCTCTTCACAAATTAAATATATGATTAACCAAGTCTGGTTTGTCCCAAGCTGCTGTAACAGGGTTTCATTCTAATTTTAAGCAATGAATAGTCTTATAAAACTAGTTCATTCTGCCAAATCTTTCATACCACATCATGAGAGTTTACAGAGTAAAGTTAATATATATGTTTACATTTTTAAAGCAATGAATCCATTTTTAGTAACTACAGCTACACATAAGATATGAGGAAGAAAACCTAATTCCTTTCCCAAAGATGCCATTTTCATGTGAAAAAAAATCTGAAGAGTTTGTTAAAAGACTGTCTTTTGAGGTTTGTATCTATTTCCCTGAAGATATGTGGTTCCAAATGTAACAGTGCAAGCAACTCAGTTCACTTAAAAAACAAAACAAAAAAAAATGAAATGATAAAATGAGATTTTTCTTTCAATCAAATCTTCATTCAATGCAGGTCAAACTCCAGGGAGACCATTGATATTCTCTAGACAATATAGTGTTTGCCTTCTAAATATTATAACCATTTAAACAATGAAACATTTAAAAATATGATAAGCATTTTCAAGCCCTGCCAACATCTTGCTATACTGTTGCATTTGTTCATTTCAAGAGAATAGTTGGATTCCAACAAAAATGTCTTTCCTGGAGTGCTTATATGCGAGCTGGCTCAGCAGAAAAGGCTTTAGGAGCTAATGCCTGAGAATTCATATTAGAGGTTTTAAATAAGTCTCAAAGTACAATTTCATGAGAACTTAAGAACTGGCCAGAAACTAGGCAGCAGCTATTCTTGCTAGAGTTAGGTTGTAGGTTTAAATCTTAAATGTTAATAGTATTATTTATAGTTTAAAAATCAGTTAATTTTAAATTAGCTATAAACATGCTTATGTATAGAAATGATTTTGTTTCTGCTTCTAATATAAAGACTGACTTATAAAACTTCTGTATATTTTTAATTTGTAGAATCTTGAATTGATGGCTTTGAAAAGTCCTGAATGTTCTCACACTAATTTACTTGAGCTCATTCAAATTGCTACAATTAGAAATTTCTGGGTCAGGCTTGGTGGCTCACACTTGTAATCCCAGCACTTTGGTTGGCCAAGGTAGGAGAATTTCGCTTGAGCCCAGGAGTTCGAGACCAGCCTAGGCAACATAGTGAAACTTCATCTCTATAAAAACTTTTAAAAATTAGCTGGGCATAGTGTCACGCACCTGTAGTCCTAGTCAGTACTGAGGCAAGAGAATCACTTGAGCCCAGGTTCTAGGCTGCAGTGAGCTCTGATCGTGCCATTGCATTCCAGCCTGGGCAACAGAGTAAGACCCTGTCTCAAAACAAAAAGAAAAATAAATTTCTGATATATGAACTTAAATAAATGTGCAAATAAATATTTATTTGGATCAAAGAACTTGGAGCTGCAAGTTATATTATGCATAATGGCCACAGTTATAGTATGAACTTCTCTTCACCTTGAACCAAATTGAGGGCACTGAAGTGAGGTGTTATGTTCCAAGCTTGCTTTGCTGAACAGGACCTTTTGAATGCCACTGGGGAAACTATTGGGATCAAGTCAGCTCTGCATTATCCTTGAGAACTTCCAGCCCAGGCCTTATACATTATTGCCTCACTGAGCATGTCCACGTGATGTTCTGAATGTGACAGAGTTCATTAAAAATGAAAGGCATGCAGTCTAGGCTGCCTGTCTGTATTTCTTCATGAGAGGATAAGAGGTCAGGGGAGGGGGGCCGAGGTCCTCAAACAATGTAAAGGAAATCTGGCAGAACATCAAGATGTTCTAGCAGGCATCTATTGTATCCCTCAGTAAGTTGTTAAATTGATGTCAGCTACTTTAACTTTATAATAGAAATAGTTCTGAAGCTAACCTGCATGGCTGTCAAAGGTTATCAGAATGAAAATTCTCAAATAATTACAAAACTACATCACCTCTTCAAAATCACTTTAGAAGAACTAAAAAGGAAGAAAAAATACACTTGTAGCTTTGGTAAACTAGTGAAGCATCCAGATGGCTGAACCTTTTTGCTTATAGTAATTGAAAATGACCACAAGTACTTTACCTTGGTTTTTGCGTTAACATTTGCTCCCTGCTTCAGAAGAAAGTTCACCATTTTCACATTTCCATAGTGACAGGCCACAATTAAAGGTGTGTAGCCAAGCTGTAAATAATAATAAAAAGTTAAAAAAAGAAAAAGTAGAAACTTTACTACTCTAGTGGTTAACATCCCAGAGGAGAAGGACTGGGTAGAGTATCAGTTATTGTAGGATTCAATTTGACTAAAGATATTATTTAGCAGATTATACATGTACCCCTGACCACAAGGAACTTCATATCAGCGAGAGAGATCAGATGTGGGTGACTTAATCTGCAAAGAACTAAGAGAGGGGCACAAATAATATCTGAAAACAGCAAAGACAGAATGACTCTGATAGGAGATGCAGGAAATATGTAGCTACAGCAGGCTTAAAGAATGGGTAAGAATTTTATGGCTTAGAGACGGAAAATCCATTTCCAGACCAAGGGCATGGAGACAAGACAAGGAGGAACACGGCAACTCATGTGAACTAGCTAAAGCAGTAAGAGAGAGGGTAGACTTAAGGTTGCAAAAATTGGAGTCTTTCTTCAAAGGGTCCTGACCCCATGCTATCCACTGGACTTGATTCCAGCAAAAAATGGGGAGCCATCATAGATTTGTGCATAGGAGAGGGTTATGATTAGTTTACATTTCAGAACAGACTCTTGAGGAGGGAAGACCCTGGACATGCGGTGACCCGAATGGGGGCTACTGGGAGTCATTCCATCCCGAACTCGTCACAATATTGAGAACGATTTGCTTTACCTTTGTATGTGCATCCTGATCAGCTCCATGCTTGGTGAGAATATCAGCAACATTCACTTTATCTTCCTGGGCTGCAAGGTGTAAGGATGTGAGTCCGCTCTATAGAAAGAATGGAATCAAAGGGATACGTTTGAAGAAGAAAATGCATTGCATCATCTGTAATATTATGAAAATACATTAAAAATATTGAAAAAATCCTGGAAAACTCATAGCCTCTTCCCAGAAACTGTATCTTCTGATATTTAAGGCAAATTCTCTAAATTAATGACATTTCATCTAAGACATGTCCTCCAAGTCAATCAACACATAAGGCAAATTATTTTCTATATTAGGTTCTTATATTATGATGTGAGACTTCAAACTAGCACAGCTAATAAGCTTTCAAATGATATTTATTTCAAATCCATCTGGATCTCCTGCTGTACCAACTTCTTTATTTAAATAACTGATCAACCAACTATTACACCTATAAGCATAATAATCATCTACAGTTTATCAACAAAATATTACATCATTGTAAAAAAATGGACAGTTACAGGAAGTGAGTTCAGAAAAACCTTCTCTAGCACCCAAAGAGAGTATACTTTTCAGGAGGTTCTGTTAAACGTTACCTTAAAGTAACCTCATTATTTACAGAGCACCACAAACTGCCCAGTTTTATGCCACATGTTTGGTATACATACATCAAGTAATTATTTTGTTTATTTGAATATCCAATTAAAGTACAGTTATGAATTAATAATAAAAAAAGGAAGGCATGGAGAAAAGAGGGAGGAAAGCGGCTTATTCAGTCAATGCCACACTCGGGTAGCCTTACTACATCATTTACATGTTTAACAGGTGTTTTCTTGAGTATGTTTCATATGTCATGAAGTGTTCATATTCTAGGCACTTGAATACAGCAGTGAACAAAAGTTTCTGTCTCTATAGAGCTTACATTCTAGCCTACAGTATATTTCTACTGTATATTTCTCTCCCCTCACTATTGTTCAAATGCCTACTATACTTATGCTCTTCCTGGACATCCTGCAGCTATAGACTGAGGTGGCTACCTGGACTCTGAGTCAGCACCTCTTCCCCACTTTACATCTGATTAAAATGGACCAGCCCTGTTGGCCACAACTTTTCAGGCCCACTCTCCTGCATTAGCACTTAGGCTGAGAAAGCTAAGCCATGTTCTTCAAAATTCATGATCTCCAGCCATGGTGCTACTTCTGGAAATCAAAAAGTACATTGACCTTATTTCAAAAATGTAAGTGAAACCTACAGAGAGAAAACCATTCTACAACTTGAGAGGAGGCTTTTTCCTTGTGGGCCTGGGGCTTTTTAATCCTGAGAGCTCTGGGTGAGCTCAACTTTGAGTTTCATAAAACACAGGGTGAGATAGAAGGTGTATCATTTTCTATTAAAATTTTCATCTCTTCTAAACAAATATTATTTAATCCTAATGTATAAAAAATCTGAATATTAGGATAAAACAAGAATCTTATCTTAATTTTCTCCTTACTAAAATAACAAACATAAGAATATTTCTCTTTACAGAGATAGTCTGTTTAAAAATGTTATTGAAGTGATCATTACATGCAGTGATCATCAAATCTCAAAGGTATTTTTGATGACTTTTTAAATATGTGTGCTTCTTTCTACTCTATTTGCAGAATGGATTTTCTGCCATGCAAGATTACAAATTAACAACCAGCATGAAAATCTCTGCAGTTTATTGTGGTAAACTTGCATATCCAAATCAAAGGATGTAAACTGCAGTGAATATAGGTTTTTGTCCACAGTTGCTGCCTCATAACTCCCATAGCCCTTACTATAGTCTTTTGTTATAACGTTGTGCATTTTAGGCCTCAGGGGCAGGCCTCAGGAAACAAAATATCTCCCACCTTCCCTAGTCTCCTTTCGCTTTCCCCAAGGCTAGGCTCTAATCTTCTCCGCAGCATTCATGGGTCATAAGACCCTCCTGAGAGAGAGAGAGAGTCCCACCCTATACCCTGGGGGAATGAATGCTGACATCATGAAGCTTCCATAAAATCCCAGAGGACAGGGTTCAGGGAGCTTCTGGATAGCTGAACACAGGGAGCTTCCTTGTGCAGGGTGGTGCTCCCAGGGAGGGCATGGGAGCTGGGTACCTCCCCTCATACCTTTCCCTATGTGTCTCTTCATCTTCATCCTTTGTAATAGCCTTTATAAGAAACTGTAAGCACTGTAAATGTAAGTGTTTCTGTGAGCTCTGTGAGCCACTCCAGTGAGTTAATGGAACTCAAAGGGAGTGTCCTGGGAACCCCAACTTGAAGCCAGTCGGTCAGAAGTTCAGAGGCCCAGACTTGTGATTAGTGTCAGTGCAGAGGGCAGTCTTGGGGACTGAGCCCTCAACTGAAGGGATCTAACACTCTCTCCAGATAAGACAGTGCTGGAACTGAATTGGAGGACACCCAGCTGGTGTGTGCTGCTCGGTATGTGGGGAAAACCTCTACACATTCGGTCCCAGAAGCCTTCTCTGTTGATGATTGTTGTGCGGTAGTGTGAGAATAGAGGAAAAACACTGTTTGAAAGGTTTCTGGGGGGGGAAAAAAACTTTTCTAATAAATCAAGAAAATAGGAAGTGTTGAAGCAGTTCTTTTCAAAAAAAAGTAATTTATTTCCTAAGACACACTGGCGGACTCAACAACTGATCTTTTTTGGTTTTGTTTTATGATAGATGGTGATTGGATAATGATATCATTTCTATATTATAGTTCTTCACATGAAAATATGAAATTATAGTTCTTCATGTGAAATAATCATTTGGAGAATATGAAATTATTGATATCAGTTGGCCTTAAAAAGAAAAGAATATATGTTTTCTTCAGAAGCAATGGGAAAGTTTTTTATCAGTTTTGCTTCTCCTCTGAGATATTTTTATAGTTGCTTTATCTTATAATTCTAACCAAAAGGCAAGGTTATATGTTTTATATGTAAATTTTATATATTGTATTATTATTCAGATATATCTGCACAAACTTACTAAAGTTTTACTTTAGTGATAAATATACTATGTGTTTAGGACACCACTCAAATGTACTACTGAAATCATTGTTATAAAGATAACAAAATTACTTTGTGATTCAAAATTGAATGTTTTTCTTCATTGCTGAGTGTGCAACTCAAAAATACTCATTAAATATTTGTTAACTGCTAAAACTCTCTCAAAGAAAGTAATGTATTTAGAAGAATACCATAAAGGAAGACGTAGTGAACTGATTTCAGATATGTACCTGTCATTTTTATACATTAAAAATAACACCATCAGAAACACTGTAAGATCCATTTCATGAACTATCTGAATTTTAATCCTACTCAAAATACTGCTGAATTGTTTACGGATTTCTTTGGCTTATTTTCAAATGAAGATTTATTTGTTATTAATAGAGTAAACATATGCCCCCTTCATACACTAATATTAAATAAAATATTCTATGCTTCAAGATCAGATTTTTCTCCAACAGGGTAAATGACCACCTGAATGACATGACGTCAATAGTCACAAGGACGTCCATGCCCTAGATTGTAATGATTGTCCATCTAATACACTGAATTTCACTATAAGGCTTTATCGTGTTCATTCTTGTAAAAATGCAACTATCCTTTGGAAGACTAACCCTATAATTTGCTCTCATCATACTTTAAAAAAGGATTTATGGGGACTTTTTATAAAGGCCAGAGAAGTAAGTAAGGGCAGGGGATGTACAGGAACACTTCCGAGTGACAAAGAAATAGACTAGGACTGCAGAAATATTCAAGGCAACCTGCCTGTTTCATAGCTCTTCCTAAAGGATGCATGCTACATAACCTATTTACGAATGTCGTTAAAACCAACTTATCACTGATACTTTAAAAGTAGCAATTAACAGTGACATGTAGAAAACACAGAGTATTTGTATATTTGTGGAAAGAGCTAAGAAACTTAATTTTCACTAAGCCCATATAACGTATTACAAAAAGCATCAAGACACCAAATGACAAACTAACTTAATAAACACAGTTTCCAATACTGTGTTTCTCAGCAGCTGGCTATAGCAGAGTATATGTATATAAGTGTAAGATAGAAAGTTAGATAGATCTATAGATCTTTATGTAGATGGATGGATAGATGTATCAAAAGACATATACTTGTAAAAAAAAGTATATTTTTATATGTGAATTTTTTCCCTTGTATCTTTGACTGCCATTCTATTATAATTAATGTGGAGGTCTACAGAGGCCAGTCCATGGAGAAAGGCTAAAATGACTGATGTGCTGTATTAAAAAAACAAAAAAGATTTTCTCACCACCACTACCAAACCTCTCAAGCTAGGCTTACATTGACTCAAAAAATCTGTATTTTATTATGTTTCCTCTCTACTATCCAGAGGTGCCTCAGATGCCCAGCAAGACTAAAGAATGCCCTGGGTGGTGGACATGGGCCTTCCAGCTTAGAGGCAGTTGTTTAAGCTACAACCCCAGATGGAACCATTCTTCCTCTATATATGTATATATCTGAAATTTAGAATGAGGAGCAACAGACACTGGGGCAATTATAGTGATGTTAACATTGGGAGCTACAGGGTAGCCTCTTTAGACACACACAGAGATGCAAGGAAAGTGGGGCTATAGAGATGAATAGAACTGACTTGCATAGAAAAGTCAAGAAGCCAAAATGTTGCCATACAGAGAGTCTCTCTCCCTTGCTTCCTTACAGTTTTCTAATCTCTCATAAGGCTTGACTCCCTTCGTGTCCTTGGGATCTGTAAGATATCCCTGTTTCTTTTTAATATATTGCTCCTTTTTGTTCCAAACTATCTGTGATTGATTACTGTTTACATGCGTCCAAAACACTCTTGATTGAAGCAAGAAATGACAGAATACCTTGGTTGACATGTGGATATTGGCGCCCTTATCCAGAAGCAAGGTAACCATATCTGTGTGCCCCTCCTGCGAGGCCAGATGGAGTGGAGTTACTCCTTGCTTTGTCACAATGTTTGTCTCTGCTCCATAGTTCAGGAGTGTGGAAGCTATCTGCATTTGATTCTTCTTGGCAGCAATATGTAAAGGAGTATAGCCATTCTAAAAAAGACAAAAATAAAACACATGCATATAGGGTAAGATTAACAATTGCTCTTATATGTATCTCTAAAGGAAATAAAAATCTCTAATCAACAGAAGAGTTAAAAGTGAGTTTACAGTTAATCCAAACTCTTAGTCATCCCATTTCCATTCAACAATAACCAAATCTCTACAATAAAAGTCACAAGGTACTCCATTCTACTGTAAGACAGATACAGACATCAAAGCTCCAAAGCTGAAAACTCTCTCCTTATAATATTGCTTCTCTCCTGAAGAGCAACATAGAGTAAGCCAGGTTTCTCTTCTACATGACCATCCTTTAAATATCTGGGGATGATTTTCATATCCACCTTTAGTGTTCTGTTTTCCAGGCTAATTTTCTCCATTTCTTCAACCATTCCTGATGGAAGTGCCATTTCTAGATCCCTCCTTATAAGGATGTTCTGTTCTGAGCTGATTCTAGTTTGTCAATATTGCTCTTGAATTGTATGTGCTATCTGGAACCAAGGCTACACTTCACACATGTTTATAACATAAAGAATCAAATGGAATTATTTCTATTATCTTATTATAATACTCCAACTAATACGCTTCTGTTTGGATTGTACTTTAAACTGGTTCAACAAATATTACTGAGTGCCTAGCATATGCCAAGCAGTGTGCTAGGTGTGGGAATACAATGTTGAACATGACATGATCCCTGTCTTTAATGGATTCAATTCTAATTTAAAATATATTCAACAACAAAATTAGCTTATATTAGTTTTGTGGTCCATTCAAATCCTAGATCTCCCCTTCTTCATAACTTGCTGCTTCAAAAGTAGAAATATGAGGCTACTCATTTCGGGTGGGAGTTTGTGGAGAAGGTCAGGATGACTATACTCTGCTTACAAGAACAAAACTCTAAACCCCATACTTAATTAAAAGAAAAAAAAATGTGGAACAACTGTAAGTCTGCAATATATATTGTTTCATTTCCTTTTCTTTATCAAATCTGGTAGAATTTTCCATTTGAAATGTGTGATAGAAATTAACAACAGCGTCTTTGCCATTAACTGTGGCTTTTCCCCTCAGCGACATGCTGAAGGGAAAGACAGCATAATGATCAAGCGCTTCTTGTGAGATTACCATGAGATGATTTATTTATTTATTTGTTGAGACAAGGTATGGCTCCATCACCTAGACTGGAGTGCAGTGGTGCCATCTCAGTCACTGCAACCTCCACCTCCTGGGCTCGTGATCCTCCCACCTCAGCCTCCTAAGTACCGAGGACTCCAGGCACACACCACTGTGACTAGCTAATTTTGTTTGTATTTTTGGTAGAGATGGGGTTTCACCATGTTGCCCAGGCTCATCTCAAACTCATGAGCTCAAGCAATCTGCCCACCTTAGCCCCCTAAAGTGCTGGGAGTACAGGCTTGAGCCTGTAATCAAACATGAGAGGTATTTTTATGTCATACTATTTCCTTAAAGCTAACTGCAAAGTGTACCAAAAAAATAAAAAAGTGTTTTGAGAATTTAAATGTCTTTATGAGCCATCATCAAATCTTGATTCTCACACAACCCTACATTATCTACTCTGTCCCCATTTCTCTAAGCAAGAATAAGTCTCTTTCATTTTTGACAAATAATGTTTCTCCTGAAGCAACTGAAGGAAATTCAGCTTGGAAGCCTTTTCAGGGTTTGATCAGAGGTCCCGGATGCTTCAAAATATTGTATTTGTGTCCATAGACTCTACTGAAAAAAGGACACATAGATTTTTGTGGACCAAGTAAGTTTAGTCAACTTCTTTTTGCTACAATGTGTTTCTTTAGTCTCAATTACCCCCCCCTGCCTACAGCATGGGCTCTACTAAGGTCAGGTAAAGGGACATTTTAGCAAAACAACATAAGCGACCATCAAAGAAGGTGTCAATTCTGGCAATGGAGGAGGTTTGTCTGGTAGATACTCAACATACAAGATCTGAAAAGCCCTCTTACTCCACAAAGAGGAAACATTTTGGGACTCAAATAATTGCAGCACTCCCAATAAAGACTAAGAGAAGGTTCTGGACTCTGGTGGAAAGAAGCAAAGTTCTCGTGGCCAAAGGACCATGCGTGTTGAGGAGAGGGGACATTATAATGAGCAGAAAGAGAGTCTAAAGTGGAGACTACCATGGGGATCTTACCATCTGGAGACCTCTAGGAGTTGCCCCAAAGATGAAGGGCTCATGTTCATTGACAGGCTGGGGCAGATAAGTGAAAGACACTAGAGAGGCATTCCCAGAATACCCATCCTACTGTGGACTCTGGAGTAGAGAAATGCTTTATGTCATCGTCTGAACTCAGTATATGCATGCCTAAGATTAAGGACCATACAAGGTAGAGGATAGAAATCAAGGCTATGCTTGTCTCTTTAGGAAAACCATACACATTAATTTATAATCTAGGTCTTCTCTTGCAAGTAGATTGAGAGTCCCTTGTGGAAAGAGAACACACGTTTTACAATTTTACCTCCCATTGAGTACCTACAATCCTTTCTTTGCACATCATAAGAGTTCAATGAAAGTACTCATGAGTACTGAAGAAGTCTTTTGTATCTACGTTGAGAATGGTCAGCCTGGAAAGCTAACGAAAAAAAAATGCTGCCATGTTAAGTGAGCAGGTATATTTTTATTCCATAGTTGCTCAATCTTCATTCTTTCATGCAAATTTATTGGGAACTCACATATGTTATTAAACACCTCATAGATATGCAAATGAATATGATATGAACACTACTCTAGTAGTGTGAAGAAAGACATAAAATATGTGTAGAATTGATGAGGTTGTAGAAAAAAGAGGAATAAGAACACTGTGGATAATTATGAACATTTGGCATCCTCTTTTGACAGTTCAAGTACTTTATTGTAAACTGTTTATTGGCATCAAAAAGATATAAATATATATAGATGTATAGGTATGTATGTGTACAAAGTTATATATGTATATTATATATAACATATTTATATATAAATATATATTATACAGAACATATTTTTGTATATATCCTATTTTATATTTATAATATGCATAATTTAAATAGGCATATGAGTATATATGTATATACTTGTATAATAGAATGGAATAAATCTCTTTCTATTGCTTTGGGACACAAAGGACCTAGTGGTTAAGAGCATCAGCTCTAAAGTCAGTCTGCCTGAGGTCAAACCCAGGTACAAGCTCTAACACATATTATTCAGATAACTTTGGAAAATTAACCTACTTAAATCTCACTTTCTCATCTGCAAAATGGAGATCATTAGAATACCAGTCTCATGGGGTTATTATGAGATATTGCTGTAAAGTGCTTGGCATAGTGTTTGGCAAATAAATGGTGGCAGTTGTTTTATTATGTTGTCTAATATAGCATACATATTTTCCCATTACGATCAATATTTTTTAAATAAACCCTGACGTGTTCTCAAAATAGGTGTGCTGAGTTAATGAACGAAAGATGCAATGAGTACTTTATGCATTATACGACATTCATATATATTTTCAGTTTAATAAGGGGCCAACTAGAATGGTGGAAAATGCCCTGTCCGTAAGTACAAGTCTTAGTTGGAGCTGTTTCGGAATTTGGTGCTAGATGTACACCAAAAAGGAATCCCCACCCCCCCCCGGCCACCCCCGAGTCTAGGGACTTAGAGGGATCCATGCTACAGTTAACACAGGTAAAACATTTAAAAAAAAAAAACAAAGAAACAAATAGAAGTTTGAAGTCTGAAAGAATGAGATTATGAAAGGACATTTTAACCACAGCATTTGGTTTATAGGAGAGAAGGGAAAACATGTTAATGACTTTATTTCTCATTTCTCAAAATTCAGACTTCATTCTTTAACACACAGAATGTTAGCAATAAGATTCATGTCTACTGGTTTACAGGCACATCCCCTGACTCTTTAAAAATCTTAAAAAAGGTTTTCTAGACGCAACTGGTGGAAATACAAGGGGAAAAAAAGGGTCTCAATACCAAAACTACTAGCGCCAGAACTAGTCGCAGTTATACTATACCATGTGTTTAAAAGACAATTCTCACGTGTTTTCAGGTGATAGTTACACCCTATGTCTATAAATCCTTTTCTGTGGTCCTCACCTTGGCAGTGGCATGAGGGGAAGCACCCTTCTCCAGTAACAGCAGCGCCACCTTCTGGTTGTCATAATGAGCAGCAACATGGAGCGGGGTAAGGCCATTCTGTAAAGGGTGTGTTTAAGTTTCAGCATTAATAAATTAGGGTTAGCTGCCCTGAAGCTACCAGGATGCCTGGAAACTGATGCTGATTACATTCATGTTAATGAATTAATATAGTCAATAGAAAAAAGAATGAAAATAAAATCCCCAATAATTTTCATATTAAAAACATAACTAAAATTGAAAATGAGCATACCACCAGCAAAGGGCATCTTGATGGTCACAATGTATAAAGGTCTAAACTGCTATGTAAGAAAGACTACATTAACATTGCAGGGATCCTTCTTAATATAGAGACTTCTGGGGCTGTTGTGACAAGACTTTGAGGCACAGCTCAAAATGCTTTCTGAATCAGTGTGTACATGGACGGTCATGGAAGGCATCGCCACCATGTCTATTTGGTATAGTTTCATCAGGTGCTCTCACATTCCTTTCAGAGAAGTGAGAAAAATGTCTTTACAGATCTCCTAATCTATCACCTTGACTGTTACATAATTATAACGTATAGAAAATCTTTACCTTCCCTGCAGAATCTGCGGCAGCACGGCGTTGCAAGAGAAGTTTTGCCACGTCCAGGCTTCCATATTTGGCGGCTACATGCAAGGGAGTAAAACCCTTCTGAAAATGTGAGAAAAAGTAAAATCGTATTTATTATTGTAACGCCTCACAAAATATTTTTATTTGTTAACATATTAAGCAAACTATACTGATTCTTCATTTGGAAAAAATACTGGTAGCATTATATCTGTTAGCCATGAACAAGGACAAAGAAAAAGAATAAAATTTAACATACAAAAGTTTGGCTTGATAGATTGAACAAAAGAAATTTTATTTTAAGGGCTTGGAGACCGAAATCTGACTTTATAGGTTTGGGATTTTTAAAAGCCACTAGTGTCAGTAAACTGGCTCCAATTTGTGAATGGGGGAAAAAAATCTTTTTCCTGCCTCTAAAATTAATAGACTTGAAACAACAGCTGCCTTCTCTCCAACCCTCCTTCTCTTTCTTGCAATCCTTTTTGTAACACCTGAATTCCAAATTCATTTAAATTTTAGGATATTTTGGCAGCCATAGTAAAAACAAATATTTGTGAATTAATTGACATATTTTCTGCAGAAATGGCAAGATAAATGGTCTACAGAACAAAAAACATGCACTATTATAAAGCAACTCCCATCCTGACTTGTCCCCTTTCCCAGAAGACTCACACTGCCTAGAAGACCAATTGCTTTTGTAAAACACATTCTACTTCTGGCATGATGTTGGGCTGATTAACACCAGAGTTTAAACACACCAAAGCTTTAAAGCTTTTTTTCAGAGGGCTGCTCTCCTACACATGTTGATATGTGTACATTCAGTGTCTTCCGTGCCTAACCAATGGCCTTACTCTGTAATTAGCAGTGTCTTATAAATACAGATAAGTCTCTGGACTAAGATCTCGAGGATGGCACAGTTCCTACACCATGATGTCAAATCCATCCTCTTGGCCAGACAGTTTAACCACATGCTCTTCTGGCACTACAGTGGGAGTAGGGGAATTCTAACACCGACCAGGGCCTGTAAAACACATAGCAAATATGGCTGGATTAGGTGCTGTAAGCTATGGCTTATCCTGGGACCATTTAAGCCCCCATCATAAATACAGAATATCCCCCAAGAAGCAATATTGCCCTTTCGGTGTCTCCAGACAAATTATTTTTAAATGAGATGATGTTTTTCTTTTTGCTTCTTTTTTGAACATTTGGTATTAATAAATTCTTGGAAGAGAGTGAATCTTCTGGTTTTTTCCAAGTGTGGGACAAAGGTAGGAAGTATTTCTTCTTTCTTGAATTGTCCATATAAACCAGCACTTGTGGTTAGAGCTCTCCTCCCCCCACTCAAGGCACACAATGATTAGGGTGATACTCAGGATGAAACAGAGTTCTTTGAGACTAACTACGTGATGAGGAAGAAAAAGTAAATTCCTTATCTTTAAAGTCTTCCTAGAATAGTGATCCAACTCTTATAAGTTTGGAAATGATTATTAGACAAAACTACATAAAATCTACTGTAGAATAACAAAACCAAAGTCAGAAGGCATCTCTTGAGTCATACATCTACCTTCTTCTTTTATGTTAATCTCACCAAGATTTCATTTACCCTCTGATATTTAGAAACACTTAAATGGCTTTAATAATGATGAATCAACCACTGTTCAGCCCTAGTCAGCTGAACTCTTAAAATGATGTTTGGCCAGGTGCAGTGGCTCACTCCTGTAATCCCAGCACTTTAGGAGGCCGAGGTGGGTGGGTCACGAGGTCAGGAGATCGAGACCATCCTGGTTAACACAGTGAAACCCCGTCTCTACTAAAAATACAAAAAAATTAGTCAGGCGTGGTGGAAGGCACCTGTAGTCCCAGCTACTCAGGAAGCTGAGGCAGAAGAATCGCTTGAACCCGGGAGGCAGAGGTTGTATTGAGCCAAGATCATGCCATTGCCCTCCAGCCTGGGCGACAGAGCAAGACTCGGACTCAAAAAAAAAAAAAAAAAAAATGCTGTTTAACATTTTATTCTATTTTATTGCCCTAATTTACCATGGATATAGTTATATTTTTTAAATCCTAAATATCTTTGAAAGATAAGACACTACGTTTTATTTTCTATTTCTGTATTTTATGTATCTTAATTTTGATGATTTACACCCTCCTCTGGTAAGACAATTACCAAATCTCTCGAGTTATTACTACATTTGTTGCTTAGTTTCTTTTTTTTTAAAAGAACTTTTAAAATCCTTTCAACTTTTCAGAGTTCAGAACTTCAATAATTGTCAATTTCTTATATCAAAGTACTTTTCACAGCCATAGGCAACCAGGTAAGTCATAACAGGCAACCAGATAAGCCATAAGAGCTAGTGGGCTGCTCCTACTTATAAGAGGACAGATGCCACATCACTAGCTCAGTTTATATTTGCAACTTTCCCTCTCCCTGGATGCAGTACTTATGCCTACTGATTATGAGAGAATTGAAATTATCCTTTTGTTAATCTGAATCGCTGTTATATTTGTGGGAAATATTTTGCTCCATGACAAATTCACGTGTGCTGGCTCAGTTTTGCTCTCATTAGCTGAGTATATTCATGTTTTATTCTAAGTCATCTCCACATTGTGAATGTCAAATAGCATGTATAAAGCATACGAAAAATTACTCTGCCCTGTCATGAAACTTGGAACATAAGTCAAATTCTTTGTTCGATGTCAATAACAACTAAGGAAGTGTGATTTTCCAGCTCAGCTCTGTTTAAACACTGTAAATACCCAGGCAAGAGTGTAGCTGGTAACGTTGGAAACTAATATGGGAATGAGAATGTCAAATAAGTGGTGGCTAATAGTAGGGTTGCAAAAATGCATAAGTAAAGTGAGCTTCGATCTGGTACTACAACTCACAACAAATATAGTACTGCCAATCTAATGCAGTACCCTCTTCCTCATTAGTATTACCAGTTCAATGTATATAGGAATTTCATTTATTTTTTTCTTAAGAATATATTATAGATTTTATAATAAAAAGAGAAGAAAAAGTAGTCCTTGCTTTATGAAAATCGTCTTAGAGTACTAGATACCTGTCCTAGAAACATTGGCATTAATTAGAATGAAATTTAGCACTCTTTATTGAAGACATATGGAATCTCACAATTCCCTTAAATCGTTTAGATAATGAATCTTAAATATGTAGAGAAAGAAGTAAGTCAAGGCCTAAGGAGATCTACGTTCTTGATTCTGTATGTGGTAGAGTAGAAAGACCATGACTTAGGAATCCTCTTGGTCCATGTTGTCATCATGTCATTCTCCTTACCTTGGTAGCTAAGGAGTGGGCTGCTCCTGCTTCCAATAGGACTGACGCCACATCCACCTGGCCCTCCCGGGCAGAGATGTGCAGTGGTGTGTACCCATTTGTAGTGGCCGCATCTGGATGAGCCATATGTTGTAGAAGCAGCTGGACAATTTCTGTTTTACCCAGGCGGGAGGCAATATGTAAAGGTGTCTGTTCCTCCTACAACTCAAGTCAAGTAAAAAGTTAGTGCCAGGCAGACAGAACTTCACTGGTGATATGTTTCACTCACATATATCATGATATCTTCTTGGAATCTCTAGGAACCCCACCCAAAAGAAATCATCACTGCTTTGACCATGGCATAATTTATATTTTGCTATAGCAGTGACCTGGTTGGTCACAAAGTACTCCCTTCAATTTTTAAAAAGTATATACTTCCATGAACTTCATCATTGCCTTCTGGGCATCCCAAAATATTTCTCAACTCATTAAGTCTTCAGGCCTCACTTATGTTTAAATATAAACTAACTGATGGTTTGGAATAAGAAGAAAATCTAGTCCAAAACTCCTAAAAACCCTTATTCTCATCCAAGAGTTTTCACTTAGAAGCAGGATTTATTCTGGGAACTCTATCAAGAGTAGAAGAACCAGGGATGCTGGAAAATCTTTGATTTTACTCCATTCAGCAAGCCAAGGATAGAAATGCTGGTCATTTTCTTCAAGGAGAAACGGTGCACAAAGGAGATATTGTAATCTGGTTTTAAAAGATGTTTCAGAAAATGCTGCAGATAGTTCTGGAACTTGCATCCAGAACTTAAAAAATGAAATGGGACTCTGGCAAAAAGCAAATAGGGTTAACTATTTGCCAAGTGCTTTCCATTTAAAAACAGAGGATGTAGCTGGGTCTAAGGGACAGGAAGGACATGTTCCAGAAGGCTCAAGAAAATCATCTGACTCTGATGTGTAGTTGGAAATAATGTTTTCAGTGTTTAGAGAACCAGGCCAAACCACTCTCTTGTAAAAAGAAACTTAAGTGTAACTTTAGCGATAAAAAGAGGTTTATCTTTACTATCTGCCAAAGGGTATGTCATAATACAAGTGAGGAAGGGAAACCTTGGCTGACTTCCAGGGCTAACAATGAATGAAGAAAAGTATATAGAGGAAGGAAGATCTATCCAAAAACAGTCAGGATCTTAAAGTTATAAGAAAAAAGAAAGGGAGCTATAGTAAGAAATAAAATAGTACTGCATGAATTCCAAGGTAGTAAGAAGTAAATAAATAACAGTAATATGATTATTTTAAACTAGAATTGAACTTTTGTGAACATTTGCAATTGAAAAGCTATCTTCATGTATGATGCGTATGTGACCCGTCCCCCTAATAGAGTTAAAAGGAAAGCATGAAATGTATTATTAGATCATTTCCTAGATCAAGATTAAGAAAAAACAAACGAGTTCTCAAAGATTATCCAAGGTTACTCAACTATTAAAACAGAACTTGAATTCAGGGCATTGGATTCTAAAGACGTTTCTCTGCCTATACATTCTTTGGAAATAGATACTACAATAAGATGGCCACTAAGAGACCTGTCAGAACAAAGTGACTCTCAGTAAGAAAGCAGACTGATATCCCATTAGAAGATAAAATTTCTCTGCAATACAGAGGAAAAAAAAATAGAGGAATGGGGAGAATAAACATTTTTTGTTTATAGATAAAATGAACATATTTTCATTTATAAAAATAAATGGTTAGCAAAACAAACAACAACTTAAAAACCAAGGAACTTGAGAATAGCTATGATGAACATTTGTTGTTTCCGGGGTTCCCTTCTCAGATCTCTGTCCTGCAAAATTTGATAGAGGTGGGTGAGTATTGCAAGCGACACACTCTAAGAGTAAGAGGGATAGTTGGAGCGATGATGACTCTTTAATCCATAGCTGAGAAGTGGCAATCATTGGCTAGAGGTAGCTACATAATTGGTTCATTATTAACCATTGATCCTTGGTTCTTAGGCTATATAGCAATTAAGTTCTTCCTTTAAAAAAAAAGTTAAAAAATAGGATGTCTTGCCTACTTTTTTCCATTTTTGGTAAAGTTCTCCCTGAAAGTGTAAAAGGAAAGAACATACAAATTTTGCACATAAAATCTTTCAACCTGTAACCAGGGATATAAGACTTTTTGAGGTTTGGCCAATTATTTCCCTGCTGAATTGCAAAACTTGAATTTACTGCCTCAGGGTAATATTAATTCAAACCAGGGAAAAGAATTGGGAAAGTGCAGAAGAAAAGATTCATGGGGAAAGCCTGATCACACAGACCTCTTCCAAAAATGAGAGGCAACAATTCCCTCATCATAAAGTATCACTGGCTGATGCAGCCTCGACTGGAAGTAGATGAGCTCTGCTTTGCCACTGCAATCTACCATTTTACTTTGTAGACTTGCTGAGTTCCAGCTCCCTTTACAAAGAGAAAACTAACACTGGCTGAGATAAAGTTCAAAAATTTGATTAAATTTCTGGGAACTAACAGGGTTCCCAGGAGCCACATCTCCTAGTATCTAACTAAAGTTCTAAATGAGCTAAGTTTCAAGGGAGTTTAAGTCTAGGACCCCTGGGATTGCTCGATCCCTAAAGCAAATGCCAAGCCCTGTAATTCTGCCAATTGAACTAGCTCCCAGATGGTCAGGCTCTGGTGGCCCTCTCAGTAATGTCCATTGAGGACACTGGACAAGGAAGAACCTTCCTGAGAGCATAACCTGGGGTCAAACAAATTGGCTGACACAGGAACTGAGGCCACTGTGGCCCCTGCTCTCCAGTCTGTCCAGCAAAATGTGTCTTATGCTCTGAACTGGTGAATAGAGTGTGCTGCGTGCACTTTAAAAATCACAGATGTTATTATGACTATATGGTTTTTCTTTTGTTAAATATTGTGAATAGGCAAAACATATGACTTAGCCCCATGATTATATATCCATGAAATATTATTTCTAAACTTGATTGAGAATATTGTGAACTATCTAGCGATCTTGACCTTGTAGCTCGATACAGTGGCTGGGCACAAATTTTTTTACTATCTCTTCTCTGGGAGAGGGTGAATTTTCGAGCAATGTTATTAGGTTTAGAGAGGAAGTTTTCAAAAGTGCGTGTGTGTGCGTGTGCACGCATGTATGCACTGGAAAATCAAGAGGTAAAATAGCAGATACGTGTTCATTTTTCTGCCCAATAACCCCTGCACCCTTCTTCTGGGACAGCCCTCCCTCATTTGGGGAAAATGGACATTCCATAATCCATGTGGTTCTAGAAGGGCTGCTGGTCTTCTTAACCCACCTCATAAATGGGCCGCTTGAATGGGCATGAGCCCAAGCTTGATCTGATCTCCTGATCATAGTCATAAGCTCAGGGAGAGAATGTGACTAGTTAGAAACCAGTGGTTTGTTCAGGATGGGAGAGAAAAGGGCTCTCTTTACATTTGAAGTGGGAGGTAATGATGTTAGCAGAAAGAGTTTGGAGAAAGATGCAGAATCAGAGGAGAAATCTTTTCTTGTCTTAACTCTGTCACCACAGGTTTATCAGCACAATCTTGAATTTCAGGACCCTAAGCCACCCTACAACACAGGATTGCTCTGGGTATCAAATGAGATACTGTGTGTTTAAATGCTTGGGGAATTCTAAAGCACTGTTCAAATGTTAACTAAATCAAAGAGTCCCAGGAACACATTAAAAGGATTAAGCGACAATAAAAAAAACTCACGGTGAAAGTACGCCTTAAAATAGGACTTATGAACAGGAAAACCCTAACTCCTTCCTGCTTGAAACATAATCCCAAAATCGGGAGCCCTGACATTCCATGAGAGTTTGTTAAAGATGCAGAACTGAGTTACAATATGCATTCTAGCAGGGTCCCCAGGTAATTTGTATGCATATTGACCTTTAGGGAGCACTGCTTCACAAGGCTAAGATATTTTGTTTTGTTCACGATAGAAAATGCTATAGGGAAGGGATTTCGGTTGTAGCTTAGAATGGGAGGTAGAGCTGAAAAGAAAAAAAAATAACATCTGAAATTTGATATTTAAATTAGAAGGAATAAGGAATTAAGAGATATTTTTATATGTATACGATGATACTAAATGTAGTTGCAAAAGAGAAGTAAAAAAGTAGAATTGATGAAATCCGTGTGTAAAATTAACGAATTAATATTTCAAAGGACAGTCTATTGCCAGTGGTGCTTTTAAGGAAGAGGCTTCAGAGGGTATCCAAAAAAGATAAAAGTCTGTAATAATGGGTTATATCAATAGAGAAAAGTTTGGCAGAGATACACAAAAATGAATAAATTTCCATTAAAAGTAGAAGTTTTAATTTTAATAATAGATAAACATTAACGGGTTTTACTTTAAGAAAGAGAAATGGGAGACCCTTTCATTATTAAATATGAATTACAAAAAAATTTACAGGAACATCAACACAATTTCCAGTAAAGTACACAATACTCAGAGTGCACTGGTTGATCATAGAAATATTTTTTAAATAGCTGAATACAAGGTAACCTTAAAAGGAAACCAGAAAAATGTTATGGCAGGGGAAGCTCATGGTTGAATAAAGCTTTAAATAGATAAGAATATAACAGATCAATGATGATTACCAAAGAACATAAATTTCACTATGTGGACAATGGATAGAAAGGCAGATGAAAACCAAGACAAGAGTAATGTTAAGGCTGCCCGTGTATCACTGGATTCTGCATGAAGATCTGTGGAACCCGTTACAAGAAAATGTCTATTAAATTCATTGAATCAAAGAATGTTAAGAAAGTCTGGAAAGGAGTTTTGAGTTTCTGAGTCCAACCCTCATATTTTACTGATAAAGACTTAGAAGTGGCCGGAGGCTGGAAAGACAGCTGAATAGGAACAGCTCCGGTCTTCAGATCCCAGGGAGATCAGTGCAGAAGGTGGATGATTTCTGCATTTCCAACTGAGGTACCCGCTCATCTCATTGGAACTGGTTAGACAGTGGATGCAGCCCATGGAGGACGAGCCAAAGCAGGGTGGGGTGTCGCCTCACCCAGGAAGCACAAGGGGTCAGAGAACTCCCTCCACTAGCCAAGAGAAGCCATGAGGGACTGTGCCTTGAGAAATGGTACACTCTGGCCCAGACACTATGTTTTTCCCATGGTCTTCGCAACCTGCAGACCAGGAGATTCCCTTGGGTGCCTACATCACCAAGG